GTGAGCCTGGCACCAACACTTGCGGCATGGTTGGATGGCTCATCCGTGCGAGAACCCCCGAGTACCCCAACGGTCGCAAGTTCGTTGTTGTCGCCAACGACATCACCTTCAATATCGGCTCTTTCGGCCCCAAGGAGGACAACTTCTTCTTCAAGTGCACTGAGCTTGCCCGTAAGCTGGGTATTCCTCGCATCTACCTGTCCGCCAACTCGGGTGCCCGCTTGGGTCTCGCTACCGAGCTTATGCCTCACTTCAGTGTTGCCTGGAATGACCCCAGCAAGCCCGAGGCTGGCTTCAAGTACCTCTACCTCGACGATGCGGGCAAGAAGCGCTTCGAGAACACTGTCATCACCGAGGAGATTACCGAAGGAGACGAGAAGCGCCACAAGATTGTCACGATCGTTGGTGCTGAGGATGGTCTCGGTGTTGAGTGCTTGCGTGGCTCCGGTCTCATTGCCGGTGCCACCAGCAGGGCCTACAACGATATCTTTACTTGCACGCTCGTCACCTGCCGCTCCGTTGGTATTGGTGCTTACCTTGTCCGTCTTGGTCAGCGTGCTGTCCAGATTGAGGGCCAGCCCATCATTCTCACTGGTGCCCCTGCCCTCAACAACGTCTTGGGTCGCCAGGTCTACACCTCCAACCTGCAGCTTGGTGGTACTCAGATCATGTACCGCAACGGTGTCTCCCACTTGACCGCCAACGATGACTTTGCTGGTGTCTCCAAGATCGTCGAGTGGATGTCGTTTGTCCCTGACAAGCGCAATAACCCTGTGCCTATCAGCGTCAGTGTCGACACTTGGGATCGTGACGTTGTCTACACCCCGCCTCAGAAGCAGCCTTACGACGTCAGGTGGATGATTGGTGGCAAGGAGGACGAGAACGGCTACCAGCCCGGTCTCTTCGACAAGGACTCCTTCGTCGAGACCCTTGGTGGATGGGCCAGGACTGTCGTCGTTGGTCGCGCTCGCCTTGGCGGTATCCCCATGGGTGTCATCGCTGTCGAGACCCGCTCTGTTGAGAACATCACTCCTGCCGATCCCGCCAACCCTGACTCGATCGAGCAGGTGGCCAACGAGGCTGGTGGTGTCTGGTACCCCAACTCCGCCTTCAAGACCGCCCAGGCCATTAACGACTTCAACAATGGCGAGCAGCTTCCGCTCATGATCCTCGCCAACTGGCGTGGTTTCTCTGGTGGTCAGCGCGACATGTACAACGAGGTCCTCAAGTACGGTTCTTTCATCGTCGACGCCCTTGTCAAGTTCGAGCAGCCTGTCTTCATCTACATTCCTCCCTTCGGCGAGCTTCGTGGTGGCTCGTGGGTCGTCGTCGATCCCACCATCAACCCTGTCGCCATGGAGATGTATGCTGATGTGGATGCTCGCGGTGGTGTTTTGGAGCCTGAGGGTATTATTGGTATCAAGTACCGCAAGGACAAGCAGCTTGAGACCATGGCCCGCCTCGACCCCGTCTATGCCGACCTCAAGAGGCAGAGCGCCGATGCCAGCCTTCCCAAGGAGGAGTCTGATGCGATCAAGCAAAAGATGACTGAGCGCGAGCAGCAGCTTCTGCCCGTTTATGCTCAGATCAGCGTGCAGTTTGCTGATCTCCACGATCGCGCTGGTCGCATGAAGGCCAAGGGTGTCATTCGCGAGGTCCTTGAGTGGCAGAACGCCCGCCGCTTCTTCTACTGGCGTGTGCGCAGAAGACTCAATGAGGAGTACATTCTCCGTCGCATCATCTCGGCTACTACCCCTGGCGGTGCCCCAAGCAAGGCTCTCACTGCTAACTCGACCAAGGAGCGCGCCCGTCACCTCCAGCTTCTCCAGGCCTGGAGCGGTATTGAGAAGTTCGACACCGCCGACCGCGAGGTTGCCGTCTGGTACGAGGAGAACCGCCACCTGGTCCAGACTAAGATCGATGCCCTCAAGGCCGAGGCGATCACCTCGGAGATGCGCGACCTTATCCGCGCTGCCTCCAAGGGCTCTGATGACGCTGCCTGGAAGGGTGTCCGTGATATCCTGAGCGTTATGCCTGTTGAGGAGAGAGAGAAGGTCGTCAAGTACCTTACTACTCTCTAGATTCGTTTGAGGGTGGAAGAAGTTGGGAGGTTTAGAGACGGTAGAGATGGCATTTTTTGAGGCATGGTCGGAGTTGAGGTGAAGACGTATTACAAGTTTTTATATCATGATCTCTCTTATGGGTTCTTTCTTCTTCTCGAGCGGTTATAAAAGGAGTTATGAGAATACAAATATGGTAGATGTCACGGTGGATTAAGCGTTGGAGGGCGCTCAAACCTACCTGGTATCCCACTTGGGCGAACAAGCGAATGGAATAGGACGGCAATAGTCATTATTATTTGCATATCGGTAGTTGTGTAGTTATTGCTAGCAACATGAATCGATTAACCAACTTTGGATCTTGCTTTGTCGTGATGTTAGCCGATGCTGAGATGTCGAGCGCTCTGATGTTGGATGGATTGCCCGCTCCAGCACAACAGGCTCAGTCTGGCTGGTGCAAGCTCCTAATCGGCTCCTTTGCATTTACGTTACCGGACTAACAGATTGTTACTAAATACCCCACGAAATAAGTTAAGGCCGCATCTTATTCTTAGTCGCCATCTTTTGGATTGTACTTCGCGTTTTCGAATCATCGATTATGGGAACTAGGTTCCTCTTAATGAAGGGTTTTCGTGCGTAGCTGAAATAAATAAGTCAATAGATTGAGCTGGGGTCATTTTCGTACAGCATGTGCTACTATCAGCGTCCTTGTCGTTGAGTGTTCTGCTTGTGTTGAACAAAGGGATTTGACCACTTCCCTATTATTACCTTCGTAGCCTTACTAGTTTTCCTGCCAAGTTCGACCTGTACTTGCTATGCTGACAACTATAGCAACAGTTGACCTTATTCAGATACCCTATAGAGTTCTTGTGAGATAGTGGTAGTGAGGGTTCTCGTCAGTTTTTACGTGTTATGTATTGGATAGATTACAACAATGATAGACATAAACAAGATTGAAAACAAAACATTAAAGCATGTTGAACATCTATTTATATAAGCGGACAAAAAAATCCGATCCGGACAAAAGGTCCGGTTTATGATCCAGACCAACCTTATAAGAAAACCCGGAGAAAAATCCAGACGTCAATCCTGGCAGTCAAGTTCCAGCGTTAACGTCAGTCGATTAAAGGCATACGTAGGTAGGTAAGATATTGGAGAGAACAAAACATGACGTTTTTGACTTTTGAAGTAGTTTTGCTACCCAGGTAATGATTATAAGAAGACTGCGAAGAACTCTACAACTTTGTTTTTGAATTCTTTATTGACTCGAGAGGTATAGTTGACATATAGGAATAGTGAGACTACCTTAGTATTAGAACGGTCGAAGAATAACGATTTCAAGGCAAGTGCAAACGGTCTTATTACTCAATGACGTATAGATTGAGAATGTCTATTTAAAGAATGTGCCTTGCAGAAAACCTCAAAAAAGAAGCAATATGTCTTAGACACTCATCCTTATCTTTACTTATCTACTACCATTTCACACGTTCTATATGCTGTCCTATGCATCTTTAAACGCCCTACATACAGACTCACTTTAATTTACTCTCAGCCTGTTAAGTTACTAAAATTGACTGTCAAGGAGATAGCGACCCTGACCTCTTTAATATCCCGTCTCCTTCAAGAATCCGTCGATCGATACCTTCCAACAGTTGTTCTTGCAGTATCATTCCAGCACAACAGACTTATACCTACCAAAGTGTGACACAACAGTCTTGCAACCCAAGCAAAACCACGTCCTCCCAACAACTTTTTACCTGCCTCTCAACATCACAGAATGTCTCACTCCATAACACTCTCTCCAGCCAGGGCAGAGCTCAACTTCCTCCTCCATTCTCACGCCCAAAAGAAAAAGGTCAAGATCATCGAAGCACCACATACCATCCGTTCATCCCGCCACCGAGAATTATCATCTCATTCACTACTAGTCGAATGCTACCGCTGCGAAGGCATAATCACCATCCACCCAAAAGACGACGACAAAACACACCATGCACTGCGTGAGCAGGTTCAAGTTCCGAGGGAATCAAATTTCCTACCTCTAGTTCGGGCGCCCACGCCTTATTACCCACGGCGCGAGGAGGAACAGCAGCACCAGCAGCAGCAGGATGGAAAGAAGAAGAAGGGGGTTCGTTGGACGGATCCTTTGGAAAGACCGGCTACAGGGAAGGGATATCCGGTAGTACGCGTGAGGTCGGTACTTAAGAAGACGGATGTGGTGGTGGGCGGGAAGAGCAGGAAGTGGTGGTACTTGAGGTGAAGAGGAGGAAGACTGGAGGAGAAGGGACAGTCAAAAAAAAAAAAAAAAAAAAAAAAAAAAAAAAAAAAAAGAAAAAAAAAAACGCTGCGCCGGGACAAACCATTTGGCATTTCCAGCCTGAAGCATGCCCCAGGGCGCAGAGTCGACAGAGTGAAGGGTCTCCATGAGACATTGCTTCCATTACCGAGACGCTTGGATGCCCGCGGAATGATCGTCTACCGAGCCTGCTCATCCCCCAAGAGATTCCCGCGGCGTTGCAGATTAGGTAACTAGTTCAAGTGAGGACTCGCTCCGTCGGGGTTGAACCCGAAGGATTCCTTCATCAGCGTCGGCGCTTGAGGTTGCAGTAAGTTCCACTTGGTACAGGGACTGCCACCCCTTTCCTGGGTACCTAGACTTGACCTCGTTGACTACTGGTAACAGCAGAACAGCAAGTCTCAATACATATTCATCTGGCGACTTGTCATCACCCCGTCTACTCGAGCCTGACCCACCCCTCTATGTAATGTACTTGACAAGCAACCAGGTGAACAGTTCGAGGGTTGATCAAACCTTAATCAATGAAGATAACAGTATGATGATAAAACAAATACCTATAGTCATATGAAGTAAAGAAATACAGGTATTGACTAAGGTACATGCTAGTAAGGCTACAATCTACCACCTGTTCACCGATCTGCATATGGGAACCGAGACAACCCAATTCCCCCAAGTCTCCGTCTCAACTCGATCAAATTCTCCTCCACCTCGCTTGAAATCGCCGATCTGAGAGCATCATCCTCGTAAAGGTCGACGTTATTCAAGAGGTAGCAAGTATAGAGGTATGTACTAGCACTAGTACCTCCCTCGCCATCAGCAGTAGAGGTACTATCCAACTCTTCATGTTGAGCCTCCGCAAACCATTTCCTCTGATACCTTATCCTCTCGCAACGGCCAGGAAGATCGTAATCCCTTCTTCTGTAAAGCCCTACTAATTGCTTCTGGGAATCGACCACGACCCGGAAGGAAATCTCGATACTCTCAAGCTTGGGCATGCAGAGCATACCGCGCGTCAGACTGATAGTGAGATGGTTGAGCTCGTTGGGGTCTCGTAAGAGAAACCGATCGATTGTGGAGCTACGACCGAGGGATTGCTCTCGAAGTCCTGATGGTGATAGGAACTAGTTATCACCGTCTGTGTAGAGCGTCGACTCGATCTTGACTTCGCGAAGGCGTGGCCAGAATGGTGGTGGTTGGCGTTCAAGCTCCTTGGGGTAGAAGAGCTCAGGGTGGACTGCAAACAGCCCGGAGACGTGGAGGACACTGAGTTGTTGACTAAGTTGTCTCAACGCTGCGTTGAAACGGGGATTGTGGTCCATATCGTCTTCGTCGCTGTTCCTCGCCATCATGGAGGCCCAGAGTTCGCTGGGAGTTTGGTTAAAGGTATCGAGGCCAAACGGACCGATGTGGAGGTATAGCTCGGTCAAGTTTGCAGTCAATGGGCCGGCGAGGAACTTGAATGTGTCTGGAAGTTCGTGAAGTCAGCAAATGATCACCAACAGAGCTCAACTTCTCACGATGGGACCAAGGCTGTTATGTACCTGTGAACAAACGGTCCTGAAATTGTTCCTGCCCGAGGAAGTTGAACATCTCATACGAGAGTTTGCCAACCGACGGCAGCTTTGCCATCAATGGTTGCAAGATCCATGAAGGAGGTACCTGGTTACCCCCGCCTGATTGTTTGAAGTGCCGAGGGCGGCGCCCCTTGTTCCATGCCTGATCGAAAACGATCTCGAGGGAGGTGATCGCCGGAGTGAGTGGAAGGCTTGTTGCCGCTTGTGGAGATGTGAAGGTACTCTCATCGTATTCAGCCTTCCAGTGTCCGATTCCGACGATACTGACCGTTAGCGCCAGTGGCTGTGTAGAGGTACTGTTCGTTCCCTGGTCGGTTGGCTATCGTTAGATGGCATATTTTTACGACAGCAAGAAGAGGTATACAGAATAAGGAATGAGGATGGAGGGGTTGCAGACTGCTTACCCATATGTCGTTAATGACAGTGAACAGTTGGCTGAACTCATCCATAAGTCTAAGTTGGCTCTCGCGAACAAAGTCCAACATGTCCTGCTGGCCTCGAAATGCGAGATAGGTTGTGTAGGTTAAGCTTCTGACCGATTCCCGACGATGCCTGTTGCCTTCCCCTGCCAGGATGTTTTTGAAGAAGGACAACTGGAACGAGCCAGAGGCAATACCATCAATCTTGGTGAAAAGCCGCCGTTCTATAGCGCGACGCCAACCCTTGGAGACGGTACTATATTTGCTCAATCTCGTGGGGCGTGCCTTTCCAAGATCTTGAACAAAGGCTTCGACGATTGAGTCGGTTATCTCTTGTGGTAGTCGATCCATGGTGACGATAATGTAAGGTATATAGAGGTAGAGGTGAGCAGTCCTGATGAAGTCGCAAGAATGCGACGACGGCACGGATGGAGGGGCTGTATTGTGATGCTATAGAGAGAGGCAAAGAGGGGAAGAGGAAGCTGGCAGTCTGGAGTGAAGAGATAGGCACCCAAGTGAAGGCACGGAGTCACGTGGTAGGAGCCCTTTAAGCAAATGGTGACGGGAAGAGGGAGTACCATAGTATACAGGAAAGCAAACGCGCGAAGATCTGGACCCGCCAGGCACCCACAAATTCAGCCCGGGTATGGCAGCTGGCATCAAGTGCCATGTGCCGTCACAGTTCCCATGCACCGGTGTCTCAAAGTCTGGTCCTGCGAGAAGCCCCTATGAGTGGTTGACAACATGGAATAAAGGCAGAGGTACTGGGGTCTAAAGAGGAGGAGGATGGAGGATATGCCTCTAGAGGTAGGTAGAAGTAGAGGTAGGTAGGTGTATATGTGACTCTGTGTCTGACCAACTCATCGCTCAACCCAATCACAAAAGATTATTCAGTCAACTGAGAGCAAGAGAACGTGAGCGTGAAGGAGAAAACACCAAACCAAGTAGAAAACAACAATAGGTACGCAAAACCGGCAAACTCCAGTCCCTCCCATCACCTCCTAGAGGTAGTCACCTAGAGGTACCCTACTCTACCAATGCCTTCCTACAGCCGGCTGCTTACCCTCCAAGTACCCAAGCCCTTGGGTCAGATTTGGTGTTCCTCAAAAACACTCCCTTCACAATTAAGTGGTAACCAGGAGACAAAAGTATCATGACGTCGGAGGCGCTCCCTTAATCTGATATCGGGTGAAGTTTATCCCTGACTGGAGGTGAAGCATATGCAGCAGGTACGGTGTCGCTCAGACATTTAAGTTCATTGAAGCGAGTTTCTTGGGTATTATCCATGAACTCGGATCTTGCAAATTTGGTTGATGACGGCGTTTGCCATCCTCTTAAAGCTTGTCGAACCATGATAGAGGCATTTCAAGACTCAACTTTTATGTGATACTTCATTTGGTCCATGTCTTCCAGCAACACAGGGCTATTTTGGATTCATCTCTTCAGCTGTGCACAGTCCGTTGAAGGTCTCTGTAGGGTAGTTTGTAGAGGTAGTCACAAGAACAAACGGTGCTTTACAACCGGCACAAGAGACATCGCATTTGACATCTGTACAGCGCGTTAGCTACCTTGAAACTTGCCCCTGAATGGATGAAGTTATACAGGTCTTATAGCGTCGATAGTTTTTCTTGGAACGTTTTTGTCAGCTTTCCGTTGTCGGCATTTGGGAGTAAGTAGGGTGTTATTTCACCAAATTTTTGTGGCGAGGTGACCAGAAAGCGATCATCTGGTGGTCCTGTGATCTGATCGAGCAAGCGTTTGGGGATGAGGTACACTCCACGCACGCCCAAAAATTCCCCAGGTACTATTGAGGATGTAGACTAGACAGTGCACTTCACAATGAGTGCCACCACGAGAACCTCCCAAGCGCCAAGTCACTAACAAGGGCGTTGATTGATGGCCGGAGGGAGAACCGTGGAAAGCTGGGACGTCGAGGGTACCTCTATCTGACGTTACAATCTCTTAGCCGGACTTCTCCCTCCTTTTCTTGGCAGGCGCCGGCATTGTGTCCCTATCCATGCGAATCGGCGACTCGGAGTCGGCCTCCGACAATTGCACTTGATTTCCAAGGTCCTCGGACAAGCCGTTCGGATTGGAAAGTGCTGGGACCTCAAGGTCCAGGTCGGGCAACTGGTCGATGGCCGAGCAGATTCTCTTGAAGTGGTCAGGCATCCATTTGTCGTAAATATTCTTGACAAACCGGTATGCCGTCCACTTCTCCTTACCATCCATGGTTGTGAAGCTAAATTCATAAATGGGGTGGCGGTAATATCTGGTGTTCTTTCCATCAATGACCGGATAGTAGCCGTCGAGCCAAACGAAGTGATGGTCGTGTGAGACGGAGAACGAAACAATTTGTCGGTGGACCTCGTTCTCCCGCCCTACATTACGGAAGAGCTTGACGATTCCGCGTGCCGCGAGAGCCATGCTGTGGGCGTTCTGGCAGTCCGCAACGTCCAAGTCGGATGATCTAAGCCCGCACTTTACCTCATAGGTGAGGAAGGGGAAGTACATGTCTTTTGTAGCCATAAAGAAGGATTGGTCGCCATCGAAGGGATCGCCAACAAACGGCTTCAGCTTGGCGAGTTGTTCGCTGGTGAAGGCGGTTTGCAGAAAGCCGACGGAATAGTCTGGTTGCGGCCGAGGGGTGATTATGGGGATCGAACTACTCCATGGCTCATTGACACTCTCAACCAAACACCCGAGGCCGGCGGAGCCGCATGTAGCGAGATTTTCCGCCGATGGAACGATTAGAGGCGAAATGTCCCGCAATACTCTCGCCTCATTCTTGTTTGCCACTTTCCGGCATGTTTCCTCAAACCGGTCGTCTCGAAATAGGGAGTCGGTTGGAACTGTTTGCTCGGAAGTAAGCAACGCCATGTAACAAGTTTTGCTCTCAACCGTGATCCCATGATCGGGCTGAGGATCCATGAAGACATCCATGGCCGCGAGCAGTTTCTTATAGCGTGGGTCTCGGTATCGAGTACTCTTCACCTCGCTCGGCGTCGTCGGTGTGGACAGCGCGGAGTCTGAGGGTGCGAGGTTGTCTTTGTACATGCCGTCTTCGTGTGCCGGCATGTCGTTGATGTCGAACTCGAAAAGTTGATGACTTGGCCAAACTCCTTCTCGTGCCCAGAAACCGATTGGATCATTTGGGTCTCTGTGGCCTGTAGACTTGGTGAATGTATCCTCAGTCGATGGTTTCCATATTTGCTGTCGTTTGGACGAGGGCTGGGGACTAAGAAAGCATGTATCTTCACCCTGACTGATCCTCTGGACTACGCCTCCTTTCGGCGTCTTCCTGGACTCGAATTTGCGCCATGGCGACGGCCCGACGGGGTAGATGTTGGATAGGAAAAGGATAGATTTGCTGTACAGCGACTGAAGAAATACCACGATGGCCAACCATGATGCGCGGGAATGCTACGTGGCTTGGCGTGATGAGAGGTCATTAGGTGGACGGAGTGAGGTTAGAGTTACACCAGTCTCGGTAAACAAACGTGTCTGCCGGCGCCACACGTGGCGCAATGGCTCTTGTGCTGTATCTGGGTGGTACCTAGGGCCGTGTGAGTGGCTAAGTGGATGAGGCTTGACGATGTCCCCTTAGATTGGCCGCCATATGCATGCACAGTCCATGTCTGAGGGTCATGCAGCTGACTGGAGTGAGTTTCCTATTTTGAGATTGCGCCATCATCTTTCGATTCCGAGTCCCCTCCAGTCCTTCCTCATCATACGCTTGTCCTGAGAAGGCACGATTATTTCATCGTGTTGAGTGCAAACTCGACGTAGCGAGCAGGAACGAAGCCCTCACCCCGAAAGACAGTGTCAACAAACAAAACTCAAGGGCACTGTGCTGTCTCGGCCCCGTTCGGGTTAGGGTTTCCAACGGCGGACTCCTCCTTCAGCTGACACTGCCCCATTCAGCTTTGCTCCGCTTTAGTCATCAATGGCTGTACCACTACTCACCTTATCTAGAGGTACCTGAGTATGCATTCCAAATGTACATTCAGCACCTCTCGAGCCCTGGGGCCTACGGGATTGAGCCTTGTTCAAAGCGACGTGGAGATAACATCTGAACCCCACTTCCGGCCCAAGTTGGAAGCACACACAGCTTCGGTTCCTGCCACGCAGTTTGGACACTCTCACAAATCAGCGGAAGCAGCAGCAGTTTCTTGGATGGAAAGAGGAAGAAAGATCTTTGTATTGGCTCTCATCACCACATCGACATAAGGCTTAATGTGGGGATCCCTCCATCCAGTCGTTACTGGGGAGGGGGTGAAGTGAAGAAGACACATGATCGGGCATAACTGCATACAAGTAAAACGCGAATCTACAGTACCTACCTCTACCTGGAGGTATCTAGGTAATGAGGAGGTGGAGCAGGTACCACACCAAAACACTTAAAGACACGTACCGTCAACAAAGGTAATTGTCAATAGCCTCTTCCCAAGACTAACCCAATTCAATTGTCTGTTTTTCGAAAGCCTTTCTGACATTTTCAGGCGACGAGTGAGAGAAGTGGAAAAGGCTCCGCAAGTTGCAATGGAAGTGCTGATCAGACTTATGTTGCCAGTCAAGCGGGGTTGACAGTCTTTGATTGGCGAGTCTTCATCTGTGCTGGCCAGCATTATGAGAGCCTGATGTGCGTTCATCATGAAAGGAAGTGGTGGTGCTGACACGTACTCACCAGGGCCAGGCTCGAAGCGTACGTTTGACCAATACGAGTTGACAAGTATGACGGCGGGCATGGTGTCAAACATAATAAAATGTGAAGCCTTTTGGACTAAAGCAACATGGAAATGTTCTGGGCGCTCATTTGCGGGTGATGGCTGTGTTACTTATCGTGCGGCTGAGATTGAGGTGGTCTAGACACCTGTTTAGCGTGTTTTCCCTCGCAGCGATGGATGGGTTTTGACGTACATGTCGAATACCATGTCCGTGAGGTGAGGCTTGGATGCTAGGGTAAATATATCTGCTCCGTGTCGCCCTCCATCGCTTCCTTATTTCCCACCTTTTGATCACAACCCAACGAGAAGAGACATATTCGCCATATCGTCTCCGATCCACCATTCTCGCAATTCACTGCAATTGCATCGTTTCGTCAGCAAAGAGCTTGCTCCCAGTTGAGTACCGACTTCTACATAGCCGTCCATTACGCCTTTCGCAGATTGGTCGCCGATGGCTTCCGGTTCCCGCGCGTCAGCGCTCTGCTTCACGCTTTCCCTCGTTCTATGGTTCTGTGTCCGTATCAGGGCTCAGGAAACAACAACCGAGCTACCGACAACAACACCCCTTCCCGATGGCGACCAGCAGGCGACAGTTGGTTGGGTGAGCAATCCTAGACGGAGAGGCACCCTGACCCTCCTTATCGAATGCTTGACGACAATCTTTGCCTGCACTTGGACCGTCTTGCACCTCAACGTTCCTGCCATAACCGATTCAACTACGACACGGGTTCTACGCAAAGCGAAATGGATGGCCATTACGGTTCTTTTTCCCGAATTCATTTTCGCTAAAGCTGTATGCGAACTTCGGTTTGCGTTAGGAATGCTTGATCGGGTTTCCCGTGATGTTCATGATTACCCCATAGACTTCCAAACGGTATCAGAGATGAAAATAAATGACCGTTCCGCCTGGGTCCTCTGGGCTTGGACCGTCGAGTTCGAGCCTCTACAGAGATTCCTTTACAAACTACTGATGTGGGGAACACCATCCCATTCGTTGGCATTAGTGGAGGAGGGGAAGGTGGTAAGGGAGGGAAAGACATTTATTGAAAAGAGCTTCTCGGAAAAAGACCGACATCGCGATGGAGGTGCGGTATTGAGAGTTCAGAAGTGGACACTTTCACACGCATATTACGCCAACATGGGTGGAATAGTTGCACGGAAGCGGATGTATGAATTCACTGCGGATAACAAGGAGTCATTCCTTACCCACTCGTATTCAGTTGTCCGCGGCGACCATCTCGCAGTTTATGGTTCAAGAGCGTGGAAGTTCGGTCATCCACTCAAAGAACTTCGGCTATCTGAGGACGATATCAAGGACAAAAGCAAAGCGGACTGGATCGTCAAGACAATTGCTGTCTTCCAAATTGCACGCCTTATATTTGACCTCGTTACACGTGGTGTGGGGGGTCAACCCATCACACAACTTGAAATCGCCACGGCCTCTTTCTCAGTTTTCGCTATCGTGACTTATTGTGTCAATTGGTGGAAGCCCAAAGATGTTTCACGGCCAACAATGATTGATACGGTGATAGATGAAGGCGCAAAAGGAGATGTGGTTCGGCGTACAACTGAGCCGTTCTTCGCTCGCTTGTGGCGTCCTACCGCTCCTCTTCATCATTATGAAGATTCTTTTTCTGCACGCGATCGTATAAGGAACGATGAGCTCTGGTCCGTCAATGGGATGTTTCGTTCGGCATGGGTCTTGATGGCGACATCTTGTCTTGTGTTTGGAGGCATTCATTGTATAGCTTGGTCATTTCAGTTCCCTACGCCGGTGGAGGAGCTTGCCTGGCGCATAGCTGCCCTGGTGTCAACGGGTTCACCTATCCTTGCTTTGGCTGGAAGCTTCGCGATTCTTCAATATACACCTAGGGATCTCAAGCGGAAGCTGGCTGAAGCCGTGAGAGACACTTTAGGTTGTTTTAACTACGTCGGCGAGGCTGCATTGACGAACATCGATGATGATTGGTGGAAAGCATTCACAACGGCAGTGAGCACCCGGGGGTCAAGGTGCATCCTGAGGAAGACATGTTGAGGGGCCTTAAAAGACTGAGGCGGGAACTTGATATGCTGATCAAGCTTGACGAGTCCGTCCAGGCTCTGATCTGGATCAAACATAAAGAAAGCAGCAGGTATGAAGGACACCACCTCAACGCCGTGTGGAAAACCGCACGCGAGTTGAAGACATCCGCCGGTCAGAATCTTGCCCTGAAAGGTGAATACGAGAAATGGGTGAGGGATTCGCATCCATCACCCTATGTGGCGTTCGAAACGCACCCTCATGGAGCGCCTGAAGGGATGTTCCAGTGGTTTTTCTCACGTTGTGCCGAGGAACCTGCCAGCGTGCAGTCATATCAGAAAGCGAAAAAATATCGGGATATCCAGGCGCAAAGACTTTTGAGAGTTCTCAACATCAGCAGCGGAATCATCTACACGGCTGCTCGGCTGGTCCTCTTTGGGATCATGTTCTCCAGTCTCCGGGCGGTTCCTGATGGCGTATACGACACTGCTAATTGGACCCGCTTCGTGCCGAGCTTTTCATGATGCGAGAACCCATCTGATAGGTTTTGGTTGGTGTTTAGGAAAGAACAAGGCCTCAGGAAGGAGAATGAAGTGGCAATTAGCAGTATCGGGTTATTGATGCTTGGCGTTTTGCAAGCAATGATGTTGTATGAACGATGACCTAGGCCAGCAGTTGCAGAGGACAGCACAAATCAGCAGCATGTGCTCACTATCACTTTTCTTACGGCTTGTGGTGCGGCTACTTGGATTATTCGCCATCAATAACACGCGACACGTTCCCCTGTTCTTAAACATAAAAGGAATCTTCCATACATTTCAAACTTTAAGCCAAGTGCAGACAATCACCGCAACACAACCCCATAGAGGTATCCAACCACATCCCACCCCCATCACTCCTCCGAGTCATTGCTAACCGTACTCGTCCCTCCGCCCTGCGCCTCCGAAATGACCTTCGTCCTGACCACCTTCCCCTCCACATCCACGTAAATCCAGCAAATCGCCTCAATGCCCGGGAACGGCTTATACTCATATTGCAACTCAAACTCCTTCACCTTTCCATCCACCTCAATGCTCCTGTTGTGTCCATTAAACGTCATATCATCCTTGTAATACCCCACCACCTGTCTCGACTGCTCGTTTCCGTCATTGTCGAGGTACTCATCCAAGATATCGCCATTCTGATCCAGTCGGCGATTGCGATGTTTGTTTCCTTGATAATTGTTGACACTGTAGAGGATATTGTGCTCAAGGTTGTAGTTGAAGGGGTCGTGATCTGCTCCTGATCCGTGTCCGGTGGCAGGGACGCGTTTGGTCAGGTCATTCTCATGTTCATCACCACTGGCACCACGTGCACCAAGCGGCACCTTCTTCACCAGATTATTTCCAGCTTTACCCGCTGCATCACCACTCTCACCACCACCGACAACATCCCCCACCCCATCCACAATTTTCCCCACGCCTTCCCCAAGCGTAGCAATAATCGGGTTCAAATCAATGCTCCGCAAAACATCATCAACCATAGCTACCACATTCTCCAGTCTGGCTTCCAACTCCACCTTGGCAGAGACGTTCTCAATCCGCAGCTTGACGCGATCAATGCTCGCATCCACACCCGCGCTAAAGTGCAGCAGACTCAAGACCTTGGCGTCCAAGTTGACCTTGGCCGTGATGTTGTCCACCTCAATGTCAATCAGGCCGACTGACACCGAGGCGTTGAGGTAGACGTCTGGGTCCTCGGGCAGGATGAGGTCTTCATCGGAAGTGTTGGCGGTTTCGTAGATGGCGGATTCGGGGTCGCCGCGGTGGGTGAGGCGGTAGCCTATGTAGCCGTCTTCTTTGGGTTCTTGGTCTTTGGAGGAAGAGGGGTCTTGGGTGAAGCCGAGGGGAAGGCGGGAGAGGGTGAAGAGGAGGGCGGATGCCCGGAGGAGGGAGAGTGGCATGGTGCAATTGGTGATGGGCCACACAGGTGGACTTTGTGGTGATGTAGATGAGTTTGGGATAAAGCGCGAGCTCTAGTGGGAAGGATTACTCAGGACTTCGATCCAGGAGGCGAAGTAGAAGCCAGAAGAACGGAAATCCAAGCTTGCGAGACTGGTGGTGGGGGAGGATGATGCGTCGAGTTGAAGTTGTGAAAGCAGATGAGAATCGGAACAGCAAGAAAGGAAGATTGCTCACATCAATTACCTCTCCAATTCCGGGTCCAGTCCCACATTGAGTTGCACACCGATCACGTCCATCACCGCGTCTTAATTGCCGAACACGCATAAACAACACAACCAATATATGGCCGATAGCCGCTCCGATATCGACGAGGTTAATTCCAAGGCAGCTCAGCACCGTCGCTCCACGAACTGTTACTCGATAAAGGCCCCTGGAGCCCTATGCCTTGGAAGGAAGCCGGCAGAGTAGCATCGTACCGTTCGAGACACGGCCTAATCGGGATGTGGTCCGGGGTTGACGATCATGCAACCAGTTAAGGCCAATATCAGAACAGGAACAGGCAGGGGCGGACAGGGGAAAGTTGGGGTCGGATATAGCTTACCCCTGTCTGATATTAACAACAGCAACCCACTTTGAGACGCGGGAACGGTTCGAGTTCAATGTCAAGATTACCTTGTTTGGGAGGAAATGATTTGGTTCGCGTTATAAGTGGCCCGGTCTGTTATTTCGCGTCATGTCAGCTATGTTCATTTCAGGTCTTGACAGCTCCTTTACTATCTTGACGAGTCTTCGTTCTTTGATCGGGGTACAAGTGGACTTACCTTTTCACAACTTCCCTCCCCATCGGAGCTATCCATCATCAACTCACTCCGCTCCAAACAACAAACCTCGCTTATTCCAAGCCCACAATCGGGCACTTAACACATGCGATGAGGTCCCTCCTCACCACCTTCCTCCTCTTCCTCCTCTTTGGGCTCCTCTTCACCCTTTCAACAGCCCAAGAATCCTCCGCCTCCAACACCGCCAAACCAACCTCAACAGCAGCCGCCACCTCTGTCTCCATGTCCATCCCGCCTACCTCATCCTCACCAAGGGCATCCTCATCCTCCACCTCCCCCAGCAAAACCACCTCGTCAAAGCCCTCCGCCACCGCCACCGTCCCCGGCCCCTCAGGCACCAACTACGGCCCCAAAGGCCCTCCCGATGTGCTCCTCCATATCCCCGAGCTACACGTCGGCCGCATCGAGCTAGACGTCAACAACCTCCGCGCCGACGTCGCCCTAGCCGCCGAAGTCGCCTCCCTCGTCCAACTCAACGCCGGCGTCCAGGTGGGAATCGACAAAGTGAACATCACCATTGCCGACGTGGACGCCAACCTCGACCTCATCATTCGTCTCGGCAATTTAGTCAAAGTCGTCAATCGCACGTTGTCTACACTCGACCTAAACCCGGCTCTGATTAACTTGATTGATGGCGTGGTGGATGCTGTCGATGGGGTTATCGGTGCTGTGGATGGATTGTTGGGGAGTGTTGTGCAGGGAGATAGTAAAGTGAATTTTCTGATTGATAATTTGGGGAATATCGTGCAGGAGGTGGTGGGCGGGAGTAGTACGATTGTGGGCGATTATTTGAAGAATATGACGTTTACGGGGACGGTGAAGGATTTGGGCAAGGGGTTGATGCAGAAGACGTACAAGTATGAGGCATTGGGGAGTGTGGTGAATGTAGTGACGAATGCGTTGGGGCAGGTGGTGCAGGCTGTTGTTGTTGGTGCTGGTGGCGGGGGAGGGGGAGGAGGGGGTGGTAGTACGAGCAGTTCGACTGTGAGGCCAACGAGTTCGACGACGGCAACGGCGACGGCGACGGCGAGTGTGGTGCCAACTTCAACTTCGACGGCTTGAGATGGGATAGGTAAGGAGGAGGAAAAAAAAAAAGAAAAAAAGAGTGGAAAGGTCTCGGTCGCGAATCGAACAGGGGACGTTTGAGCAACTGGAAGGGAGTAGTAGAGCCCTATTTGCATAGCCGGAAGACGCCAGTTACAAGAAACTAATCACAGAGGGGCACCACTCAGCGCTTATCACTCGTTACTTAGTGTAGTGTACACAGTTCTACGGTGACGCGGCCGCCTTGAGCGGGCAGTATTCCCCTGGGCCTAACCCTGGTGGGATTGCAGAAAGCTGCGCACCATACCGCTCGACCACTGTCCCTTTCCGAAAGCCTGTCACAAAGGTTTGACTTATTAACCCCCGCTTGAACCTTTCCTGTCAGAGATGGTTACTTTACCTTATCTATTGGATGATGACAAAATCCAATGCGTGACAAACAGTTCCCGCTCATTCTTTTCAGCTGTCGTGATTCCCATCCTCGAGAATGATTGACCGTCACTGGTCAAGGTGATTCATCAATACCAGGGACGCTGAAAGGGTATCATAATTGTTTATTCTACATTCTTTGCCTGATCACAAAGGCAGCGGCACCTCTCCCACAATCTTCCACTCCCCCGTCCCTGCACTCTCACTCATCCTCGCCTCCACAAGTTTTCCTCCCTTCTGGAAGAAACACCTATTGACCTCCTCCGAATCTTCCTCAATCGGAATCTCGTTCCCATTCTGATCCTTGTCAATGCTCGCCATGAGGACACATCCGATCTCCGTGTTTTTGTCCAACCCTTTCAGCGCTTCTGGCGCGGACGTCTTCCATGATGGAGAACCGTCTCCAGACCCGGAAAAGGAGGTGTAAACCATCTGAATGTTGGAGTCAGAGTCGAGGTAGAAGATGTACGTGTTCGGAAAGTGGGAAGGAGAGGAGGGACGGCTGGTGATCCAGGCGGCGATAGGGGCGCCGTTGGGAGGGGTGATGTCGGAGGGGAAAACTGCAGTTTGTTAGCTACCTAGAAAAGGGATTAAGGTCAGGGAGAAAACGTACTAGAACTGTTAAACCAGGGGCTAACGGCGTCGGTCCTAGCATCAGGGCCTAGATTGGGGACAGCAGCGGCCATACGACCGTCTGGCTTCTGGTAAATCAAGCCATATCCCCCCGATGTCGAATAGTTTGCCCAGCGAGTGGAGATGGGTACCATGGCCAAGCTCGTGCCAGGAAGCGCCATTATTCCCGTCATCCGATTGAGCCACTGAAGCATGAATATAAGAGCCTGGCCGAGTTCCCCGCTCGCAGCTTGGTATACGGTTGCGGGATAATAGCTGGCTGTGCTTGAATTGGCCATGGCCTCAAGCGACATTTTCTTGATGTTAGGGTCGTCACTGACAGCAGGATTATTGTTCTCGTTGATCGCCATTCCTAGTACGGTAGAACCGGCACCGATGTAGGTCAGAATAACGTGAGGCTGGAGACGTGTTAGCAGCTAGAAATGGAGTCGGCTGTGGTGCTGAATATCCATACCCTTGCGGGGTTACCAAAGCCATTGAGAATGATGGTGGCGGTTAGACGGGTGTTTCTCCTGAGACCGGTTATGATGTTGACAGGCTTTCCCCACGTGGCTCCGTCGTGCTTGATGTAGTAGACATCGTTGCTCTTGTCTTGGTAGAACAAGTAGAGCGCAACGTTGCCCTTGTCATTCCGCCAACTGGCGACGGCAAAAGGTGAACCTGAACGAATTGCTCCAGCGTTAGCAGCAGCAGTAGTTGAGACTGCCCCTCCTCCCGTCGTTGTTTGTGATGGAGTCGGTATCGTGGTCGAAGAGCCACCATGACCACCGCTATCGAGAACCGGATTCGTGTTTGCTTTCAGTTCTCGAGTCACCTTACTCCCGACCACACCGCCGACAATAGCAGCGACTATCAAGATAGCCGCAAGGACACTCCCTAGCATAACGCATAATCGCTTTCGGCTCGGCTTGGCACTGGGTTGAGTGTCGGCAACTTCGGGTGCTCGGCCAGCATTGTACTGATCGCGTTCATCCTTCCATTTCCAGTAGTTGGCCAGAGCAGTGTCCGGAGTGACTTCCTTGCCCACTTCCTCCTGACGAACCTCGGGCCAGCATTGTGTATCCTTGAGTTTTTCGTATGGTACAACCTCTAGACCGTCGGCCCAGTTCGGGGACTCGTCTGGCCCCGGTTGCCTCTGAGCATATTGGTATGGATGATCGGTGGTATGACTCGGGACGTAGTAGCCCTCGCCTGGTGGTGGTGGTGTTTGATGGGCCATGGTGTTGGGCCGACTCAAGGCCAGTACTTATGGCTTGAGCACGGTGGAACTGGCGACATTATATTGCGGGAGCGCGTGCGAAGCTCGTGTGGGGGCAGCGCCATCTTAAGGGTTGCTGAGTGCAAGGCGACATTCGTTCAAGTCTCACACCGGGAATTTTCCATCCAATGAGTGCTGTTGTGACACCAGATTAACTTCATTCTGTGGTCGTTGTCGTTGATGTGTGCCGCAGGAGCGCAGTGTCCGAAATTGGAGGTCGTTCTACGGCGTGTAAGGGGGTACAGGATGTGGTGAGACCATCGGTGGGAAGAAAAAAAAGGGGTTGAGTTCGGCAGAGATTAAGCGAAGGACGGGAAGGTGACACAGTCCCAGGGTTGTGCGTGCATTGCGGCACAGGTGGCGGCCAGCTGAAGCGCTGAGGTGGGTAGCCGCGAGTGGCAGTCCCGTGACTTAACAAGGACAGAAAATGAATCCACGGTCTGATATTAAAAGACGTTTTTTTACACAAGGAACCTGCTGATATGGGTGCCTCTGGTCAAATCGCCCGAAATGTCTCCAAGTGGCAGAGTGGCAGGCAGTTAAGTCAATCTCCACCTGGGTCAACCATTTATTGTGGGTCACCGTCCTCAACACCAACGGTCAAAGTCGTGATAACAACAACAAGGGATGATGAGATACTTTTAGTTTTACAAAGCGAGTTCAGGATGATCTAAGAAATCTCTACAATTTACCATTATCTTTTCCCTTTCTACCTCTATGTACACTCTAGCCCTGTACTTCAAGGAGACGGCCATGCATCGTTCTCATGACGACCATCACAATGAGAAACTACCTATTCATTACCTACCCAAACGAAGACGGAGGATAACCACCACCACCACCACCACCACCACCACCGCCACTATGCCACGTCTGTGACGTCGGTGGTCCCGTCGTCAATGCATCAGGAACCGTCATCCCCATCCCCATTCCCACGGATCCGGCGGGATTCACGCCTCCTTGCCGTCGAGGCCACTGCTGTACCTGCCCTTGTCCTTGTCCTTGATCAAATCCTCCAGACGGGTTGGTGTTCGCATTCACATTCACCGGCGCGGATGCTGTTGCCGATGGCGGCGCAGAAGAATAAGGTAAAGGATGCGTCGGCCTTCTTGAACTTGATCGTCCGTTTAGATACCCGCCAAACGCCACTCTTGGTGGTTGTTGTTGTTGCTGCTGCTGCTGCTGCATCAGAGGAAGTAGTGGTGGTGGTGGAATGCCCGGTGCTGAAGAGGTCGGTAAGGCAGACGTGTTGACGTTGTACCCGTGTCCAGTGGTGGTAGGAGGCGGTATCGGCACCAGAGTGGTAAGTGGTGGTGCGGTTTGCGGTGGTAGCATGCCCATTCCCATTCCATGTCCTGGCCCTGCCATCCCCGGACCCGCTCCCAGACCTGGTCCGATCATTGATTGTCCTGCGCCCGTAGAACCAATCTGTACCGGACTATGCGTGTAATTCCTTCCTTCCTCTGCATCACCCTGTCCCTGTCCCTGGCCCTGACCTTGACTGAACATCATCGGCATCACTGTCGACACTGGCCCCATTCCTGCCATCCCCGTCGCAACAACAGGATACGAGGCCCTCCTCCTCCCCCCTCTCCGTCCCGCAACCTTCAACCTCCCCACCCCCATCCCCAAACACCGCTCCTCTACCTCTTTTACGTCCATCCCTATCCGTTCCGCCAACCCCTGCCATAGCTCCCCTCTCATCTTTACATATTCCCCTGCTATGCGCGCCAATCGATCCTCATCAACTTCCTCTTCGGCCTGGCGCTTTTCGATAAGACGCTCGTGTCGCTTGCGGCAGGCGTTGGCCGTCTTACCGGGGAAGTGTAGCCGCTGCAGCTCGGACCAGGGGAGTTGCGAGGCGCGCGAGGAGAGAAGGAGGGCGTCTTCGCGAGGGGTCCAGGAGGTTGTGGGGTTGTGCAGGCTTGGGGAAGGGGGGGTTGGGCGGGGGTTGTAGGACGAGCTCGGATTAGGAATTGGACTTTGGGTTGGGTGGGCTACTTGAGTTTGAGGTGGTTGGTGGTGGTTGTTTGGCGGTTGATGTGGTTGCGGTTGGGGAGGAAAGTGGGTTGGGTGGGCGGCGTTTTGGTTGACGATAGTGGGGCCTTGGTGGTGCTGTTGGTGTTGAGCATGTTGTTGTTGTAGGGCATGATCCTGGTGCTGATAGCCTGTCAGCTGAAAGTTTGGCGCTGAAGAGGGGCTGCTGTTGTGCGGCTGATTCGGCCCCTGTAACGATTCAAAAGACGGCTGCTGTCCGTAAGTCGATGTCGACGACGATGGTGACGATTGTTGTCCGCCAAAATTCCTAGGTATTGTCCGTGGAGTTGATGTTATTGTTGCTGTCGCATATTGAGGGTTCATCATTCCAGTCCCCGTTCCGGGCCGAGACCCGGCGCCGATCCCGGGATTCCCGCCGTACCCGTAATTCGGCGGGGCCGCTGATTGTGGATGCGCCGGTGGTGGTACCCCGGGTCTCACTCCCGCTGTGGTGTTCATTGACCCCGCGGCGTGGTGATACATCATTCCCGTACTCCCATGACGCCCACTGTGACCGTGACCTCCACCATGGTTGTTATGACCGCCACCGCTCCTGTTGGCACTGCTCGGATATGGTTCCGACCTCGCCACGGCTTGGTATCGGGGGTGTGATGGTGGCTTTGGCATGGCGATCTGTCTGTGGGGTGCTGTATGCTGAATCCGGATTGCTGTAAGGCGATGCTATGCTATGCTATGCTATGCCGGTGCTGCTGCTTGCTGTAGTGTAGTGCAGTGTGATGACATCGGCAGTGGTGGTGCAAGCACAGAGCCCAAAAGAGGTGTGACTGTGATGGGATGGTGATGAGTTCCAGGCCGTTTTAATTCTCCGATTCGCCAGTCGAATAATAAACGTTTGTCTGGGATGGAAGCACCCCCGCCCCCTTGCTGTGCCTTTCTGTTCGGAGGTGTGAGTTTGCTTGTATCCGTCAAAAGGCTCCGTCTCCAAAATGCGACCAACTTGGGCGACCAGTGGATCAAACACTTTGTACGGGGTTACGTGACGGCGGCCAGGGTCATGACCCGTCTGGGTCTGAGAATATACCCGGTTGGAGTTCAAAGAGACGATATAGCTGGGGCCCCGAAATCAAAGCGGCGGAGATCCGGGGAGATGAAGACGGGGAAATACACATCCAAGGGCCATTTGTTGTCATCAGATAGAAAGAGAGCGTCAGCAGATGGAGGCCATGACAACACCACCACCACCAGCCCGCCGACACCTCTCATGGTCCAATGTCCACCGGCGGCGGCGGCAACATCCAAGGGAAATTGTACGTGTTTCAGATAATAAGCCGCAACCCCAAATCCACAGGCCGCTCCCGGGATTCTGCTTGGGACAAGCGACGATATCCCAAACTAAAAAAGACCCTATGCAGCAGCCGCCATGTGGACTGCAATGTGGACGCAGACGCACTTCCCACGCACATGCGAGCAACCTTGCTCGGGTGGGTACACGGCATCCAGGTGGCATAAGGGGTTGCATTCGTTGTACATGTTGCGGTTCAAGAGCCCTCTCAGCCTGTTGATGTTTGTCCGAGTGTAGCAACGACAGCGACCCTGTAACTGGGCTAATCGACTCCATCAACAACGCTACTGCATCGTCAGATTGGAGACATGCACCGTACCGTGGCAGCATGACAGTTGGCATCCCAAGAGTAATTTCAGTCTGCAGCAGCCATGGTACCCTGATCGGCATGCACTGGTGTTAGTGGACAGGGGGGCCATGCAGCTATTTACTAACAGCCGAACATCACGGCGCTATGTCACTCGACTTTAAGGACAACAGTTTTCGGAATGCCAACTCCGACGGGAACAACACTCATGGTTAAGATGTCATCGCTTGTGAAGACGGATTAACCAGCGAAGCAGAGAATGACGCAAGATTGAGCCAAATACAAACGGGAACTTTTGGCCAGCAACGTCGCCGCAAAGAAGCAACAGACCATTGCAGTCGGCACTCTACACCAAGTCCACGGCGGTCTCCTTGACGGCCTCAAACTGCTTCCCATCCTGCACCGCAAACCAGCCCACGCGATGAAATTTGCCCTTTCCATCGCGGGTAAGCAGTAATCCTTCATGTGCGACAACGAGTAAGCACCAGAGATTCGCCGGCATTGGATCACTGGGGAAGTCAAAATACCCCAGCGCAATGTAGCTCGATTTGGCCGGTCCACTCGATGCTGACTTTACCGGCTCCAACATGATGCCCTCCGGCGTCAACGGCGTGTGTTTCTTCATCACCTTTGTGCAGCGAACCTCGACAGCCTTGCCAAAGATCTGTAGCTCCAGCGCCGGCATGAACAGCACATCTGGGTTCCCTGCCCCTGACTGCTTGGTCCACAGCCCTTTGGAATCTCGTGGTCGAATGCAAATGTTCTTGGGATCAATCCATCTTGACTCGATACGAGGGTTGGTATCCCAGAACACCGGGCCTGTCACGTACGCCCAGCTCCATGAAGGGGCACGAATCACTGGCTTACCTGGAACCTCGCCTGGGCGTTTGGTGAATGGGGATGCTGACGGCTTCTCGATGGGTTGAAAGTGCTTGCGACTGACATAACTCCAGCGGGATTTCCACAGCAGCCCTCTTGGCATATCACATTCCCATAGCCCAGCCAGGTACCTCGACTTCAGAACGCCATGCGTAATCAGTGCAACGGAAACGATGCAAGCAAAGATGTCGTGCGGCTCTGTCAATGCGCGGGGAGTAAACGAAACGAGCATCTGATACCATCTCCTCAAGACTTCGGGTTTGGTGCCGGGATGGAGAGAAGTTAGAGCCTGTCCCCGCTTGCTAACGTCGACGTCTACACATCCGTCTTCGTACCGCGTGTGGTGGCGGCATTGGTAGAATACCTGGTCTTCTCCAAAGACAAGAGCGCGATTCGAGAGCAGAGCTTCTTGAAAGCACCAGCCTCGGGTATCTACGGGCCCGACTGACTTTCCACGTTGCATTGTCAGGTAGACAGTTCCGAGATCTGGGCCCTCGCCGGTATGGGGATTGGGGCCGGCTCTCATGGGGACTGGCTTTGGGTGTTTCTTGGTTGTCAGATAGTGGTTGGTCAGGAAGCCGAGGCCGCTATCGGGGGACCGGCCAGCAATGATGGTCAGTTCAGCGTTGCCGTAGACCGAGGACATGCGCTTGGATTCCGCCTCCCAGTCTTTTTGGTTTTTCTGAATGATACAAAGGGCGTCGATCCAGAGGTAGCGAATCCCGAGCAGGCGGGTGAGGTCAATAGCCTCGGTGTGGGTCTTGCTGAGCCGGGATTCGGGGAGGAGCTTGAGGAAATCGGCCAAGTTCGTGTCGTTGAGCATTGCTTGCGTGCCACTGCCCCAGCAGTAGGACAGAGCCGTGTATGGCTGTGGCTGCTTTAGGTCTTTGGTCAAAACAATCCGCGTGACCCTCTTGGCCGCTGGCAAGGTCTGATCTCCAACGTCGATGACCCTCGTCGGCATTTGTCGAGTCCCGGGCGGGCATGCCTGATTGCAAACTCCATGTCCCTTACGACAGTTCACCAACGTATTCTTGGCAAAGGTCGCATGATATTCGGGGTGGACAGCACTGGTGCTGTATCTTCCCGCGAACAAGCCGCCTGCGTTGGTGGCAGGGTCTGCTCCGGCGGCGACAGGGTCAGCAAAGACGACAAGATTGGTTTGTAGTTTGGATGGCGCATCATGGCCAACTGCTGAGACAACAACGCCGCATGAGAGCCAGATCTGGTCGGGAACGCTGGCGGTGCCTGCGGGATGCCATTCGCCGCGGAGGTAGATCTTGAAATCGCCGTTGTCGCTGGACTTGACTGCGTTGGCGGGCAACTTCTTGGCTAGACAAGCTGCAATGTCCTCTTTGGCGCAGGTCCGTTGAACTTGTGTCCACCACAAGCTACAGCTCTCGCACTTTTTGGCCGATTGGACGAGAGAGTTGAGGTCTGGGTGGAAGACGACATCGTCGTTGAAGAGGTCGTAGAAGCGGAGGGTCGAGCACTTGGAGCAAAGGGTGGGCGCCATCGTGTGGCCGTTGATAATAGAAGTTGTAAACCGTCCACGAGAATATGGCAATTCCTGGATTGTTTAGAATCCATGACTGCCGAGGAAGAAGAGTCATGAAGAGTCATGGTCGTCGATGATATGTCTTGTCATACTACATATGCACGTGAAGCTGACGGCGTCGCTGCGGCCGCGCAAGCCTCAATCGGTGGTGGGGTTGGCTGACCCAATGAGCCGCGTCTCTCGCATCGGGCGGCCATCGTTTTGTGGGTGTCTTGCTGATTGAATCATTATTTCCATTCCGTGTCCGTGGAGTTTCGTATCAGTTGCTGGCCGCCAATATTGAGGTTGAAGATGATGTCGGAAAAGTTGAGGTTGGAGAGCAAACACGAGAAGGGTGGACGGGATCGGATGAGGGGCACTGACGGGAAGCGCTATGACAATCCGAGCTTCAGTGCTTGGGCGCTATAACGTGTACAACCGTACTCCACTTTCCCCCCCCAGAAGATAACAACGATAATGGCGGGGTACGGATCGGGTACCTTGATGGTCACCTCACTCCGTCAGTTCATCCTCTCTTTTCCTCTTTTATTTCCTTCCTCTTTGTAAACCCCTTTATCTCCCTTTACTTTTCACGGCCAATTGACCTCATTTATAAGCTGACTTTCCGACCATGGCGTTCTCCCCACCCACAATTGGTCAACCACATTCGGCGTTATCAACCCCTCGGCGTTTGCTACCCTGTCTGCCTCCTGCTCGCTCACCAATGCTCGCCAATCGACAGCGCCTCGAGTCGCCAAGTGCTGACAGGATCAAGTCAGTGATGGGGTGGTCGGTTGCCTGATTCCTCCATCAGAGACAAGGTACAGAAGTACAGCCAAATCCGACACACAAGTCCCCAGCTCCATCTTGTTCCATCTTCTCCTTCGTCTTCATCCTTGTTGTTGTTGTCTTGATTGCTAATGACAAGATGCCTCGCAAACCAGTCCTCCAGAGCCGACTGGCATGCGACCGATGCCATTCCCAGAAACTGCGATGTCCACGACAAGACAACTACAAGACCACCAAGGACGAAACATCAAAACAGCCAGCGCCATGTGTCCGCTGCGAGCGCGCCAAGGTGGCCTGCGTCTTTAGCCCACGCCAGCGCCGGACCGTGATTCCAAAGTTGGCTGGTGCTTCCAAACCACCACCACCACCAAATCACGACATTGCCAACAACGCCGATACTACGCCTGCCTCTACAGGCCCGGCGTTAACACAGACAGCTCCAACAGTAGTCGAGAACGGAAATGTCAACTCCGTGGAGGTGGAGAGTGCGTCGTGTACACTGGAGAACCCGCTACCCACCACTACTGCCACACCCACCGACACTCAACTCCTCAATGTCACCGATCTCGACCAAGACTTTTATGGTTCCTCATACTTTGACAACAACCAGTTCCACTTGCAACAGCCCTCAAGCGGTTCATGTTCCAATCCATCAACCACCTGCACCGACCTCTGCCCTCTCTCACTGGACACCACCACAGCCATAGACTGGGACAACATCCTCCTCTGCGACCCTCTTCTCCCACCCTCTCGAGGCTGGTCACTCCTGGATATCGACAAATCTCTCCTTCCCCCTCCGGCTCCCGACCCATTTTCCCCTCCTCATGGCCCTCCACTTCCTCTAAACCTCATGAGCTCCACTTCCAGCAGCGATATCGACCCCATCCTCTTCCACCCCTCTGCCAACCCTTCGGTCGACTACTCCAACCCCCAAGCCCTCACTCCCTACTCCCCCGTCCGCCAACTAGCCAACCTCAACGTCTCCTTGTACGAACACCTCTGCCTCATCCCACAAATCTACAGCAACTGCGGTTTGCCACCCCTCACCCCCGTCGTCCGCATTGATGTTCTCGAGAAGCGGCTACTCGCAATCGACCACACCTTCCAACTTACCCAAGAACTAATCGACATCGTCGGCAAACTTTACCCGCGCTCCGGCCCAGGAGTACTATCCGGTGACGACGCTCCTGATGCTCCCAAAACGGGAACGGGCGTGCCGCTGGGCCAAGACCAAGCCACCATCCTCTTGCTTCTGTCGTGTGCGCAGAGGGTATGTGACGTCTACGACCTGTCGCTGAGCCACATGCGCAAATGCCTCAAGAAGAACTCGGTTCCCCATTTTGATGAAGAGTTGAAGCCGGTGAGGCTGCCCCCGTTTAGAGTGTCAGCGGTGTGTGCGCCCCCGACGGATAGGGCGGTCGCCTTGCATATGTGCATGGTGATGATGATGGCGAGTAACCTGTTTGATCAGTTGCAAGAGGTTCTTGGGTTGTGGAGGCATAGTAGTGGACAGGAGCAACATTCTGAGCTTGAGGTGCAGGTGGACCTGCAGTATCCAGACTTTGGGAGGGAGGCGAAGGAGAAGATGGGGAAGAAAGCTCGGGATGTGGCCATGGAGATTGTGACCATAAGGCAAATCATTGTGTCCTTTTCAGGCCTTGGAATGGAGGATACGAGACAGGCAGTTTTGGAGTTGGAGTCGGGTGGTGGTGGTGGTGGGGTGAGGAAGGCAATAGGGGAGGTACGGAGGCTTGCGCTGGAGGGCTGCTGTTCGCAAAATTTGGGCGAGGAGTGTTATTGAGGGTTGATGGTGGAGGGAGGTCTTTGTAATATTTATCGGAATTTCTTCTCGATTGCATGTAGGTATATAGGACCAGTCATCTCAACTCATCATCGCCTTTCATGTCCCAACTCGCCCCTAACCATCTCTCGTTCAGCTCACTCCATCCCCATTAATCACCATCCGTCTTCTCCTTCTTCACTCTCTCTCTGTCTCCGATCAATCCCAACTCATTCACTCCAACACCTCTTTGCGAAATCCAACACCTCCCCATTAAACCTCTCCGCCTCCTCCCAAAACAACCAATGTCCACTCTCATACCAACTCGTCTCCGCCTTCTCATTCCCCCCCTTTTTCGCCCGCTTCACCACCTCCTCCATCCCCTCCAAACTAAAACACCCGCTTCGTTTCCCGCCCATGACCAAAACCGGCTTACTAATCCCCTCACACGCCTCCCGGTGATCATACCTCGTATGATCAGCAATCAACTTCGCCAACCACTCGCCCGACGGACACTGCGCGCTGATCCCCGTAAAGAACTCTTCATCTTTCTTCCTTTCCTTTTCATCGATCTTGTCAGTAGGGAGCGGTTTATGGCGATACCCCAAACACTCATCCACCAGTCCCAGGTGCGTAGCATGTCGGTCCTCCGGTGGTAAGTTCCATGCCTGCTGAGCGCCAAGCATCGTCGCTTCGTCGTAGCATCCTTTATGGGCTTTGGTGGAGTCCCAGGAATCGAAAAGGGAGCGATCTTGAAGAGGCGCTTGGTCAACGAAAATGAATCCGGAGAAAAAGTCCGAGTCGGTGAATAACTCGATATACGTCCAGAGAATGGCGGCGCCGATGGAACACCCTACGCCAATTACCTCCAAGGGAGGCTGCGGTAGGGATTGAGGGGAGAAACCAAGGCGGGAAGTCTTGAGGAATGTGAGGAGGTTGTGTAAGTCCGTGGCGAGGCGGGCGACGTGGTATCCTCCTTTGTAGGAAGTCTCTCCGTTTTCCTTCTTCTCGTCATTTTCCTTCCCATCATTATCCTGTTCGCTTTCCTCCTCCGAGGCTCCCTTCCTCGCTTTCACAAGACCACTCCTCCCGTGCCCCCGCATATCCCACGCAACCACCCAGTGGTTTTTGGCTAGTTCGTCAAAGTTGCGATCAAAGTAGTCGCTGGATCCTGAGAAGCCGTGCAAAAGTAAGAGCAAGCGGGAATAGTTGGGTCCTTCTTCGGCGATGACTGAGGCTTTGGAATCACTTCGTGCACGCGGACCGCCGGATGTGCTTGTGCTGTTTGCTGTTGAAGGTGAGGACTGGAGAATCCGGGATGAAGGATGGGTCGGGGTTGGTGATGGGGAGAGAAGATTTGAGGGAGATGAGGGCGCCGTCGGAGGCTTCGAATGTGGTGTATTGTGGGCGCGGCATTTTGTGATGGGACAGTGGGTTCGGGTATGAGTTTGAGATGCAACGAAGAGGATGATGATGGATGTTGGTGTTGACAGTGGGCTGGGCTGGGCTGGGCTGGTGGTGGTGATGGGATTGACGTGAGTGTCGTTGAGATCAAGTGGTGAGTTTTGGCGGATGATGATCAGGACCTGACTTGAACAGATTATCGTGGGGAGCGGGTTGCTTTTGAGATATTCAGAATCAAGGCAACGGGATGCTGGGCGAGCAGGACGGGATCGTGATTGGGACTCGAGGGGGGGCCGTTCGGTTGGGCAGCGCCAGAGAACTGAAGATGACGCAATTCGATGCGGGCGGGAATACGATAGGTGATAGTATTCCACTGATGTGCAGCAGCAATGTTGGCAAATGCGTCTTTTGCGCTTAGACGAAAGCAACACAGTGGAAAGAATGGTTTGCGTTGAGTTGTTCTCTTAATTGAGCAAAGATTAGTGAAGAAACATTTGCACGACGTCGAAAAAACAGTTGCGACTCCATCAGAATCTGGAGATATGCGGGGGAAGTGGATAAGGGGTAGGGTTAGCACAGGGAAAATCCCTTGCACCTTTTGGGGGGTTATTGAGGACCTCTGATTGGCACAGGAACCAACCCAACTCTGTCCATCCACATAAAACCAAATATGGGAAGCACAATAAAGTCATCTTGGGAGAATCAAAGCTTGGAATCATAATCATTCACATCATTCATGGGTATCTTCAACACCTTCTCCTCCCTTCCCTTTTTGCAACAAAAAACATCGCAACGCTCTTAATGCATTTCTGCAGGCATGCCTTTCTTCCCCCATACCGCCCCCCTTCACTCCTACTTCCCTGAACCGGGGGAATCTTAAAACGTCCTCCTCCCAGTAACCAAGTCCGCATCCTCCGGCCTCACCCTCTTGGTCTTCTTAAACACCTTCCACCACCCAATGTTGATCAAAAACACCGGAATACCAATGTAACTCGTCAAGAACTTGTCCACTTGGAAATGCGGGAAGAACGCGCCGAATCCGTTAAAAATGATAATGAGAATAGTCAGGAACAGCGCAATCGGGGCACCCCACGGCAGCAAAATGTTTCTGTATGGCATCACCTCGCGAGGAACGCCCTGCACCTTCATCGCCCGGATCATGAAGAGGTACGAAACAAGGATGGCAACCCAGTTCAGAGCCCCAAAGACCGTGACGAGCGACACGAAGTAGCCAAACACGGTCGATGATCCCTTGCTGGCATTCATGTAGCCCAAGAGAATGAACAAGGAGGACAGAATGACGGCCGGCACAGGCACACCGCGCTTGTTGGTCTTGTTCATAATGCCCGGCGCCTGTCCGTCCTTGGCCAAGGCCCAGAGGGTGCGCGAGGCAAGGTAGATATCCGAGTTGGCAGCCGACACGGTGAAAATGAGCAACAGTCCGTTGACCGCGTCGTCGAGCTTGTTGATACCAGCGTTCTTGGCCGCGATGACGAACGGGGAAGCCAGACCGCTGGTCTTCTTGACAGCGCCGAGCAGGGGGTCCGTGTACTTGACGGCCATGCCCAAGACGAGGATACCACCGAGGTAGAAGAAGACAATACGCATGAGCGTCTGGCTGACGGCGCGAGGGACGTTCTTGCGGGGGTTGGGGGTCTCGCCGAACGCGACGCCGACGAGCTCAGTGCCGAGGTAGGCAAAGGTGGCCTGGACCATGCAAGCCCAGACACCCAAGAAACGGCCGGTGGCACCGGGGATCACCACTTTGTCGTCGCCTGCCGAAGCCGAATACTGGGCAAAGGCGCCGGGGTCTCGCCAGAATCGGAAACCGGTGCGCACGTGGTTGGGACCGCCGCCGAGGGCAATGATGAAGCAGAGGAGGATGAGCATGACAATGATGAGGGCTTTGATGAGCGACATCCAGAATTCGGCCTCGCCAAAGAAGGCCACGTGGATGAGCTGTTGGTTGGTTAGCTTTGCTGCTCCCTAGCGAGAACGGAAAAGGGGGGGAAACGTACGTTAACAGCAATGATGGCCACACCAAAGACCGTGATCCACACAGACACATTGATATCCGGTCGCCAATACTGCAGAATAATTCCCGTAGCCGTCAGGTTGTTGGGCAGCACAATCACGTATTTGAAAAAGTAGTTCCAACCCGTAGCGAAACCGAAAGCAGGATCGACGAAACGTGTAGCATAACCGGAGAAAGACTTTTTGTGTGGTAGCCAGGCACCCATCTCGCCGAGAGCAACCATGACGATGTAGACGCAGATTCCCATGATCAGGTATCCGATGAGCAGGGAGCCGGGGCCGAGTTTGAGCGACGTGCCGGTGCCAATGATGAGACCTGTGCCGATGGCGCCAGCGATGGCCATCATGTCTAGACAACAACAAAAACACTTTGTTAGCCATTGTGTTGTGGCATGTTGGACTGGGGGAAGAGAAATGAAAGACTTACTCAACTGGCGCGGCTTCATGGCGCGATGGAGATCATCAGCACCATCGCCATCACCGTCTTCGTTGACGACTTGGCCATTTTCGCTGCTGTAACTAGCGCCGCGTTCAATTCCGTCGTCTTGTCCGTATGCTGGTGTGGTCTTTTCGTCGCTCCTCCCTTTGAAAAAGTTGAAGTTGGAGGCCATGATGGGCCAACTCTATCGTTCTGACGTTGTTGCTGTTGTTGTTGTTGTTGTTGTCGCAATCGGTTTGAGCAGACTGCGAACTTGGGCCTTGGGGTTCTATATGCCAGTTGGGACGGGATTCGACCAAGTTCCAGTCCGTGGTAGGCACCGGGAAGAACAAGAGACGTCGGGGACGGACTGTTGAGAAACAGTGAGGCGCGTGACAGAAGAATGGAAACGAGACGAAGTCTAGACCACAGAAGTGATGACCATGGGAACGCGGGAGAGGTTTTCAACTTATAACTCAAATCCGGCCGAGAACCGGCAACCCGAGTTCCCATGGGGAAGGAAACGAGGAAGCTGCAAACCAGGTAGCATCCCATGTCCCCATTTCGGCCATTTCCCAATCCCGTCCCCAAACCTCAGCCCCAATCCATGTACACCATGTACCGACCTGGGCCGCCACTGGGCGTTATCCAGGCAGATAACAGGACTCCATTAGTCAGGTCTGTACATTGTCGCATGGAGGCGGCTCTCTTTTTCCTGTCCCGGGGTGTTTGTGTTGCACTGGCTACCTACTTGGGGGGCTCCTGGACGCCAAGCTTTTGTTTCTGTGACTTATAAAGGTGAAATAAAAAGACGAACTCGGTGAGCGAATGGGAGACACGAGTGCGGGTGGCTGAGATAAGACAGACGTTGAGTGGCATCGTCCCCCAAGTCCTCCTCAGTCTGCGGGGAAGACGAACAAGGGACGAGCATGAGGAGGAAGCCTCTCGAAGCCTCTCATAGTTAACCCCAACCCTGAGCCTAAGAACATGGGCCAAGCAGCCAAAAAGAGAAGAGATGAACAGGGCGCAAGTCCAGAACACCACCGGCAGCACGCGAGCGACTGAGACTGCTCATCACTGATTGGACAGCGCATGTACAATCAGTGGATGGCGCCATGCACAACGGCGGCCCCACTAGCTTCTTTCAGCGACCGAAGACCTGGAGTTTGAACTGTTAAAGTGTAAAAAGACAGTGCCCGCGTCGTCATCCAGGCCGACACAAACCAGGGTAGCCACTCGGCCACTGTAACCTCAACATGTTATTCCATTGTGTGAATGAATCTCTATTCATCCTTCCCAACGCAGCCGACTTAGGAATTCATGAGGCGTATCAGCATCGCGTGGTCTTATCGTGGTTCCGTAAGGTAGGGATATAACACCGAGAAGTTGCCCGGTATCAGATTTGAGATCCTGATAATTATTTCTTCACACCAGTACCCTACAGACTGTGGACCGTCGCGGTTATCTGTGGATTGTTTGCGGTGCGGTTATCTGTGGATGGCGTAAGCAAAGCACTAACATCCCGGTCGGAACCTATGGGGGAATTTACATACAAAGACCCGCCGCTAGTGTTTACACCAGGGGCACGACTCCATTGGCCGAAAGATGGGGGGGGTCCAGGCATTTGGGGGCATCAGCGACACCACCAAATCATTCAGCTTGGGAATACTTGCTCGGTGTCGAAAAAGGCAATGGCTGAGCAAGGCGAAGACAGCACACTGCAATGCAGGATAATGTTTTACCAAGTCGGTTACCACAAACAACTTGTCGGTTTTGTTCGCCATAAAATCAGCACAGCCCTGGCCCTGATAGAGATCGATGCCCAGACCGAGCACCAAATACGGGTCCTCGCTGACCTGAACACCACAACACCACAACAACATCACAAAATATCGCGACAACCGATTGTAAAAAACCAGGAACTCAAAGAATCTCCAAGCCTGGAAGCGCCACAGAGGCAAAAGTCAAGACGGGATCAACCTATGCCCAGACCTCCCGTACATTACCTTCGGCTTGAAGATAAGGCAGGCAGGAGAAACAAGCCATGCCCAGCTCTCGGCATCATCTTGGCGAGGGGGTGACAAAAACGCCCAGCCGCCGCCAAGGCATTGCCAAGCCTGATAGTGCACGACACCACATTGCAAAATGAGGAAGGTGCAAATTTTCTGGGACCTGACTCGTCGCGCCGATGGAAGCCGCTGTCGAGACTGAAAGGATTGTGTAACGGAAATTCCATTTTAAATCATGCCCGTTGATCAACATGGGGGAACTAAGTTGTTGAGGTCCGTCTTGGTAATCAACTTGGACAAATCTTCAACCCTTTTTTTTTTTGGCTCGCATATTCGGAGCCGCGTCTTTTTGTGTGTCGTGGTTGGGATGATGTGGTGTCGGTGTTGCTGTCGTCGTCGTCGTCGTTGGCAAAAGTGGTGGATTGAGAATGCCTGCCGGGCGAGAGGAGTCCTGGGGAAGACAAGGGAAAGCTCCCGCTCGCCCAATCAGAGGCCTTGGGTTGGATGGACCCATTTTGGCCCGAGTTAACACTAGAGCCTATTTTGACGACATTCTCAACTGGAGACACAGAAACCACTGCATCGATTGGGCGGTGGGATTCTACCAACGTTCAGCTCAGACGCTCGACGATCTACGATCTCTTTGATGTCTCGAAGCCAAGCGGTCTTCAAGGCTCGATTGTTCCAGGAAAGTGCTGGGCGGCGGAAGGTTTGTGCGCGGCGCTGACTGTCTGCCCTCGGCCGGACACTTGATGAGTCCTTGATACGGAGGCCGCTGGTCCGGAGGTGGCACGCTGTTTATTCTCCAACAGCGCGGCCCGAACAGTCTTGGCAATTCTGCTACTCGATGTCAGAAGTCTGCGTCGAGAGTAAGAGTACGGATGGTCGAACGCGTCGTTGGGCTTGGGAAGCGGTCGATGGAGGTGGGCGGAATGCATCAGCCGGTCTGATGGACATCGTGAAGGTGTCCCTGTTCTGTGCTCTCTCACGGGATAGTCTCCCGACAAGAGCAACTTGAGTATGGTCAAGGCTCGGCTCTGGGACCTGGCCGGGATGCTTCGGTTCGTTGCGTGAACCTGCCGCGACGAGTGGAAGTCGCGTGGACTGGTTCGGAACCGATTGAGGCAAGAGAGATACAAAGGGGAAGGAAGGGAAACCAAAGTTGGAAAAAGGTGCAAGTTGTTCAAGGAAAGAACGTCTCTGCAGAGAACTGCATATTGCAGTCGGTGCTGCAAGTGACAGCTTCACTCCCCCTTTCATGGCAGGAACAGAAAGCCGCAGTTGCCAGCTGACAGCATCCAGATCCAGGGCATTTGACCCCTCATCATCAACCAAATTTGGCATTTACAATATTCTTCCTCTCTCCTTCCCCGTCTTCGCTCCCCCCTCGAGTCTGCTATTCGTTCTCCATCGACAGACACATCACGAATTACTCGCCATCCTCCATCATGCACTTCCTTCAGGGCCACCATCCAATGATCATAGATGGGTATTGGATCTGGGAGATTGGCAACGTCCCATCGGGTCCCGCATCCCTCGACATCAGGCTGGACATGCTCCTCTTTGACCCTTCTTCTGATGATCTCCCGCAGCATCAACCCACCGAGATCCAGATCGATCAGTGTCTACGAGACAAGACCAGCCCTTTGTACAAGCACTTGAGAGCCAGGTATTGGCAACTCATTCTGCCACTTGTCCGAGCAAAATACGAGTCAACTCGGAAGCGCTATGCTCAAAGTCGTAGGTTCCCTCGTGACCATGGCAGTGCAGTCTTGGCTGGAAGAAGCAGATGGCTAACTAAACAGACACAGCCTTTGTAGCATAAATTCGTCACCCCTTTTCAGCAAAGGGGCTGCCCGTTTCGAGCCCCAACCCCTGGCTCATGCCCGGCCCGGCGTGATACCTCTTGGCGAGTCACGGCCTTGATCGAATTCGGCCATGGAAACAACTGAATGCGGAGCTAAGGGTATATTGCCGCTTATCGCCGACTACCATTTCACAGTGCGATTCTCCAAGCTGTTGCAATGCAGCTGTGGTATATCAACGGGGCATTCTTCTCTTCGTTTTCCGCGGTCTATTCTTACTCAAATGTTTCAATCACAATCTTTTACCGGAGCGAAAACGAGGGATTTCCTACTCGCACGGCACATGATAGTCATAATGGAGAGCCATCTAAGTTTGGCAAGGTTAGTTGGGGCTCCTGGTCGGATAAATACAATATTAGTACACACCTCGTTTCAGCTGACACGTTTGTCCCGATTCTGCCTGCCCTGCCACCTTATGCGCCTTATGTTCAGCAGGCTACAACGCCACGATCTGACTCTTCCGATGCCCTTCGTCTTCGCCATGTCAGCCCCTTTACCATTTTCTAGCCACGACACTCCATCCCACCCAATGGGTTTCCCCGGTCCGACCAGCAACGGGCGAGGGGCGAGCGGTTTTGGTGACCTCTGTCATTTGAAATCCACCACGTTCTAGACCTATGTGCGGTGGGTGGCTTGAAGTTTCAAGCAAAAACAGATGCATTGGCTTTCCAAAATGACGTTGATGTTCAAGTTCCATTCCCAGTCCGATGTCTAATGTCCTACCCCTATCTTCAAGAATGGTCCGTGGAGTCCGCAGGGCAGGTAGTTGCGTTTTTATCAGGTTTGGACTACGGTTCGCAAAAGGCTGAAACGGTTCCCAAAAAAGCACTACGAAGTCGACGGCTCCTCCGGATAAGGCTGGTTTGAGTGCTTGCGGTAGGATCAAGAATACCTGACAACACAGAGCTTTGCCAACACTCTCAAACCAGTTCCATCCTTTTGTCCTCCTTTTCTTTCTCGCTCACTCTTCATCGCTGACGTCGATGACATAATCTTACCACTTCATTCACTCTGTACGGGCGGCTTGTCGTTCTTCCTTTCCTGTTCCCTCTTGTTGTTATGTTGATACCGTACCGATTACACCAAACATAATTCCCTGCCTTCTAAACACCGTCATATCTATAGCCAGTGTTAAAGCGATCACCGGCTCTTGACTTCGTTCGTACAGATGGACAGGATCCACATACAACTATCCCTATATACCGGGACTTCGCCCTCCTTTTCTGAATCCTTTCTTCAAATCATCAACACCTTCACCAAGGATATCGTCGCCTCACGGTACAGTATTCTCTGAACGACCAACACCGAGAAACGGCACGACAAACAAAGCCAATTAGCGATCAAGTCTAATCTGCTGTTTCAATCTTGCTCCATCCTCTTGACCGCCTCCAGACTCAAGCCGATTGAGAGACACGCCATCACTTCATTCGACACTTGTCAAACGCTGTTCCCAACAACACTCTGATCAGGCAGTCATGCCCCCAGTCGACTTTGCTGGTAGGCTTCCGGGTGCCTTGCGCGCAACAGCCGTCGTGGCCCAAAACACCACTGTACCCGGTGGGTCACAGGAAGCAGTCGGATGGGTGAACAATCCGTCACAAAGGGGCACACTGATGCTCGTCCTTGAGTGTGCAACTACCATTTTTGCTTGCACCTGGACTGTCCTACACCTCAATGTTCCTTCCCTTGCGGACTCGAAGCCGACTCGGGTCCTGCGAAAAATTAAGTGGATGTGCATTACCATCCTCTTCCCCGAATTTATCTTTGCCAAAGGTGTATGCGAGCTTCGATTCGCGCTTCATACACTTAAGCTGATGGCGGAGATGATAAATGGAAACACGGCCCTGTTTGAGTCGCAGTCCACCTACCAGCAGACGACACCGCAGGGCCAGGACTTCATGGTTACCAGGAGATGGAAAGTCGACTATGGCCTATGGATGCAACTGCTTCACAGGTGGATTGTTCTGCCCCTTTGTCCACAGAAAGTTGTGGTAAACCCACCAAAGGAAGACAAGGATAATAGCCCACCCAGGGACAGATCCCAGACTTCGAGTATGACCCGGGTAGACGATACAGAATTCGAAGGCACCCCCGAGGATGCCGGCATCCATATGTCTGAACGAAACGGCAGACAAGAATCCCGAGTCTCCCAAGTTTGGACTATTTCCCACGCTTACTACGCAAACATGGGGGACTGATTGCGCTTAAGTGCAAGACCGACTATCATCACGATGCCTTGGAATACTCGATCTTACGAGGCGATCATCTTGCCAGTTGGAATCTGCGCGAATGGCGGCTGGGCCATCCGCTGAAAAAGCTTCAACTCTCAGCAGCCGAGATCGAAGACAAAAGTAAGGCCGATTGGTTGGTAAAGCTTTTTTCAATGTTCCAGATCAGTCGACTTATCCTGGACCTCCTCAATCGAGCTGCAGTTCACCGGCCTGTGACTCAACTCGAGCTCGGGACTGCGGCGTTTGCCGTCTTTGCCCTAATCACATATATGGTCAACTGGTGGAAACCAAAAGACATTTCACATCCGACATCACTACATGTGGTTGTTGACGAAAGACGATCAGACGAGGCCATTGACATGTCTGCTGAGCCCTTCTTCTCTCGCATATTATCCCCCATGCCACACACATTGCATTACCGCAAGATCGCCTCACGGTACTATCGCATTAAGAATGATGAGCTGTGGATGGATGGAGACTATCCAGTTGTATGGCCTTTGATGGCCGCATCGTGCGTGGTATTCGGAGCTTTCCATTGCATTGCTTGGGGATGGCAGTTCCCGACCGATATTGAGCGGTCCTTGTGGCAAATCTCTTCCGTGGTTTCAACACTGTCACCCCTCATTCCGCTTGCCTTCACCTACTTCCTCATTCGCCGAGGCACTCACGCTCTTTCCTGTCGCCAAATTGAGGCCGCCTATGAAGCTTTGACCAAGCTTCGACCGCTCCGAAAGCTACCCGAAAGTTGGATACGGCTTTTTCAAACTAAGGTAGACAACCCAAACTGGAGAGCTCTATTTGGAGAGGAATTCCACCAAGACAGGCGAGATACCATTATTGCCTACGCAAAGTGCTTGCGTGAACTAAGAGGTTACCTATCAGCCTTGGAAGGAAAACTCGAAAGGGATCGCCAGGCAAATCTGCTAGAAAACATCTGGAAAGGCCTAGCTCAACTGAAAAACGCGCACGGGTTCATGGATGAAGAAACATGGGACATGTACGAAGAGCAGGTCACGCTCGATGCTCGGAGTGCAGGGGCTGTGGAGTGGACAGGCCACGAGCCCAGAGTCATCAAGACAATCTACGATTGTTGCCTGTCTGCCGACGAATGGACTCACCGCAAGCAATACCAGGGATCCAAGAAGCAGCTTCAGGAAACAACCCGCAGATATGTGAGACCTATCAACATCAGTTTTGGCATCGTCTACTCAGTCTCTAGGATCATCCTGATTGCCATCATGTTCTCCAGTCTCCGTGAGGTGCCAAAGGGCGTTTACGAGATCCCCGGCTGGACCCGGTTCCTGCCGAGCTTTTCGTGATGGAGTTGGGCGATCCGATCATCGCTACTGCGAGTCATCGGGTGTCGACGAAGGCTATGTTGAGAGTAACGGGATGGTATGGGCGGCGGAGTTAGAAGCAACTTCAGAAACTACATGTATGGAGGTCATTGCGACCGGAGCACCAAACGGGAATTGGGGGCACATGCGAAGCCCAGATAAAACTCAGGATTTTCACGAATATTAAGTCCATTCAAGAGTAGATCTATTTGAAGAGTACCTAGGTATATTTATTCACTCAATCTGAGTTGTATCCTCCATTCTCTTCCTCTCGTTGTTAACAAATAGCAATGCGTTGTTCTGATGTCGCAAAGACAAGCGCATGAACATACTTGCTCTTGATGCATCAGCTCACCTTAAAACGTCTTAAGACTCCACCTTATTTACGTTGCAATAGTAGGTAGGTTCCCCACGACTTGCAATGTCGAGATGGACTACAGATGTACGTGTCCTTAACCTCGTCGCGATGCCTCTTGTTTCGCTGGTTCCAGTAGTCCGGCATCAATTGCATATAAGCAATGAATCCAGTCATGTTCTCATTTTACTCTACTAGTGGATATATAGAAGTGCAGAGCATTTGTTCCTCGTCGAATTTCTTTTACCTTTCACTTTGGATCCTATTCCTGGCTCCAGATAGCTCAACCGGTCTTACTGTCCATGAATTCAGCGTTCAGGTCGTAAACATCATGCGAGCACGGAACCTTGGCACGTAACCACGAACAGCATCGTTGTTCTAGTATAGACAAGCAATAATACCAACCTGGATATCAGCGACCATGGAATCGACATAACAACCAGATTCCACAAACAGGCGACTGCTGACATGGTATATCCCGCAGGCTACTTTCTGCCAGACATGAAGTTGTTTTCATCTTCCAACATCATCACAACCACAACGCCAAACTTAACACATCCAACCACAACATTTGATTGTGATCATCTAGCAAAAGAGCCCACTTACTTATCTACATACATATAGTAACACCACTTGGCCCCCAGCTTCTTGTAAGCAGTACCCTTCTTCACCCCATCTCAAACCATGCGTTGACCTATCACCTAACTTACCTACATATAGATCACATCATCAACACCCCAACACAATGTGCCACCAACTCTGCCAACTGCACTCCATATGCGGCCACATCACGAAGCGCGAAATCCGCTACGAGGTCGCCCCTTCCAACCCCACGAAAGCACCTCCTCAACCATGGCCCTCCACTATCGACACAGGAAGCAAAGTTAAAGACGCCTTCCTGACCTGGTGTCTTAAGTCCTTAAAGCCCGTCACCAACAAGGCTCACCCGCTCCGCTCAACATGCCGGCCCCCACTGACCCTCCTTCACGAGGTCGAGTTCGGCTTCTGTCCCAAGTGTCGTGAGTACTACGACAAGTATGCCGCCAATGTCTTCAGCGGAGACGGCGTTCAACAAGATGCGACGAGATCCACCAACGTTGTTCTCTCGTATTAGAGATACAAGAACAAACTGCGATGGAGTCTTCCTGTTCAAGCGGGGAGGGTGCCTGCCGACTATGTCTTCCGCGATCAAGAGTCGAGGACAGCAAACACTGGGCTCGAAAGGCAGGAGCTGGTTATGCTTCTGCAGGTGACGAAGATCATTGGTATGGAGATGGGTAGCGGTGGCTCTGCTGACAAGCTGGAGAAAGTTAAGGACTTGAGACGAAGGACGTTGGAGTGGGCGGAGGAAGGTGATAGCGCGCGTGAGAAGGCTAAAATTGAGCGGAGTGTCGACATGGAGAAGGCAGAGGAGAACAAGCGCGAGAAGGAGAGGCTGAAACAAGAGAAGCTTCAACAGGAGATGCTGGAGCAGGAGAGGCTCAAAGAAAAGAATATTAAGAGAGAAAAAAAGGCTCGAGGCGGAGAGATTCGAACAGGAGAGAAAGGCCAGGAAAGAGAGAAGACTCGAAATAAGAAAGTGGCTCGAAGACAAGGATAACATTGAAGATGACCTCAAGAAAGTGGAGAAAGAAGAGAAGAAAAAGAGGAGCGGTAAGGAAAAGGTCAAGGTGGAGATTGAAAACACCGAAGGAAGAACGCTGATCGAGTACGAACATGGGAAAAGCGAGACGGGGGTGAGAGTTCGCATGAGTCCTCGACCAGGAGAACGGGGCCGCGGTCCCAACTTGGGCGCTAGCCATCGTCACGAGCGAGTCTCTGGCAATGACGACAAGTTGGACGAGAAGCCGAAGGTCCATAGATCACGGGGCGTTTCAGACCTCGTGAAATTCTTTGAATCTCGGTCCAACGAGACAAAAACGAAGAAGGAAGGTGTTCGATCCGCACTCTCTGAGTTTCCTGTAGAGAAGAAACTGCCCCAGAACTGCCAGAAAGAAGCCCTGGGAGTCACGGAAAAACCGGCAGAGAACCAAGCGACCGCAAAGTGCGTAAACCGACGGCCAGAAGTCCAAAAAGCCGCTAAGACCAATATCTCTGCGCCCGGTCTTCAACAGCAGCCCCAACCGGTCGAACCAAAAGCTCTCGAGCCCCAGCACAGGCCGAGCCTACCCATCTCAAAGTCGAAGTCATCAACGTTTCGTCCTCCTCCTGGGGCGCCCCAGCTTCATCCGTCGACATATGACAAGGTCAAGGCGAGCTCATCAGTCGATAAACACCCAGCCGTAACCTTGAAGTGCTGCCCTCAGCTTCCAGCAAAACCGCAGAACACTGACGACGCTGCCAACAAGGCAAATTCCAAAAAGAAGCTGTCTCCCGTTGAACAGAAGAAGGAAGAAGAGCTTTCGAAAAGTGAGAAGAACGACGGCGAAAGGCCACCTTTGATTCGCCGCACAGGTACAGCAACTTCGAAGGGTACAAATACCGTCCCTGTCCACCATAACTCGAGCAAGAAGCCAGCTGCGTCCAAAGGAGATAAAGAAAGGGAGACTTCACAGATTGAGAAGAAAGAGGGGCATCAACAGACTCAATTCGGCCGTACAGTTCCTGTGAGGGCGGAGAAGACTCCCGAGATTCCTACCCAGGGAGAAAGCAGAGGGGAGGCGCCAGTGACTTTGTCCAAGCCAGAGCCTCAGCTGCCCAAACTACTACAGCCTGAGCCATCCAAGCCTGAAGCATCCAAGCCAGATTCCGCGAATGAGACCAAGCCTCAGCAAACCCCACATGCTACTCGTGAATCGAGGGAGAAAGACAAGTCGTCCACGCCTCCTATCGATCCTGCTCCCGGAAACACGTCTTTCAACCCCTCCATCGGCTCAATGACGGTAGAGTACGATCCGACCGAAAGGGTGGTTTCCAACTATTCGATCAGTTCGACGGTGGTAAACTGCAATTCGACAGAGAGCAAGGTCTCCAATCCGTCCATTGACTCAATGGCGGTAGAGTGTGATCCGGACAATGGCAGGCTTTCCATCACCTCAGTCGGCTCGATGGTAGTAGAAGACAATTCAACTGACAGCACGCCTTCCGACGTTTCAATCAGCTCAATGGCGGTGGAATGCGATTCGGTCGAGAGCATGCGTTCCAATACCTCCAACGGCTCGATGGTGGTAGAGTACGAGCCAACCGAGGGCACCCTTTCTAACCCTTCGATTGATTCGATGGAGGCTGAGCTCGACTCGACTGAACAATCCAGCTTGTGGGAGGAGATTCGTCGGCATCTGGGCAGCAATGACGGGTCAATTTTGGCGCATCCGTCGTACTGTATGTGTGCGAAATGTATCCGGGCGAGGTGAATTTGGGAGAAAGATAGACGTACCCAGGGGATGGCGAGAACTAGTCTGGTATGACACACATTAGCTGTTGTCCTGACTCGGAAGGGGGAAGAGGAGTTGAAGCGGAAGCGAGATGTAAAGTTTTGTGGAAGAACAAAGTGGAAAATCAGGTCCACTGAACATTCAATGAGTCGTACTTTTCATGAGGGGGAGGGATGTAGGTGCACGGGAATCTGGGAAGGAGACAGTGACACTGCGGACCCATATGTGGTTTCGTGACCTCGCTGTGCTACTTGCATGTTACTTACTCTGGGGAAGGAACGATATCGGGCAACCATAGAAGCAGCAACTAACGGCACTCGCGATGGCGACTCTTCTTTTTTGCGACAAGGCTTTGACAGTGAATTGACAAGAGACGAGCATAATAAATCTCGACCCGTAGTTCGCGTTAGTTACTTAGCTACCTACATCTTTCATTGTATAGATCCGCTTCACATGACTTAAGTTGTTCCCCCCTCGTCGATTCGCTCAAGATGTGGCCAGGAGGATGAATCAAGCAACGCATCTTAAATGCAGAAAAAAAGAAGAGTGGGTGTAAATCGAACACAGGACGTGAAGACAACTGGAAAGGAGTAGTAGAGCCTTATTTGCGTAGCCGGAAGACGCCAGCTGTCAACACTAGCTGTCAGAAAACCCCCTAGGTAGGTACTGAGCCCAGGAGACAGCTGCCCCCGGGCTTTCGAGAGGAACGCCATTTTTCAAGGTTGACTAACAGCCCCGATGCTGGGATTTAGCGACGCATCACGCCGCTTGACCACAAGCCCACTGAATTGCTGGGAATCCGGTCCGATCTTTCGACTTATCAACCAGCTCTACTCGGTGGGGAGATGTACGAGATGCCTAGAGGTACGTACCCAGGCTGGACGGGACGTACCTTCTGCTTATGGTGTATCTCTGCAACTGAGGGGTTTGCTCCTGCTGTGCTTCTCGATGAGCGTTCTTGCCCGTCAATTGCATCTTCTCGTGCAGCACGTCATGCCCGCCTTTGTATTCTCTGGCGGGGTACTTCAGTTACTTACCTCTCCAGAGTCTGAACCACCCACGCCCATTCCGTCCACCTCAATCTGGCACGTCAACAGCTTCGTTGTTGCCTATTCTCCTCTTCCCCGACCGTACGCGGTTGCCGAGGTAGCTCTTCCACTTGACTGAAATTATGTCCCTACAACCTTGTGTCTCTCCACGACACACTCTTCCGCGCCAGCCACTTTGTCCATCGCCGACAACCACAGCATGTGTTATCACTACTTCAAGTTGCTAAGTACCAAACGGTTAGATCTGCCATGGAATGTCGCTTTCAACTAACTGTCGGGTGTGCAAATAGTCCCACGACCTCACCACCTGACGACAGCGCGACGTGCCACACGACGGGCACCCTCAACGACATGCCACTCACATGACCGGGATTCGACTCCACGGAGCAGGAGACCACGCTATGTCGGCTTGACGGCTCAACCGGCCGAGACAGCGATCCACAGTAATGGAGACCGACGATCCAGACTTTCGGATATGGGCCAGGCCAAGTGGCACACCTCTCGGGGTCCAACTCAATCACCACATGGGATTCCATGTCTCACACGACCAGAATCCCATTAGGCAAGCTGCCAAATTGATGGCAATCCTGCTATGGGGTTCTCGGCCTTTATTACCTTCATTTACATGCCGATGGAAGTTGGCACAGGGTATTGCTAGGTTCCTCTTCTTTTCTTTTTCTGTGTGATATTTTCCCATATATCCACGGAACCAAGCGGTCCCGGTCTCCCTACCGTTGGCCAGCTGAATCAGACATGGGTTTACCAAAGGGAGGTATGGGTGTTGACGGCCCGGGAAAGGTTGATGAAGACTTCGAGTTCCGAACTTGGTCATCATGTGGAAGCGGCCTCGAGAAGAATGACGAGCTCGAATCACAGCCACAATGGCCGAACAATCAGGGACACGGACGTTTTCCTTTCGAAGAGTCTCGGACTGGAGAGAGTGTGTCTTGCCGTGGTTTGACCCAAGAGAATACGTTGAACATGTCTTAACAGTCTCGTGAAACAATTATGCGGCCACGATGCGAACAGGTAACACCCGACCGAGACAAACGATCGGGTTGTAGGTCAGAGACAGCCAATGTTCGCGGCAGGGTCACTGCAAAACATCAGATCTAAGCCGCTTCGAATTCCATGATATATGAGAGAGGGTCCAGCATGTTGTCGTTCTGATGTTCTCCGCGCCGATACATTTTCTTCTGGCCGGTTCAGTGATTGGCGATGGAGGGGATGACCTAATATGAGAACAGGGGGATTCAGAGTTCTTGACAGGGGGTGCGCTAAAAGGCAATTAAACCCCTGGCTTCGATTTCCATGTGGCAAACAAAGTCTGGCAATCTTCGATTTAAATGTCCAGTGTCCCCCTCGTTCGCGGACCTCGCGATCAGAGCCTCCCAGCAGTTATCTAAAGTCAAGCGAAGAATCGGAGCAGGATTTGATTCCTCTAATAACTTGGAGTGGGAGCCCGAGATGGCCTTTTCAAGCTTGCGTCACACTGCGATCTGACGTGTTAGCGCCATGGATCTGGATCGATTCTGCCCCCAATCCCGAAACTCGGGAACCAAGATCGGGTATCTTGCTTGCATTGCCGATGTTGTGGTGCGAACGTACATGATTAGCTTGTGGCGCTGAGAAGTCGTGCATCGCCATTGCCATGCTCATCGAATCAGATTCCGGAACGCAATTCCCGTCAGCTGGTAAACGACATCCCAGAATTCTACTACAACGCTGCCATATCCGCCTCGTTATTACCTAGTTCGCCAACCCTGGACATGAAGCGCAAGGGCTGCGAGTTCCGGCACGGCGCATCTCAAGCAGATCCGACGTTGACATCACCGGTATCTTAGCATTGCATGTCCCGCGGCTCCTTGCCACATTTTCTGACTGGGCAGAGACCTTACGTCGCGGAACGCCAAGGAGCTGGGTGGAAGGTGTCATGATTACCGCAAGTAAACTCTTCCCTGAATCCCAGCACCAAACAATTGGGGTTGGCGATGGCCTCAGGTCTCAGCATATCCGTTTCATACTGTTGGCGGAAGACATCCACGAAAACGTCTCGAACGTCAAAGACATGCAGGTTCATGATGGCCTTCTGCCTCTCATGAAAGGCGTGGCATTGGTGAGGGCTGCCAACTTGGAGTGTTCATTTCGGACCTCATTGGTCCCTGCGTCATAGCCGAGCGCCACAAACGATCTGTCACGTTGCTTTCTGTCTAGCAGCGAACAGGTGAGACTTGCGAACACACAACCGGATCTTGGTCCGAGACTCCCCAGAAAGAGCCCCTGCTGACGATCAGGCCCAACATTTTCCATGGTGATGCGGATCGAACTTCGACCTTGACGCCAACCTTTCAACTCCATTATGAGGCGCGGGGGCCAACGATCCGAGCCCGAATGAAGATGACGCCAAGGGGAACCAACTTGAACGAGACAAGTCGATATCAGGGAGCTCACAAAGGCCAATGATAGGTACTGTTGGATTATTTTCCGATGAAGAAAGCCGGCGGCCCCCTGGTCCTGCTGAACGGCTACGTATGTCTGGCGTACAGAGACCCTCAACCCTGCTATCCGAAAGACATACCTGGATCCGGATCACACAACACGTTGGGTAGGGTGAACTGTGATCAAATTCCATCCTTTTTAGTCCTCTCAGATATCATAGTCGCCCTACTGTGGGTCAAGAAGGCAGTCTATACCGGATCAGTGCATGGAATCCCATGAGCCTGCGATCATGATACACGGAACGAGTTCCGGCTCCAAGTATGGTGGGAAAGGCCTGAGCCCAAATTATCCCAAGTGGCTTGAGAAGAATAAAAGTTCCAAAGCTCACACGTATTTTGATGAAGACCCCCCGGACGATGACCCCTCCCCGGACAGCTCTGCTTTTGATATCCCGAACATCGACTCACAATCGCTTTGTCGCCTTGAGATACCCCTCGGCCAACCTGATATTCCAACATCCAGTCACCAAAAGAAATTATCTAACAGCCTACCTCTGTCAAGCCCAGACCTAGAGCCGCATTATCATCATCATTATCAGACAAAGAGGACTCTATCATCGGATCCAAGCCGGACCAAACGATCGAGTAGAAAGGATGTTGGCGTCAGCATCAAGCAAGGTATTACACCCACCTACTACCAATGTCAATTTCCCACCATCTCCCTTTGTTATCACCAAGGGCCAACTTGGTGTTGGCAGGATGAGATTATCCTCCTTCACCTATGTCTCTCACGGTTGTCAAAGTATAAATCAAGAGATGGAATCCAGAGACTTGACACTACCATCACCAACCTCAGTAGAATCATTTCACCGCATTAACTTCACGCAAGCGATCCACAAAGCACTCAACTGACCAGACATCAACACATCAGCATCACATTGCACCAATCCACCATCGTCCCAAGATGTCCACTTCAACCTCCGGCGGAGCTTCCTTTGTCGTCCAACCTCCCGAGTTTATTCTAACCAAGCAAAACATCAAGATCCTCGCCGTCGTTCGATACGGGCCCTTACCTTCTACGCTACTTCCAGAGGACCTTCACGCCTTCTTCTGCCTCGGAGACCCGACCACCAATAAGCCTTTGGCAGACATAAGCGTACGCCCAGTCCAAACGGGCCAGGGCCTGGCCGTCACCGGTGTGGCTCTCCCTGGGGAAGAATCATACGCCTTCTTTCTCTTTCACAACGCCAAGTTTCCCAAAGAGGGTACCTACAAGATGGGCGTTTCAATCAATGAGGATAAGATTGACGTGACCAATCTGGCGCAGCTTTGGTCGAGGGAGTTTACGGTGGGCGAGGTGGCGGGGGATATGAGACGTTGTAAGTTCCCTGCGTATAGTCTGGTATTGCATACAGAGATGGCCTACTGCCTACTCAGATAATCATTGTGTGGGCTGAGGGGGCATTGTCGCTGGAATAGTTGATTAGTTGCTGACTAGATCTTTTGTGTTGAAGCTCCCCAAGAACAGCGGATTATCAACAAGCTCAAGGAAGAAGGGGTTTTTGGTGCGAACTAGAGCCCATAGTTTTATCGAGTTAGACACTTGCCTCTTCTTGTTGCTGGGAGGCTGAAAGGCTGGAAAGGGCCTGAACGAGAAGCCAATTTACACAGCACTATCTGTCGTACGGTGCTGGGTCAGGATTCGTGGGGTTCTTCAAGGCGTCATACGGTGTTTCCAATGGATTTGCTACGAATAACTACCGAGAGGCAAAGTTGGAAATTTTATGGGTTGACCTAGGTACACTGAGTTTCATGGGATTGAGAGGATTTTTGGGTTGAGAATTTGGGATAAAGCCGGCTGGCACGGCTATGTAAAATGGGCAATGATAATGCCGACGTATTTTGTGTCGTCCTCATTCCTGGCACCTTCTCATGCGCTGATACAATAGGAGTAGTGGAGGCTGTGCCTTCTCACACCCGAGGTTTCTCTAGCTAGAGGTATGCGCTGCCCGAGGCAGTCCACGCAATAAAATGACCGCGACTTCCATTATCTTCTATTCGTTCGACAGGCATCCACGGCGCGGGTCCTTCCCTTCTATATATACAGCACCCGCACCAAATTTCCCCTCCTACAGTTCTTCTCTCGCCACAATACGACCGAGCGATGAGGAACCTATCTTCCGTTATAACCACTCAACAGCACAAGGCTATTATCTAGGTAGGTACCCTGTGCCCATTCCCCCAAAGCCATGACTCAACCGCTGACCCAGCCGTGCAACGGAAGACTCGGTGCGCCAAGTAATCCGTCCCCTTGACCCAATAGGCCTAATCTGCTCCCTCTTCCTGTCGTCTGTCCGGTCCTAGCACAATCCGGCTTTCATCCCGGAGTATCTACCTTCTCTGCGTACTGGCTGCCCACATCCGTCACTTTACCATCATCCTTCTAACCTCTAGTCAAGATTTCTGCGTAAGTTTTTTCCGTCTCTTGACACTCACTCGCAGTCCCTGTCGCTATCGAAATCAACAGTCTCCATCTTTACAACAATGGATGAACTCCCCCAAGAGGTCATAGACCGGATTGCCCGCCATCTCTTCCCAGTCCTCTTCACAGCGTGGGACAACAGCGCAACTCTCGATGCAAGACAGCAGGAAGCAACATGGAGGCAACGCGACTCATTGAGCGCGGCAGCTTATGCCACCATTTCTCTTCCGTGGCAACGTGCCATCGAGAAGAAGATGTTCACACTTGTCAAGATTCGGTCACCGGATGATGAACTCAAGTTGAGGCAAATTATGGCCCGCAACCCCCATCGCTGTGACTCCGTTCGTTACGTCAAATGCAACATTCACCTCGACTACCTTGACAGAGCCACACATACACTTTTTCCTGTTGTTAGCGACCGAGGAGTTATTTCGAAGATTGGGAGCATCCTCCGACTTGTCAACCTCATTCGGGTGAGTGAAAGGAAGCTGATGAGTTTCATTGTCTTCTGTTCTCGAAGGTTCCATGTTTAGTTCCAATACTGACCATACTAATACCTCTACCTTAGCCGAGTTCCCTTTCTTCTCCAATGCCCGAAGCACCGTTAATTCTCCAAATCAACATCGTCAACTTACGCCCGCTGTTGGGAGCGGAGAGAGGAAATTGGGGATCGCCGTCGGATATCAACAATTTGCCGACGTGCCCGGGTGTGACACATCTACAGATCACACATGACGAGGATATAAACCTAAGGTTGACAAGGCCACGCAAACATGTCTTTTTGGAGCCAACAGAGGTTCCACCGGTATGGATGTCGGACATCTTGACCAAGTTTCCGACAGTTGATGACGTTGTTTGGGAACTGCACGAGTTCCTGGACCAAGGCCAGCAAAGAACAAAACATGGTACAGGTATGTGGAAGTGTTTCATGGTCAAAAGGGCACTATTACTGACGCAAAGACCTACAATCTTCTAGGAATTTGTGAAGCTCTTCATGGCGAGGTGTTCAAGAACCTATCATCCCTTTCGCTGTGGATCGGGCCTTTCAACTACGGGTCGTTTGCTCTGCGAGAGTTCCTAAAGACACCTCTAACCCAGTCTGAAGGTGAACGTGAAGAACCCCTCAACGCAGCAATCCGCACGTTATCCCAACAGCTGGTCTCCCTACAAATCATCGGGATATTTACAGTGACCCCCGATCTCTTCATAAGCCGCAAGGCACAAGCACCAGGCACTGAACAACAGCCTTACTGGCCTCGTCTGGAAAACCTCCATATCGAATCAACCAATTGGACATACAACGGAACATGGTACATAGACCCGAACATGTTACGAGTGGTGTGGCGCATCAACGATTTCCTGCGCTCTTCAACCCCCGACTTCAACAACTTGATGGTGGCAATCTCCCAGGGCATGCTCAACATGCCCAAGCTTCAAAAGCTCGATATCAGCTTCCGCTTCCCCCCATTCAACACGGGCAAACCCATCGACAAGCGTCGGTTCAAGGACCTAAACGGCGATGATTCCACTTCGCTACTCTTCCACGTCATTCGTTACCGCCGGGCTTCAAGCGAGTGGTTGGAGCTCGCGGACTGCAAGGCAGCCAAGGAATTGTATTGCAATCTTGATCTTCTCAACAGCGAGCGCTTGTATCAACGCATGCAACGATCGGGAAAGTTCCATGTGCAACCTGTTTATTGGTGCCCTTTTCCTGAGCAAGCGGCCCGGAACTGGAATATCTTGCATAGGAGGATCAAGGGGTTGATTCCTCTCGTGGAATGGAGGAGTTCTTATGCTAACCCAGAGCCGTGCCAGGTTGAACCGAGAGGGGGAATATGGCCTTATGCGGAAAAGGGGAGGAGAAGAAGAAGCGGGGTGCCGTGGCAAGGAGAGTAGATGCTTCTACCGAGCGACTAGTGTTGAATCGGTGCCTCTACCTAGAGGTAGGTAGAGGTAGATACCTAGGTACAAAGAAACCGGCAGAAAATGCCAGTCTTGCTCAATGTAAACGTTCAAGTGTTCAGCTTCAGGCCACCATCGAGGTACGTGCAGCTGTGCTTTATCAACATTCATTACAAGTAACTCAACCAAGATTTGCAAGCTAGAACAGAGCAAATAGTTGAAGTATCTGGTAACACCCCATGTGAGATTCTTGTTGTTCTCGGTGAAAGCAGTACCTAATCAGAATGCCGCCGAAATCAGTCTATACAACCTTGACGCCAACGCGCTTTTATCAATCCTTGCCCTTCAAATCCCCCTCGAAAGCATCACAGACCTCTAGCCAGGCCTCTACATCCGCCTCCACTCCTCCAAGTCCGTCACCCCCCTGATCCTCTTATGCAACTCATTCCAATTCTCCACCGCCTCCTCCGGAAACGGACTCCAGTACAAGTTCTTGTTCCCCGCGACAAACCAGTCATTAAACACCTCCAAAGTGCAAAACCTGTAGCCCTCCGCCAGCTTCTCCATAATCCCACCTCTCCACTGCTCCATCTCCCTTCTTTCGTTCTCCTCCCTCACGTACCGCACAAGTTCGTACGTCTTACCAGGTACATATGCGTTATTGCCAATCACCTGGCCGCTCCCAGTCCAGTTGCCGGTCATGTCCACGTCCTCATTATCCCAGTTGGGCTCGTCTGGACCGACCAAGAAATCCAGCGTGAGAATCTGGAGGCGGGGCATGTTCAGCATGCCGTGTGACAGGGCAATCATGAGCTTGTTGAACTCAATGGTGGCTGAGTTCAGAGTCGCGTTGATAGTGAAGGTACGGTGCCATCTGCGTGGATACCCGAAGCGGTGCGGTGGGATAAGCCACCTGGAGCCGCACGGGGTGAGGAGGGTTGTGGTGATTCGGAGGACGCGGAGGCGGGGCCAGAATGGTTGGTTGCTATCGTTAGCATCGTCGGCTCTGTTGATGAAGAGGTCCGGGCTGAGAGAGAAGAGCCCGTGGATGTGCAGCTCTTGGAGCTGTTGGGATAGAGTCCGGAGAGCGGAGTTGAGGGAGTCGCACACGGTGGCGTGTGTACCTCTAGACATGGATGGCGAGGGTTGAATCAGTTTGTGTGAGAGGAAGGCTTGTACCTCCGCGGATAAGAAGTTGTTGGGGCCGAACCAGAGAGAGAGGTTCGAGAGGTGTGTGAAGGCGGGGCCACCGAGGGAGGTGCAGAGTTCTAGATGGAGAGGGCAGGGCGAGTTAGTGATATGACTGGTTCTCGGCGCAGTGTCTATAATGAAAGTCTTGTACATACCCTGCTGCATATTGGATCTTAGTTGGCCTTGTCTGCACATGATAAAGTTGAAGATCTCATAGTCGACCTGTTGGGCCAGAGGGAACTTGGCCAGGACGTTCATGATCCAGGCTGGAGGGACCTTCCTGCCACTTTCCAGGGCGGTGCCGGCTTCTCGAGACTTTCGAGGCGCGAACGACTCGTCTCGCGGAAGGAAGTCTCTCCGCAACTCCTCCTTGAAGTAGATGGCAAGGGAAGTGACTGCCGGGCATGACGGCAGCTGGTTCAAGCTGCTTGGCTCCTGAGTGAACGTCGTCTGTTCATAGGGTAACGCATCCCAGTTGTTGTAGCCAACGATGCTGACTACGAGAAGAATAGACCGGGTTTGGTCAAAGGAGCGGTTGGCAGTTGGCTGGTGAGAATATTTCGGTCAGCTCTACCTTGTCTCACTGACGAACCTGAGATGTTTTCACCAGACACTTACCCAAACTTCGTTGATGAAGTTGATGAGGAGGTGAAACTCCTGCACAAGCTTCTGGTCCCTGATATAGGGAGACTTCGCCGGGATATCATCAGCCTTGATGAGGAAGTCAATCCTCTCAACAGAGGCGGCCCGATGGGGGTCTCTGCCCAGAAGATACTTGGCATCAGGAATGTCGTCGCATGATAACACCCCGAGTCGGCGAAAGGTCATCGCCTCGATGGTCCTCTGCCACATCTTGGAGATCATGGCGAACTCTGCCGGTCCTGGGCTTTCTTGGAAGTGGTCATACTTCCCACCGAATGCCAGTTCCGGGAATAGATGGCCCGCGATGCGGTCCATGACCTCTTGGGGAAGATTGTCCATGGTTGGGAGTGATGGACGCGTGAGGTTTGGTGCAGGTTGGTTATAGGCTCTGGTAATGGGATTCGAACTCTTGTAATGGATGGTGAGAGCTTGGAGATGGGGATATGAGGGTAGAGAGCGAAGGTGGGAGAGTAGAGATATATATAGAGGTAGGGGTTGGGGCGGGAGAATGAATGTGGGAGAGCAAGGCTGGGTGCCCGAATAAGGATGAGAATGTAAGCCACAGCCGTACAAGAGGGGTTTGCAAACGCACACAGGCAGTGAGCTTAATCAGAAGAAGAGACGGAAGAAGGGAGAGGACCTGAAGTTGGAGCCAAGGCGGTGTGGCGCCTTGTGCCCTCCGGGTGGGCAGGAGAGTACAGAGAGCTTCTCGCACCGCCACCTTTGCTCCAGGGTACCGTTTTTCCACCTTGCCTACCTCGTTTTCAATACCTCAAATCATATACTTGTTCACAATTCCATCCATTATCTTATTTTTTAGTCCAATCTCAGTCTTCCCGAAACGTCATATCCGCTCCCCAAAAGGCCATATCTGGCCCCCAGAAGCCCATATATTTCTCCCAGAAGGCCTTCTGGGGCTTTCAAAAACCTATATCTTTCCCCCAATACTTAATTTGGAGTTCCCAAAAGGCGTTCAGTTTTAAATTCGAAAACCTTTGATACGCAATATGAATTTTTTAAAACAAAATTTATTATTGAACTTCCAAAAGACTTAAAGCCTCTTCCGCCTTTATAATTTAAAGTAAAAGTATTTTAATAAATATAAAGAAAGGGATTTAAACTCTAGACTTTTCGCCTTACTAATAAGAAGTATTTGCTAGTAGTACGCTTACCTAGAGGTAAAAGTAGAGGTAGTTAATAATTAAGTAGATCGGATTTGCTTTCAAAAATAGTAGTAACTTTATAGCTAATACGTAGTTGTTTTTAACGACTACAAGACGATTAAGGGTAGATTCAACAATTACTAACTACTTTCACTACAAACAGGTAGGTAGATATACTAGGAAGGGTGCAAAGGCAAGTGAAGGGGTGTTTAGGAACCTGTTGCGCCACAGGGAGAGCCGGGGCACGTACCTAGGTACATTGCCGCTCTCCCAGCTAGCCGTTTGCTTCACCGTCTGAAGCCTGGCACGGCAGGCTACCATCTGCCAACGAGGGGGCATCTGGCTGCCTCCCTCCCCGCCTTCCATCTTCTTGCTCACTGGAAGGAATGCGTCGATGGGGTGAATGGAGATCAGGAGCCGGTTCCACTAAAGGACCACCAGGCCAGGCATCGAAGAGCTACCAGCGTGCCTGCCACTGACTTCTCTCCACTTTCGCAATCATCTACGAGAAGAACACAAGCTCCTTGTGGTTGTGAAGTTGGTACCTATTATGGTACAGGAACAATGAGTGTTTGACCCACGTGGCTCATGGAGATTGCGCCCAAGTTCCTTTCCTTCCGCAAGGCAGGATGAAGTTTCACAGGACGGAGACAGGCGCTGGGGATGAAGGGGAATATTGTGAGCCCGGGGATGTATTAAGTTGGGGATTACTAAGGAACATGAAGGATGGAAGTCTAAAAGTGTGAGGGGGTCGTGATGATCTGACTACTAGAAGATAGGGTAAGGAGTTTCTATTTAACGTGGTAGTTGTAGAGCATATGATACCAATATGACTCTGATAGCTCTGTGGTTTCTAGTCAAGCTTACCGCCAGAGGTACTGTATGTAGTTACAGCTTTGTTCCTGGCATGACCCTTGACGCATATGCTTGATATGTGACCCATAGGTATGTAGTTCATCATCTGATGGCACATCGCAGATCCGCACATGCAACTATTGTGCAGTGGGATGGTACCTGCAGAGCGCAGCGGGAATTCACTTGACCGAACTGTCCCGCCAACTGCAGGAACAAGCTTCGTGACACGGCGCGGCTTGAGGATCGCTGCCCCGCCAAACCTGGAAGTCTCCTAATGCCACAGTTCTTTGTCGGGACCTGATTGAGGCTTGAACCGTGCTGATCAAGATCTTCCCAAAGTCCCACCTCCCCTTCGCGTTCCATTCTCAAGTATATCCAAACCGTCTCCTAAGCCATGCTCAACCAGTTTTACCCCCTCGCCCTGAACTTTGCTAACAGAAGAACAAGCAATCCAGGGAAGCATGGGAAACACCGCCAACGACCTTTTCCCGATGCGTCCACTCGGAGCACACAAGCAAATCTCAGAAGTTTGTTCATAGACTCGACCACTCGATCGCTACGAGGAGTTACGAACCACACAAGATGCCAACTATACCATTTTCTTCTACTGGCTCTGAAAGACTGAGCACCTGGCGCGCCAGATCAAAGCCCCATCATCGTAAGGGCTTGCTCATTGCGAGTGTCGGTGATGATCACACCAGAAGAGGTTATCCCACGACGAACTCGAGAATGAGCGCAACGACAAGTCACGCATCAGAATCACGGCTGACACTACAAACTCGGAGTCATTTGACCCCCAGTCAGACGCCGACTGATTGAGCAGAGAAGAGTTTGATAAGGACATGAAGGACGCTGGCAAGCTCCAAGAAACACGAAATTTCATTAACGAACCGAGCAAGCGGTCAATAGAACGACGTCAAGAACAAACAGAGATAAAATGAGGAGAAATCAATGACTCCCTGGCCAGGAAGGAAAACGACGAAAAGCCCGGCCTCATTCTGTGCCATGTGTCAGAAGATAACAGCTGTACCCTAATAAACAGAACCGAGAGCTTGGAGAAGATGGCAAGAGTCATGCAATCGAAACGACGACGCAGAGGAGGAAGCCGGCAAGATATAGCAAGCTGAAAGAGGGAAAACTGGCACATCGATCGGCCGGTCAAAGACCATCCATGTGTGGAAGAAGTTGCATCGAGGGGACTTGCAGAAAAACCGAAGCTTGTCGGCTCCGGGTTGTCTGGAGGTCTAATAGTGTTCTTCCATCATTGTGTTCGTGATTCCTTCATTGGTTGGAGGAAGGCACTGAAATTGTGTGGTCAAGAAATGGAGACCAAAGGAAGGAAAGGCATGTATCAGTGTTGGATGAGAAGCCAGCCGATGTGCTAAATTGTTGAAGGGCAGCAGGGGAGTCTCCAATGCAGTAATTTGTTGGTAATGGCTTTTGGAGTCAGCAAGAGGGTTTACTGAAGGGTTCAAGGCATGGAGAAGAAGAAGACAAAAGGAAGACAAATCCGCCGGCGCCGGCTTCTGAACATGAGTGTGATGGAAGAGGAAGGTGTCGACTTGCTTGTGATTTTGGATGGAGATGAAGGGGAATCAGAGTTACGTTGAAGGTCAACGGGAAAAGAGAAGTGACGGGGCCCAGGTGGGACATCTCCGACTGGGAGCATGGTATGGGCAGCGAGGGACTCCAATACATGCGGTGGATCGCAAAGGAACGGCGAATTAAATGATGATGAGTGTGGCAATGAGACCGAACCTAGGTAGGTAAGATGCTTTTGCATTGCAGAGTGAATGGAGGAGACTGGGCCGAGAGTACCTGTGTCCAAGAGTGGAAAACGTGGATGCCTTGCCTTGATCAGATGGATAACTTGGGATGGTATTGGGCAGGGACGATCCAGTTTTCGATCAACATCACTCCAGGGGTCAGCCAATGTTCCGCCGTGCATGTGAAGACTTCTTGGCTTGGAAGAAGTAAGAAGAAGCAATCAAAGGGTGTGGAGTGAGAGACTGTCATGGGGTGCTTCCGTCGTTCTTTCGTCGCGCTAGTCACAACCTGCTCCTCCTCAACTCCTCCCCCAAGTCCGGTCCTTCCTGCCAATCATGGAGAAATGACCTCTGCAGATGAGCGTCTCCAATCAGTGCTTTGTCAGCTTCGCTTCTGTTTTCTCTCCCGCTGCACCAACTCTATTCCCCCCGGGCTTTGGCACCTCTTACACTCGAATCTCCAGTTGGAGATGAAACTCGTCCAAAGAACTGTTGCTAGGACCATGATGTTGACAAACTCTCTTGGAACAAAGTAAACGACAATGTCTATGTATCCAGATCTGACTCTATGGCGCTCGTTGATTACTCGTAATAACAAGGCTCATCAGAGCTCCAAGTGTTGAAGGCTGGTAGACAAACACTCTCGTGGCCGCGTATTTGTCTCCCCATTCCTTTCATCGGCCATTGTACTTTTCTCATTCCCATCCCCATCACTCCTCGGAAGCTCAACATCCACCAACCAAGGCACGTACCCCGGAGCATACATTACCGCCGCATTTACAAACAAGGTTTGCTCTGTATCCTCGTCCCCATCATACTTCAAATGGTAATACCCATCCCTGACAATCTTGTCTACTTTTTCCTCCTTCCGCTTCCTCTCCTCTTTCGAATCCTTCCACCCCTCTTCTACCCCTCTCCGATCTGCCAACACTTTGGCACATTCCACCTCCTCGTTCCCATTCTTGCAGTCAGATTTCCACTTGACAACCGCCGCCCCCCACGCCTCATGGATATGTCCAAACACATGCAACTTTGGTTTCGTTCTCTTGACAGCCTCCCACAGTTCGACGCTCCCGCATGAGGCCCTCGTTAAGCGACTCACGTCCAATACTCCCCTGGGCGGGCCATGGCTGATGACGATATCGGCTTTTGGAGGGATATCAAACACGTGGCCTTCTTGTTGAGTGTACTGGAATCCTTGGCTGCCGAAGGCGGGGGTGGCGGGGGATGCGTAGACGGTTAACTTGGCGTTGTTGGATAGGGTGAAGGTGTGGGTTCCTTCTTGGAGGTAGTAGATCCCTTCGCTTTGGAAAGAGGAGAGGAGGTGGTGGGCTTCTCCTGGGTGGCCTAGGTCGTTTTTCCTTTTTTGGGAGTGGGATTGGGAAGGGATGAATTGGGTGGAAGCGGGAAGGTCGAGAGTGTAGTCGTGGTTACCGGCTATGATCAACTTCAAGGGGGCGTTGAGTTGGCGGAGGTAGGAGAGACAGAGACGGAATTCGGAAAGGGTGGAGGAGTCGGTGATGTCGCCTGCGTGGATGACGATGTCGACGGGGGTGGAGGGAATGGGGAACGGGAGGGGGTTCTTGGAGCGGGAGCGGATGTGAGTGTCGGAGAGGAGGAGGAGGCGGGTGGGGATTGTTGGTGATGGTGATGTTGATGTTGATGTTGACGCCGTTGATGTCGATGTGGTAGGGTCGGGTGGGCTGGTGGTTGATGTGGTCATTATTGTCGTTGATGGGTTCTGGGTGTTTGTGAGTGTTGAGACCGGATCGTGAGTCGGCGTGAATATTGATGAATTTTGGGATCGGAACTGGAGATCGTGTTGTTGAGGCCGTGACAGACCGTCTGATTACACCACCGGGATGAGCTGGATGACGTAGGGTTCCACTGTTCCTTATGCTTGTAGCTCGCTGTAACTGCTGTGTCTGAATCCCAGCGATGTGCTTAAAGCCCTGAACCGTTGTGTGGACGGCGTTGGAGCAGACGGATATTTGGAAATCCAAGACGTCTTGGTAGTGAGAATTCGAGTGAGCTTCGCTTGTCTCAGGCACGTTTGGGCTTTGCGCCTCCAGGGGATGTGGCAAGGTTCGACAACCTGGCAAATGTGTCCGTCACACAGGGTTAGGGTTCGTCATGCTGTACTTACAACCTTGGATGGTTGCAGCCGCTTTGGCCGCCCGACCAACGCGGCGATGCGGCTCAACAACGAAAAGCCGCCGATCCGGAGAATTGATTGTTTCCATTGTTTGTGAACAAAGGATAACCTGTTCCAATCCTTTTAGTGGCGTCACCTAATGTTTGATTCAGTGGGCAAAGCAAACACCCAAGTCCTGGGGGTACATGATACCTACTTGTCCCATCACGTGCAGTTACCGGCCCGTTGGTGTCCGACGGCCCGACACAACTGGCAGCTCGCACGGAAAATCCCCCAACAAAAAACCAGCTGGAGACCCCACAATTGACATCTCCAAACAGCAGCCAAAGGCCAAAGCACACAGAAGAAGCAGCTCCGAATTCAGGCCCTCGACACCGTCCGAGTCAGCAGCAGCAGCAGCAGCACCACCGTCGTCGTCGTCGTCGTCCTCAACCTCCATTCCAGATACCGACCGTCAAAATGGCTGCCGTCGTCAAGGCCCTCAACGCCAAGATCAGGAGCAATCCTGTGGCCAACTACCTGTGCTCGACCCGTACGTTGTTTACTCTCTTTGTGCTCGCTTCGTTCTTCTATTTACTCCCGTCGCCCATGGTTTCCCTGGCAAAAAGTGCCCAATGCCCGATTATCGGACGAACTCTTTTTTGCTGTCACTCACCTTGCTTCTCACCTCACTCACTCCCCACATACCCTATCGTCACCACAACACATGTCCATCAATAATCATCAAGTCTTGAATGGAACCCTAGAGGTCATACCTCTCACCACTTTCACTGCCCTCATCTCGGCAAAATTCCCACTGCTCGCCAATAAACACATCCCATTGGCGATCCAGTCCGCCGCTGTTCGTGACCTTCACACATATGGGGGCCGTCACATCTCATCCAACTGCTTCTACCAACCGGCCGCGGTGCTATCTTGCATGCGAAATGCGGGCTCGCCAACTTTGTGTAACCGCTGGCTGATCCTTCTCGTCTTCATCTAGACTTCTGGGGTCCTGCCTCCAACTTCGGTATCCCCATTGCCGCCGTCCTCGACACCCAGAAGAGCCCTGAGCTGTAAGTCACATGAACCCTGTTTTCTTTCCTTCCTTTCCATAACCTCATTGGGCACCGAGACTGATCTTATTCGTTACAGCATCTCTGGCCAGATGACCGGTGCCCTCACCATCTACGCCTTCACCTTCATGCGTTACGCCCTTGCCGTCACTCCCCGTAACTACCTCCTCTTTGGCTGCCACTTTGTCAACGCCGGCGCCCAGCTCACCCAGGGTTACCGCTACCTCGACTGGCACTACTGGGGTGGCAAGGAGAAGGCTGTCCAGAAGGCCGCCACTGCCCCGGTTGCCGCCGCTGCCGTTGCCAAGTAATGCAGCCCGCCTGCATATTGGATGCCAACAGCCAGCCAACCGGCATCATCAAGATTTGCACAGCCCGGCTAGGACGAACCGGAGAACCGCCGCTGATCTTGTTGGTGAGCCTCTCCTTGCGGGTTTTATTTTTTTGACGACGGCCAGCATGTAATCTAGAATTTCCCCTTGCTCCTTCTTTCGGTTGATATCCATCATAGACAAGGCACACAAAGATACAGGCACTCACATCACCTTCGCCAAGGTATCCCCTGTTGTTCTGGTTCGACTGCATCTGTTATTAACAAAAGAGGAACCAACAAGATGAGACACACTCGGCTTGCGCTAGACATATATCTCGCATGCACGAGATATCACGCGTTTCTCCAACCAGACACATCATGGCTTCCTTTTTTTCCGCCTTCTCACATTTCATCTTCACACTTGTGCCTTGGCTAGACACTTTTCAGAACACAGCAACCTGTTCGCTTCTTTCTTCTGTTCCATAGAGGTATCCTCCAGCTGCTCTCGGCTCTATCAGGCTCCACGACACGACAAGGGTTACATCGGTTGGACCCACATGATTCGCTACCCCTTCGACTCTTGGAAGTGTTGGGTCGTTTTTTTTCTCTTCTATTTCCCGGGGTTCGGAGTCTCTCACCTGTCAGGGACCAGCAACCAACCCCATCAGCACCTGTGCCCAGTTCTCAGCCCGGTGCTATTTCCGTCCCCAGCTTACCTTACATACGGCCCCGTCCGGCACACAACCGGTCAATCAAGTGAACACTGGTGCGGATACACCCTCCACCGTTCCACCATCGGCGATACACTAGCAGAAGCACTTTCTTGGAACGGGCCATTCCGTCCGCTTCCGCGGGTCTGCGAGGCTACGATTTGGTTGCCCCCCATGGAGCGCGCCCCCCATGCAGGCCCTGGACGAGTTGGGTCGTGTAACGTCCAGGGGCATCAGGAAATATGGAAAGCCGAGGAATAATGGCGTTCTCTGGAATGTGATTGTGGAGTGAGTCTTCCCTTTTCGGTCTCGACAGTGAATGCACGTGCAGACTTTGCATGAAAATGGAGAATTTCGAGAATTGTCAGCAACCCCTCCATTGCTCCATTTGCCCCAGTCGAAAGGTCAGTCAGACTCTGGACAAAGTGGAGGTTGGAGGGGAGGATTGCAAATGAGGATGATTATCCCACTGGCTCGGCTGGACTGCGTGCTCATCAGGTTTCCGCGGCTTGCGCCTCACCGGTTTTAGCGGATTAAGAAGGTGGTACATAAGCCCTGACTGTCTCCCTATACTACTATTACCATTAACGGTCACCGTGTTCTCGCCATCGTACAGTTCTTACGGTAGACGGGGATAGGCGAAATAGGCGAGCCAGGCCGAGAAAGAAGCACATCCGAGAACCGACGACGACGAAAGATTGGACTGGATGAACCCAGGACTTTCAGATGCGAAGTGGAAGCCAGGAAATTAAGCATGCACAAAAAAAAAAAGCCCAGCGAGAGAGCCTCGGACGCCCTTGGGTCGCAGTCACGCAGTTGGCTGGTCTAGTAGCATCCCAGCATCCATCAAATCCATCCATCCACACGATCGTCCGCCCACCGTTCTCACTTGTGCAGTTGCTTCGCGCATAGTGTCTCCCCCTAAGCCCTCCTCCCCCTACACTAGCTCGGATTCTCCATGTCACCAAGGGTTGCATCCCGGCCCATCCATCGAATCAAAAGACCCAAAAGGACCCGACAGTCTGGAGACGAATCCAACAAGTGGAACACTGAGCTGCTCCTTTTTTTTTTTCTTTTCTTTTCGTCCCTTTCTCTCTGTGCTCTGAGGACCATGAACAGCTCGATACGACGACACACACTGAACGACAGGATCCGCACCGCAGAACGGCCTTGGTTACGAATTTGGCGCCTGCCGCCGCGTTACATACAATACAACCAAGTGTCTCCACTGTTACGAGCGAGCGAGCGCTCGACCGGTTCGTCTACCCTGCCTCGCCTGCCCTACCCTGTCCTGTCCTGCCCTGCAAATCGACCGTCCCATCTCATCGACCTGCTGCGAGCAAAGTGGAAATTTTCTTCTCGATGTCTCTAATGTCACGTTAACATTGATTGACCTTTGTCAACTGGGGCATATCCGAGCTTCTTCTGGCCGACTTTTTTTAAAAAAAAAAACAGGGCTTGGTCAAAGTCGGAGGGCTTGGCTGCTGCGACCCTACAAGTAAGGTAGGTAGCTAGGTCACCAGGGTGGGGGGCAAGAAAAAGAAGAAGAAAAAGAAAAGAAAAGAAGAAGAAAAAGGAGAGAATCGGCACCCCTAAGACGATCATAACCTTGCTTGTGCAACCAAGCAAGATGGGTCCCGCAATCCATCCATCTAGCGTATGTACCCATGTCCCCCGGCGGCCCTATTTGCGATTCCCGCGAAATCGTTCCCGGATTAGGGTAATACGGACTTATAGGGCGGACACTATAGGTAAGGTAACAGGTAGGGTACCTAGGGGAGTGGATGCGTACTAGGCATGTATATAGACTGGAGATGAACTGGACTGGATGCAGGTCTGGACCCGAAATGTCCGTCTGTGAGCCGTGCGGCCTGGCCCCCAACCCAAGTTGCATCGTTAATCTGGCGATTTGCATGTTCGTAGATGGAAGGTCGAACGACCATGGACAAGGCTCTCTCTCTCCAGGATCGCCATCGTTGGCTGTAACCGACTTTTTCCTTCCCTGCTTTCTCTAAATCTTGTGCCGATGCAGTCAATTTACAGTTTTGAAGGGGGTAAATTTCTCTGCGGGAAATCTGCGCATGAGGGAAGGAAAATTCCGCTTTTATACCGTTCAGTTCCGGGCCACCCACGGGTCTTGTTGATGTCGACTCTCGATTTCTCGACCGATTTTGCCAACCAACATTCTAAGAACAACAACAACAACAACTGATTGATAGCGGGCATTGTGTTTTATCTGGACAGAAACATAACACATCCGGCAAGTCCCACCACGCGTCCCCTTTTCCTGCTTCCTCTCCAAACTAACAGCCCATTTTCCAGTCTACCAACAACTCGACTTCCAACATCTCGACCCCATCACAGAAATACCATAACATCGACCTCAACGAAAACCAACAACAACAATGTCGCCCCCTCCACACGGCCCCCGCCATCGCAGCTATCACAGCTACAACCACAACCCCGACCCATCCAACTCCAATTGTTCCGCCCCTCCGACTCCCCCCGGCAGCATCCCCTCTCCTTCCATGTCCTTCCCCGGCTCGGGCTCGGCCCCCAACAGCAGCACCAACCCTTCCAACTCAAATACCAGCCTCAACAACATGACCCACCACCCCAACCTCCCCTCAACCCACTCCCACTCCCAACCAACAACAACAACAAGTGGAACAGACCGCACAGCAACCGCCCACGCAGCCACCACGCTCCTCACCACCTTATTTCCCCCCTACTCGCAAACCAACCAACTAATCGCCTCTTTATCCGCGGAGCTCGACGCCCTCAAAGCGCGCCAACGAATCTGGAAACGGCTCGCGCACGCCGCTGTCCTGTTCAGTTCCGACCACGAGTTGCGGTATTCGCTACTGGACAAATGCAATGATTTGGCCGAGTGCATGAAGATGTACCCTCGCTTACGAGAGGAAGTGGCCAAGATGAATGAGGTGGAGCTGCAATTGTTTAGTATCTCGAGTACTGCGAAGCAGTTGGTTGGGGATGTGGAGTGGGTTAGGGCGGAGGATGTGAGGGGTTTCGTGGAGGGGGTTAGGAGGGGGCAGTTATTACACATGGGTTGTACCCAAAGAGGAGGAGGGGATGAAAGGGGGATTGGGATGGATAAAGGGGGAGGGAATGGGATACAGAATGGGAGGGGGATACAAAATGGGGAGGGGGAGGGGATAGAAGGAAGAGGCACAGGGAGGACTGGGACGGTGCAGGTTAAACTGGATAAGGGACGGGGGGATGTAGGGAGGAGGTTGAATTATTTGATGGTTACTTCTGCTTCTGCTTCTGCTTCTGCTGGTCAGAGTCAGAGTCAGAGTCAGAGTCAGAATCAGGGAATGCAAGCTGGAGGAGGAGGGCAAGGCGAGGTAGTGATGGGAGAAGCACAAGGCCATCACAATGGACGATCAAGAAGGAGTTCAACAACAACTGCGAGAATGACAAGAGGACAACAACCACAACCACATCCGCAAAGTCAAATACAAAGCTATATCGCCGCTCAAGCAGTTGCGGCAGCAGCAGCAGCATCAGAATCAGCAGGAGGACAGCCACAACAACAACAACAACAAGAGGAACCAACATGGAGTTCAACAACCCTCAGTGCGGAATCAAGTGCCGGGCGAGCAAGCCCAGGACCAAGTGAGGGTGAGTCTTTCCGTTCTTCCAAACCCCCCACCCTTCAATTGTCCACGGCTCTGTGCTAACTCCGCCAAAAAGCTGATAGTTCAACGGGTCCAGGTCCATATGGACCCAACCGAGCGAGATGGTGGGACACAGTCATCATGGACTCGGACACGGATCAACGAAGGAGGTCAGAAAGCAGTAGAGGTAGGAATCTACGAGGACGTGATGCTGGGTCGGATTGCGAGATGGAGATGTAGTGTTGCTTGTTGTAAGATATGGTTCACGGCAATGGATCTTGTCGGGTCCTCTCTACCTCTAGGAACCGAACAGGGAAAATATCTAATCCTTCGTACGACCGAGTATTTCTTTCTTGCTGAGGAAAGTGAGATTGGGGACGCAGAACTGGAAGTGTCGCGCTGGAAATCAGCATGGTCATCGGGATTCGGGAAGTAACGGTCAGCGACAAAACATCCAGATTTCCACAAAGCATGATGCAAGGGAACGAAGTAGACGTACACTCCGACCATCATTACAGGCGGGTGAGACATCAAAATGACATCCATATCTATCCAATATACCTCTACCGTAATCTCACCTCCCATCTCATTCCTCACTGTCATAATACTCCCCATGTCCCCGCGGCCCCCAATATCCCATATGTCCCGGGGCAGCATGTCCAGCATATCCTCCTCCAGCATACAACCCATCAGGTACACTCCCCGCCATACTTACAGGCCTCGGCTTCCCCGTTCCAAACGTCTTTGACTTCCTTGATGATAACGGTGGTGGTTGTGGTACTTGCGTGGCTTCCCCATGCCACTGGTGGCTCAAACCCGCACCGCTCCGTCTCCTCATGGCATCATAAGCCCCATACCCCCCGCTTGTCCGGTGTTTGCTCTTTGTCCGCCTCGCCTTGCTCTTGTCCCTTGGGCTTCCTACGACCACTTCACCTTCCTTGATCGTGTCGGTGGTGCCGCCTCTGACTCTGCCTCTCGACTTATCTCTCATCTCTCTAGCCTCTCTACCACGCGGCTCGCGCCCGGGCGTGGGCGAGTCTCGCCAGTCTACGGGGACATCTCGAATACGACCCCGTTGAGGTTGTTGCGTGGGATCAAGCTCGCTGTTGTGGTCGAACGAGATGTCTGTTGGTGTTCCGCCCCTGTCTTCTTCCGAGTAGTAGGGGTACTCATGATCTTCGTACATCTGATGTGAGAGGAGAGAGTCCCGGGATGTGTCCCATACGTTACTGCCACGAAAGCTGCGGCTAACAGGGGATTCCCTCCCTGGTTTGCTGCCGTTCATCCCAGGTATGGGCATGGGGCCTGGACCTGCGAGGGGATGGCCGTCCGGTGGCCTGAAGGGAAGATAATCTCCTGGTCCGGGAGCTGTAGTCGGAATGCCGTTGGGGTAGAATCCGGGGCTGGTGGCTGCCATGGAGGGTCTTCGCCCTTTGCGTAACCGCGCTTGGTGCGCGTCATGGGCTGCTCGTAGCCCCTCGTTCTCTGCTCGTAATCGGGCCGTCTCCGCCCTCAAATCCTCCAGCTCTTGCCTGAAAGTCTCAATGCCCTCTGGTCCGTGTATGATATCCCTCAACTGCCTGATCTCGTCTTTCAATGCGTCCTTCTCTTCAGCGTGTTGCCTGTCCTTCTTCAACTCGTTCTTCTTTCTGGCGGCATCCTCCGCCTCCATCGCCTCTTCAGCGTCTCTCCTCCCCGCATCTTTCCACCGTTGCCGTTCATGATCGGCGCATCGCTCAAAGGGTGTTCCTTGGTCGTCGTATAATCGGCCTTTTTGGCAGGCGTCCTCGATACATTCGTGCTTGACATGGCAGTATCCTGCTGTGGTGTCGGATATGGGTATCGCTTCCTCGGGACAGGAGGCAATCTTGCATTTATGTAGCTTGCAGAGGGTTGGGCCAGGCTTCCCGGAGGTTTTCGAGCTGCCGATGATGTCGGCGGGATTGGGGCAGTCTGGCTTGCTGCATGAGTGAATCTCACAATGGGAAGAGTTGGCCTTGGAGATGCTTTGCTGACATGATGGGAACTTGCAGGTATGTTGCGGGCAAAAAATGCCGGTGCCGGTGCTTGAGCCATTGACAAGAGGGTTGGGACAGCCGTCCTTCCTACAGCGATCTATCAACTTGGTTAGCTAATACTCACGACACTTGGTTGGTAGGATACCTTACGCTTGTGACAGTAAAGACTTTCAAAGCTGTCTCTCTCCACTGGGCACCCTCCGGACTTACACTCATGCTCGGAACAGTACCGGCCCTGTCCATTTTCCTTTTGTCGGCTGCAATCTGGGTTTGCACATCGAGCTTTCTGTTTGAAGTGTGTTTCACACAATGGCGGCGCATCCAGATCATCGAGTCCAGTGTCGGGCCAATATCGAGGTTTGTTGCACCCTTCGCGCACACATCGCTGATGCTCCGTGCAAAGGTTGTTCTTCTTGGCGACGTTGGGGCAATGGGCGCTTCTGCAGGTGTGTCTCTTGCAGTAGAAGCTGTCATTTTGAACGTCTGGTGGTGACATGCAGTCGGGCACATCGCATCGCTTGTGCTCGTCGCATCGCCGATTGTGTTGGTCACTCCCGGTACCTTCCCTATCGCACCTATCCTGGCCGCATCGATGAGTAGAACAAAACCAAGGGGCCGTTGGGTCGACACTGTCGGCAACTTCTTCGTAGTCCCTCTTTTGCAAACACGGTTCCGTCGTGCATGCGCATGATAGAAGTTGCTCGTCTAGGGATAGTCAGCCAAGATCAGGGTCATGATGGCAACAGAGCAAGTGTGGTGAGGCTCCTACGGTGATCACACAAGTCTTGCCCTGACGTTACAGGATCGGGGCAACAGCTCCTGTCGTAGGGCGGATATTCCCATCGGCATGTGTCTATAGTGGCGCTTGTCAGTATGAGATGAAGCCAAGATAGATGATACTTTACATACGTCGTTTACAGTAGAGGGAGAGAAGGATCTCGTTATCAAAGGCTCCAGCAATGGGTACTGCCGTGTCTCTACACTGAGGGACGCGGCATGTCGGAGGGCCTCTGCCGCGGCGCAGACTCTCGGTGGTCGACCACCTCTTGGCTGAGGGCCGCCGGTTCGTGTCGGAGGCGTCTGAAGGCATGGTCTAATTGCTCTGCCAAATGTCAATTGTGTTGTCTGACCGGGATGAGGCGCCAGAGTTGGGCGCTGACGATGGGTTTGGAGGAAGCGAGTGAATGTAGGAATTGGGTGACTGGTCCGGGCGTGATGTGGGATAAGCGGAGAGTGGGGTTTGATCGGGCCAAGCCTTCCTTGGTGGGCAAGCAAGCAACGTTCCTCTAGATGTCGGGGGTTTCGCTTGTTATAAAATGTGTGCTTGTTGTTTGCGACAGCTGTCCCATTGGCCGGGTCTGGCGTAGTATGGCTACCAACTTCAAAACAAAGCATAACAGGGCACCATCGTATGGCGTATTGTTGCCTCTATAGAGGTAACGTCGCCCACTGGCCGATTGACGACAGGGAATCAAAGTGGACGACAGCACCGAAACTCAACCTAACATGCAGGACATGAACCAGTGGGCCACCATGCAGTAGCGTCCATGTGTCTGCGAATGATACGTGTCGGACAATGTGGGTCGACTTGTTTGTCGGCCATGTTCGAATATCTTTTCTTTGTCACAATTGACGACTTGAGCCTCTTTTTCACTCCAAGTCGGGATACCTCATCAAAAGGCGCCTGGGGAGGCCACTGACCGTCCAGAGAGGCAATCAAGAGGCACACCTGCTCCCTCGGGGTTTTCTTTGTGCCGCAACTTCACATGTAAAAAAGCCCGTCCTTCGTCTCAAGTCCTCCGCAGGCAGAAGTGGCTTTGGTCCCTCTTCCAGGTGGATATGGGGCCGGGTCCACGGTATGGGTAGACGCACAGGTACATTAACTTTGTCTGTTGCAGGGTAAGGGGACTTGGAGGACGACGACCTTGGTTAGTATGCTAAGGCTGTATGGTAGATATGGTGGTCCATGTGAAGGGGCCTCTTAACATCTTCCACTTGGAAGTGCTGCTATCAAGGGACCCAAAAACGCCCTCTAGGTGGGTATTCCATTCTGCTCACTGAGTAGAGAATGTCGGGTGTGGCTGTCTCAATTCCCAGCTGCATCAAGGCAGAAAATGTCTCGGGAAAGGGAAGAGAAAAGAAGGTGGTGTTGGTGTTCTAGACCGTTCTTGATGTGGGAAGCTTAGTTGTTAGTGACAGAAGCCTGCTGCAATGTTGTTTCATACCTACAGCACCGCGCACAGGGCAGCTTGAGGCTGGGCTCTGTTAGCTCAAAGACACAACGGAACCAACTGCATCAGCCAGACCACACCAAAAAGGAAATCAATGAGTTGCAAGATGATGGTCCAAGACACCCAAAAGAGATATCGTAGCTTGAGAAAACGTCAAGTTCAGTAAACAGGGCACGTACCCACCTGCTTCCTCTTTAACAAGACGATGGGAACAGCGACAGCCACCGACCGGACCCGACGGTTGGGGCAACTCGCTGGTAGCCAGGGCACAGGGAAAGAAGCGAGTATCCAAGTCGAAAGGTGAAGATCACTCAATGGCTGTGCTGGCTTGGGGCTGTGATACATACCGGCAGTGTGGCAAAGTCACAGAACAGAGAAAACAAGCCAAGGAGCTATGACCACCCGAATGAGCTGGAGCTGGAATGGGGAGTAATACGCGATAAGATAAAGGTGACTGCACTAACAGAGTGGTATGTGGCCTGTAACCCTCTGGCGTTAGTGATCAGCCATCCACCCTCACACCTAACATGGCGTCTCTCTGTAAAGAGGACCTGGGACCATGGGAATCTGCAGAAAATCATCCACTTGACAGCCCGTGATTGTTGACTACATGTTTTTGCAGCCGATCAGCATGGAACTATTCCGCCTTTTCCTTTTCCCCAAGGTATGTACATAGTGTACAATCTCTGGCAACTGCCGGTTCAAGCAATAATCAGAAAAGCCGTGATTGGAAAGTGCCGGCTCAACCCCACCCCCATCTCTTAGCAATGACATCACCAACCTGGACTCGCTGTAGGTACCATTCCCTTTCCGATCACTTTGCCCCACTTTGTCCTCATGTTCGTTCCTCCTTTTGATAGCAGCAGAGAGATCTCGATCATTGAACACAGGCAGGCACAAGGCAAACTATCGATCGAGGTTCTCCGACAAATGCCCGTTCCTGGCTTTGAAATCTTGAACAGTCATGCGAACAACAAATGAAGGTTGGAGTCGATGAGCCATCACAATCTCTGACGGACGGGAAGAAGAGGGAACGAATGCACTGACAGCATTTGTTTGTTCTTTGACGTCATGCATAGGTAAAGATGTGCAAGTATAACATGACTTTCATCTGCTACTTTAGAGATAGGAAATCCTTTAATTTCCCACTTCATCCGTCTCTGTCTCTTCCTCCTCCTCCTCCTCCTTATTCATCTTACCTGCCCGTTCCGTAAGAATTTCATGCAACGACTCGCGTTGCATTATCCTCCCCTAGATCCTGCAGCAGAACCACCCACAGAACACATTCTCCAGCAGTCGAATCCCACCATGTCCAACATCATCAGCCAGGCCGGCCAAAAGGCCAAGGAGGCCCTCACCAGTGCCCCCAGCAGCAAGAAGGTGGACGATCTCAAGAACGAGTTCAAGGAGACCGATAAGAATGCCCGCCTCACCACCGACTATGGTGTCAAGCAGACCACGGCCGACGACTGGCTGAGGATCGTCAGCGACGACAAGATTGGTCCTTCTCTGCTCGAGGACCCCTTTGCCCGTGAAAGAGTACGTATCACATACCAGTAGTACTTCTCTACCCGTATCGCGGCTAACAACATTCTTCCTGCAGATCATGCGCTTCGACCACGAGAGAATCCCAGAGCGAGTAGTCCACGCCCGTGGCAGCGGTGCCTTTGGCAAGTTCAAGGTCTACGAGAGCGCCTCCGACCTCACAATGGCCCCTGTCCTTACCGATACCTCGCGCGAGACTCCCGTCTTTGTGCGCTTCTCTACCGTTCTCGGCAGCCGAGGCAGTGCCGACACGGTCCGTGATGTCCGTGGTTTCGCCGTCAAGTTCTACACAGAAGAGGGTAACTGGGATTTGGTTGGCAACAATATCCCCGTCTTCTTCATCCAGGACGCCATCAAGTTCCCCGATGTCATCCACGCTGGCAAGCCCGAGCCCCACAACGAGGTGCCCCAGGCCCAGAGCGCCCACAACAACTTTTGGGATTTCCAGTTCAACCACACCGAGGCCACTCACATGTTCACCTGGGCCATGAGTGATCGCGCCATTCCCCGTTCCCTCCGCATGATGCAGGGTTTCGGTGTCAACACCTACACTCTCATCAACGCCCAGGGCAAGCGTCACTTTGTCAAGTTCCACTGGACTCCCGAGCTCGGTGTCCACTCCCTCGTTTGGGATGAGGCCTTGAAGCTGGCTGGTCAGGATCCCGATTTCCACCGCAAGGATCTTTGGGAGGCTATCGAGAACGGTGCCTACCCCAAGTGGAAGTTTGGTATCCAGGCTATTGCCGAGGAGGACGAGCACAAGTTCGACTTTGACATCCTCGATGCCACCAAGATCTGGCCCGAGGACCTCGTCCCCGTCCGCTACATTGGCGAGATGGAGCTGAACCGCAACCCCGACGAGTTCTTCCCCCAGACCGAGCAGATTGCCTTCTGCACCAGCCACGTCGTTAACGGCATTGGCTTCTCCGACGACCCTCTTCTCCAGGGCCGCAACTTTTCCTACTTTGACACCCAGATCTCCCGTCTTGGTGTCAACTTCCAGGAGCTGCCCATCAACCGCCCTGTGTGCCCTGTCATGAACTTTAACCGTGATGGTGCCATGCGCCACACCATTTCCCGCGGCACCGTCAACTACTACCCCAACCGTTTCGACGCCTGCCCTCCCGCCTCCCTCAAGGAAGGCGGTTACCTCGAGTACGCCGAGAAGGTCGCCGGTATCAAGGCCCGTGCCCGCAGTGCCAAGTTCAAGGAGCACTTCAGCCAGGCCCAGCTCTTCTACAACTCAATGTCGCCGATTGAGAAGCAGCACATGATCAACGCTTTTGGCTTCGAGCTCGACCACTGCGAGGATCCTGTTGTCTACGGCCGCATGGTTCAGCGTCTGGCCGATATCGATCTTGGTCTTGCTCAGACCATTGCCGAAATGGTTGGCGGCGAGGCTCCCACTACCACCAACCACCCTAACCACGGCAGGAAGACCATCAACCTCAGCCAGACCGAGTTCCCGCCTGCGACGCCCACCATCAAGTCCCGCCGTGTTGCCATCATCATCGCCGACGGCTACGACAACGTTGCTTATGACGCTGCCTATGCCGCCATTTCTGCCAACCAGGCCATCCCTCTTGTTATCGGCCCCCGCCGCTCCAAGGTCACTGCTGCCAATGGTTCGACCGTCCAGCCCCACCACCACCTCGAGGGCTTCCGCTCGACCATGGTGGACGCCATCTTCATTCCCGGCGGGGCCAAGGCTGCTGAGACGCTCTCCAAGAACGGCCGTGCTCTGCACTGGATCCGTGAGGCGTTTGGTCATCTCAAGGCCATTGGTGCTACCGGCGAGGCGGTTGACCTCGTTGCCAAGGCGATTGCTCTGCCTCAGGTCACAGTTAGCAGCGAGGCGGAGGTTCATGAAAGCTATGGTGTTGTGACGCTCAACAAGGTTAAGCCTGAGAGCTTCACAGATGCCGTCAAGATTGCCAAGGGCGCTGCTGGGTTCTTGGGAGAGTTCTTCTATGCCATTGCCCAGCACAGGAATTGGGACAGAGAGTTGGATGGCTTGCACTCGATGGTTGCGTACTAAGTGCAGTGGTGGAAGACGGTGTACTTACGATAATTATGATACCTAATGTTTATGATTCATGTTCATTTCTGGAAGTTTTGGAGTGCTTTAAGTGATATTCAACTAGCATAATTGTGTGGGTGTTGCGGAGATAGCTGTTAGTGCATTATCTCACGCTTGCTGCTGCCTCCGTATCTCATCCAACCTTTTGAACATTGTATTCTCCTGTTTCTTTCTCGTTCTTTGGTTTCCTTTCGTGAACTTCACTCGAGTCTTCACAATCGGCTATCCCCCTCGGGAAGGCATACAGCCGCACAGGCGGGCCCTCATCCTTTGCTGTGAGGTTGTAGGGTAGCCCATTCCACTGACCTGCCAAATGCTGGCGATGATTGTCATGAGCCAAATTCACTTTCAATCTTTCCACACTTACGTGTTTTTAAAACAGCAGTGACATAAGAAATCTAAGAAGACAAGAAAGGACACTGTCGAATCGGTCATGACAAATCCTTCTTACTACTTGATCGACGACAAGGGTGGTGATGCTGGACAGGATTTCGAGGTGCTCGTCTTGGTGTTTTGTTCCGATGAGGGTTTTCGCGGGAAATTGATCCTGAAGCTCGCACCTTCCTCCCTTCAGTGTCACGACACATCTGCTCTCGTTTTGTGCGCACCTTCGCGACTTCCCTTGAGCAAGTGTCGAGGCTTTAGGGCTCAACCCTTTCTGGAGGATCGACTTTTTTTCCCTTTTCCACGTCTCATCATTTCCGTCGTTCGCTTCAGTTTCGTCCGATTTCTCCCTCTTCCCGACCTGAAGTTGCTTCCATGATCCATCCTGTTTGTATTCATACCTGTTATGTCACCTTCATCTTTCCTTGCATCCCTTTTGTACCTTCCTCCACACCGGATCTGTTCGTTTTGCTCGAGCTTCTAGTCCCCCCCTCAATCCCCTCCGAGCTCGAAGTGCCAGTGCCCCGCATTCGTTTTATGGCTATTGAGGCCGTTTTCTCATGCTCGTTCTCCTACATGTAGCTTAATGTCTACCTACCTCGCGATCTGTCTTTCTGAGGTCCAAAATACACCTTGATCATGCTGTGATTTGTCCGTTATCTCGTTCCTACCATCCGCTCCTCACTAATCGAAGTCGTTACAGGTACTGAGTTGCTTCGTTTGCTCTCACACGCTCAACCTTTAGAGGTACTCTGACTTTTGTCTCGTTCCTCGAAGGGGTAAATCTTGTCCAGCACTATCTCGAAACTCCGTTTCCCTTGAATCAAACGGAAAACTGTGTCTTTGTGTGCAGCTAACCAACTTGTGGAGGTCATGTTCTCTACAATCTATCTTGGTCTCTGCTCTTCCTGCCCCTCACTTCTCACGACACAGATCTTGAATCAAAAACTACTAGAAAGCAATGACTTTCTGCGGTACTGGTATGCTGTCAACGCATTCTTGGACTGATTTCGACGATATCTGCGCGATTCATCAAGACCCCGTCTCCTAAGGTTCCAAAGTATCTTCCTCCATCTGCAACTTTGGGCACAGATTTTTCTGTTCATATGGACGAGGAGGCTCCTTCTCCTGTGGCTGCTGCTACCAAGACTCGTGGTCAGGATGGTGACAAGAAAGGTGGCGCGGATCCGCAGCCTGTTGGCGCCGGCAGCGTGTTAAAGACTCCGTCTCGCCACAAGGATCCTGTTGTCAGCACTCATGGTTCTGGGGGTAAAGGAGATCCCATGGTGATTTCCTCATCTGAGGAGAGTGGCAGCGATTGTAGCGACTTTCCTGATATTGAGGAGTACCTTAACGCTGAGGGAAATGTTGATGCTGCCTCTGCTGGTGTTGACAATCCAGTGGGCTCAGGAGGGGATCCCATGGAGCTGGATGATGGGTTCCTTTCTGATGCTCCTTCTCTTGACTGAACGGTCTCTTGTAGAGTAGGGAGGAAAGGTTCTTGGTTCGTTTTTTACTGAGGGTGACGAGGAGTAGAAAGAAGGGGTGGCGTCAGACTTCGGGTCTCTCCTCCTCATTCAAACTTGTCATTTCTTCGTTGGAAGCGTAATTCACGAACAACTACATAAACCTTGATCTCCCCCCGTGTTCGATGATCACGGATGTTATTTCTAAATTTGAAATCCAGGTTGAGCATTACGCAGTCCTGCCCTTCACTGTAGTTGAGTTTCAGGTTCCGTGCTATTCGACTGTTCATCCCATTGTTTTGCTGTTCATCCGATTGTGAACTTATATATTTCCGCTGACAGCCGTCGCTTCACACTTCGACATATTCAAATCAGATCACAATACGAACAGAATACGAATGCGCCAATTCTGTCTCAATAGGCATCCACCACTCGACAAACGGTATCCTGGACCATCTTCAGGGTATAAAAGCCTCGACATTTTGCTAGTATGTACGGCTTTTTCTCCTCTCCAACATCTTTCTCGCAACCAACGACTTGCTCGATGCAAGCGATTCTGCGACCTTTACCCACACAACAGCTTTTTCCGTCGGCCTTCGCAGCAACTTCCTTCGCCCAGTACACTTTCCGCCCTCGGACTCGGCCTTTCTTTCTTCTTCTAAACCTCACCTCTCTCTCCGGCAACTCGGCGGCCTTGTCTTTTGTCAAAGATATCCTCAACCGCATCATTCCCTGGCGCTGGCGGCCTTCTGCACTTTTCTTACGTCGCTTCTGGCGTCTTCACGGGCAGAAAGTTCTTCGCGTTTTCCTGACTTGTTGTGTGCTCGGGCTGCTTGTGGCTGCTTTCAAGATTTTTTCACGGTTTCTTTCCAGAGCAAAAGAAGAAGAAGAAGCTGGACAAGATGGCCTTCAACCCGCCTCACACACCTCAAGGCGCCCGGCCGAGTAGATTTATCTACCCGCCAGAAGTACTCAGATCCAGAGAGAGTAAGTCACCCTGTTCAAGCGAACAATACCCCTTGTCTTTCACTTTGTTCTCAACTTTCGAGTTCCAAAGTTGGACTCGATCACTTTCTTTCATTTCCTAACGACCCTTTGTCTTTGTTTCAACAGGAGCTCAAGCGACTCTCGAGTCCATCATCACCCCCTTCTTCAACCGCCTCGACGCCATGTACTGGGGCCGCCCCGCCTACATGGGCTGGGATGCCATCCGCCAAACCCTCAACCGCATCCAAGCGGACTACATGCGCCACCTCACCGCGCACTTCTTCATTTCGCCCATTGCAGAGCATTCCCTGGCGCTCTACATACTACGCCATCAGATGCGCTGGTTGGAAAACACGTTTGAGCAGGAACTCATTGACATTGAGGTTGATCCCTTCAATCGGGACATATACCCGACGGAGGCGATCAGGGCGAATGCCAGGGCTGAGGAGCATGAGTCGAGGTGGCTGCGGGTAATACGCACGATGGTGCGGGACGGAAGCTGGAGGAGGGACTGGGGAGAGATGCGCTTGGAGAACTTTGTGAGGATGATGACGAATCACATGGTTCTTCTGGTCAGTTTGGAGTTGGAGATGGTGGAGAGGGCGAGGTACATGAGGAAGGGAGGGGAGAGAAGGAGGAGGGCTAGTTTTTGAGGGGGAAATCCTGGGCAGGGAGAGAGAGAGAGCATCAATAGAGCATCATCGGGTTTTGATCAACATGAAGACATAATGGCGCCGTAGGGTGGGCATGAAGCACTATAAAAAGCTGGCATGGAGCACAAGATGGTTGTGAGCGGCAATTGGCGAGTGAATTATTGAGCTTCGGGCTGGGCATAAATCCGATCGAAGGATCACATCGTTGATCTGCTCACCTACTAGTGGGACACTGCGCAGCCATACATTGAAAACAAGTAGTTCCGATTCAATTATACTTTGAATGAAAAGTTCCACTCTCGGAAATAAACCTCTTCTTCTTTCCTACACGTAGCATAACTGGTATTGCCAATATTCAAACAACTGTTGATCACTTGTTTTACCTACCTCTAGAGGTACTTTTACGTTTTGCCTCCTGATATACCCTAACCCTCGAATGACCGACAGTTGCCGCCATGCATGATTCGTACCGGAAGAAATGTCTGCTTTTCGTTGCCTCCCTTCTGTATCACTCATTCCTATTGGCAATATGCCTGTTTTATGGGTACGGTATCTCTGAAAGTATCCAGTGACTCCAAGATGGAATTGTACATCATCGACGAGACGTGGCACTTTCCCACAAACGCTGCTGTTTCACTTTCCAAAGGATTATCTCGGTGAAGGGGATTGTGCAAGTCACTAACAGGAATAGGTGTGATTTTCCACCAAATTTGGTACGGTCATGAACATACTATTTCCCCGGTTCTTGGCCTGTGCGTCGTAGGGTAGGATAGTAGTCACCCTTCAGCCATCCAAGTACATACCTACCTAGTAACTTGCAACCAACAAGCCCAACGCGTCCTTCTCTCATGTCCGTCTCGACGTATCTTGCTCGATATCCAAGCCTCCAATTTAAGATGCCACATCTACGTTCAAAAAGGCCACGCCAAGGTGACCCGTCTCCTCCCCCCCGGGTCTACCGAGCCACAAGAGGCCTTGAAAATACCCTAACCCTTGATATTTGACGCCTTACATATGCCGCCGAATGTTTCCCAGCAGCTGCCTGCTTGACATGGGGCTGAAATAATTGTTAGGTACCTCTACCTACCCCTCCACCAAATGCCCGTCGCACATCCAATCCAATGTGTCACTGACATCATCTCCCGGGCATCTTCCACTGTTACCTCGACACATTTTGGCGCATTTCGCATACTTCTACCTTACCTACACATCATCACACCACAAAGACCAAACGGCGGACGCGGGCGGGCATGACGGCGCACAACCAGGGCGAGGGAGGGGCACCACCACCACTAACCCAAGCATCGCCATCCCCCAGCAACGCCGACAAGCCACCCGCCAAGCTGTATCACGAACACGGCGGCGAACCGCTCGAAGGCGCCGCTCTCCAAGAATGTATCGAAGCCCTCGTCGACGGATGGACGACCTGCGTCGATGAGCTCTCCCAGCTCCATACAAAGGCCGAGTCAGCTTCCAAGCCCATCCGCGGCCTCTACACCCTCCTCAAAGTCCAGCAACGCACCCTCGACAAGGTCAAAGCCAAGAAAGCGTCGCAACCGTCCCCTCCTCCTCCTCCCTCGACAGACGAACATGGCACCGAACCAAAACCACTCTTCACCCCCGCCCAGTACTTTGGCATGCGCAGTTGCTGCTGGGACGACAGGTGGTCCGTCATCAAAAAGTGTCGCGGCCTCGTCGCCATCAATAAGGAGTTTGCCCGGAGCCCGAAGCAGCCGGTTCCTGCGGGAAAAGGCTGGTTGGCATACAAAGATAACCCTCTGCTGGAGAGGCCGATTGTTGTTGACGCCGTCATCGATAGCGGGGCGACGTGGTTGAAATTTGTTTCCATCTCGCCCAAGACGCTCGCTTACCAAATCGCCGTGGATGGATGGGAGACCGATGATGAGGAGGAGGAGGAGGAGGATGACAAGGCATACAGCGATGACGAGGAGGACCAATACAATGGAAACGGAGTCGCGGGGAGAAATGGCATCCAAGAAGCGCTGGGGAATACCGAGTTCGCCGAGTCCATCAAGAAGGTCATCCTGGCTGCGAGATGGAACCACTGCCATCATGTTCACCTCCTTCTTCCGGGCCTGCGCCATGGCGAGTCCGAGCCCGCCGACAGAATGCTACGCTACATCCGCGAAAAGATTGGTGGCGACGACGTTTCTGTTACCGTGAGCTGCGCCAACAGCCCCCTCCTCGCCGACACGCCACCACCACCACCACTTGACACCGCTTTGGCCGCCCTCATCGACGAACGCGACCCCCTCGTCGCCGATGATTGCGGCCGCATCACATCCACTGCGAACCTCGACCCGAGCGTGTTAGTGTCACTGGTGACAGATTTACATCATGGCCTTGTCGATTTGCAGCCCGAGTTCCAGCAGAGGGTAGTTGCCCGGTCGGTATTGGACCACACGACGGACAGTAATGAGCTGGTGCCGCGTGAGGATATCCTCGCCAAGGTCTTGTACCCTGCGCTGAGGGGAAGAAAGCTGGTGACAACGCGTCTGGCTGCTCAGTACTTCCGGCAACTGATTGCGTCCATCTCCACACACTCGGAACAAGTGCGCGCTTCTTTCATTTTGCCTCCTGATGCGCCACCCGCTCTGCTTAGTCCTGAGGGAAGCTCCGAACCCCTCTCAACAACCAGTCTCACCCCCGAACAACGTCGGGCTGAACTGCAGAGGTGGTCCGCCGTCCCTATCCCCGATGATCTTCACCTCCCTGTTGAAATCGTGGACGACATTGAACTGGAACAAGTTTCCCCACTCATCGCAGAGGGCAAGCTCCCGCCCATGGCCCTCGGCGTTGCCCAAGATCTGTCGAGGCTGAACCGCTCCGTCTATCTCTACGGGTGGATAAATCGCCTAACGACAATCACTGGCCACCGCGGCATCGAGCGCCAGATCTACCTTTCACTAGCCACGCATTGGACACCGCCGGCCACCGGCAATCACCGTGCAAGCGAAAGCGACGCAAAAAACAACGAGATCCCTCCAGATATCTGGCACCGTCACCTAGGAGGTTATTTGATTCACAGAGACAAGCCACGGGACTGGAAAGCGTTGATTGCCGACTACGAAGAATGCAAGGACGGAAAGATACCCTCTGAGGTGCAAAGGTGGACAAACCCGTGGACAACGTGGGGGAGAGGTATCAGCACATATGGATTGCCGGATACCAAGACGTGGGAGGGGGTCGGGCATGCGGATAAGCAGAGTTTTGGACGGAAGCTGCAGACGAGGGAAGCAAGGGGGCAGCGGAATCCTGGGGGTAGGGACGTCGATGATCAGGAAGGGGAGGAGCAGGACATGGATGAAGAGGAGGAGGAGGAGCAGTCGTAATTTTGATGTGGTGTGGTCGGCTATCTGATGGTGCTGGTGATAGTGATGATTGACGGGGTCTGGAATCGCTCTCCCGGTCTTCCCGAGTCCCAAGTCTCAGTCTATCCCATGTTGCCATCTGGCCCTGACATAGTTGGCCCTTGTCTGGAATGGAAGCAAAAGCAAGCACCAAACCCGAAACAGCTCAGCACATGGCGGAACGACTGGATGACACAAAGTAAGGGATGAGTTGCCTCAACTGCATCTCTTACAGGTAGGCAACTGAGACAGAACACCAGAAAAAGAAGCGACTACATACCAACAGAAGGGGACAAATCGCACCACCAGTTGTAGCGCACCGCTGTTTGATTAGATGGCGAGATCAGATACCATGGTTGTGGGAACATCTTTCAACATGGCGAATAACAGTTGGATCCCAAAATCAGCAGTGAATGATTTACACGTCGCAGCCCAACCGCTCGCTATTATGAAGATCCCGAGATCAGGTAATCAGATCTGCCAGATTTCAACAATCGTTTGGTTTGACTTTGGGAACCTATCAGGAGAGGGCCAATTTGAGGGAAACTTGGTTTTTTTTCTTCTGGCAAACAAGCTTCGGATCTCAATCTGGTAGTGGAGCTAATTTCCCGTTCCCCCCTTGGATCTGCTCGCTTGGTTACCCCTGGTGATGATTTCCCCCCCTTGCTGCTGGTGTTTGCTAGGTTCTTGGCGGTCATCCGCTTTTGCTGCCGCTAGAACTTTTCTTCTCTGGCTTCCACTTCCTCCCACCGGAGTTCCGCTCAGGGTCTAACTTTTAGCCATCTTTTAGTGTTCTAGTGCCCTATGCCACGCTGCAATGCATCCCCGGCCCGACCCTTGTTTTTTTTGTTTTGTTTTGTTTACGGGTGTCCACCACCCCCCCTGCTTGGTACCTGGAAACCGCCTGTCGACATCTGATTTTGGCGCTCGCTCTTTTGCCTCGCACGTCGCGATGGAGTCATGGGAAATTCGATTGCTGGATTTAGCACACCGCACACTGGACCCGGCGTCGGTTGTCTGAAATGACCTGTAATTTCAGATCCGTCTCGGAACGGAATTCCCCCTTTTTATTTTGGGAAGAGACAGAATTGTCGAGTTTTATTTTATTGCTTCACCTTCCCAGCTTTATCTGTTCTTTCCTCGTCTCTCTCTCCTTGTCCCTTTCGAACCAGTCCATTCGTTTTATACCAACCAACCAACCACCCACCCGGCTTTCGCTTCTCCCCCAACTCCAGACTCCCCCATTTTTTACATATTATCATCCTATAATAATCAACCAAAATGTCTGCCGAACAAGATCAGAGGCCCAAGTCCGCCGCTTCCTCCAAGAAGTCCGAGGATCAGCAACGAGGCCACCAACTGACCGACGACGGGCCCGTTGCCGCCGGTCACCAAGATGCCTACCACCAACTCTCGGACGACCAACCTGAGGCTGGCGCTGCCGACGGCGAGCAAGAGCAGCAGCAAAAGGCCGACAAGCCCAAGAAGGAGAACCCCCTCAAGAAGTTCATGGCCTCGCTCAAGTCTCTCAACTGCGCCGGCAAGCCATCGGGCGACAAGAAGAGCAAGAAGAACGGCGCTTCTCAAGAAGGTGGAGAGGACGACGACGACAACAACACCCCCAACGCCAGGCCGGTGAGCCAGAGCTCGCTGGACAGCAAGAAGGTTGCTGCCGAGAAGAACGCGCCACAGATTGATGTCTCTCCTGCGGTGGAGGATAGCCACCACCAGACGGGAGAGCACGAGGGCCACAAGGAGGACCACGGCAAGGAGGGTGAGGAGAAGGAGCAGGACAATGAGAAGATTGCTAGCCCAGTTGACGCGCACCCTCCTGCGTTGACGACTACTGCTATCAGTGCTACGCCCCCGACTCTTTAGGTATGTTTCCTGTTATTTCTTCTCGTCGGCGAAATAGTATGAGATGTGGTTCTAACAGATAAAAATGCAGGTGCTGAAAAGTATCCCTTGAGTCGTTGAACGGTGTTATCTGTACCAGTCAGAACATGATACAGAAGACGGGGAAAGAAAAAAAAAGAAGGGAGACAATAGACAATAGACAATAAGCTGCATGGACGGGTGTTAAAAGGTCGGGTTGCACTTTGAACACACAGGCACATATACACACATACACAAGCAACGGCAGATGTTGGAGAGAGGGAGATACACTGTACGATTTTTGGACACGGAAACCCCGTTTCAGAGACTGCGGTGAGAGAGGGGAGGGGGAACGACGTCGGACGTGCACGCACGGGGAGTGGGCTGGAGTTTGCCGTTTTTCTTTTTATTGTTTGCTTTTTCTGGCTTTTTTGGCTTTCAGCATCATCACCTCCTCCACCACCCGACACCAACACTACTACCACTGGCTTCCGCATCCTCCTCTGGCTTTTTGCTCATTACTACCTACCTACCTCACCTACCTACAGTATACTTCCCGTTTCGATACCCTCCGGCAATCATCATCATCCTTTCGATTAATGCCCTGCTTATGTACCCTCTATCTAGTTGAGTTGGAGAAGCGAACAAATAGTAGTAAGCGGTTAATTTAATTCCTTACAGTTGGTGTTTCAATGATGTCTTTTCGTGTCTGTATCTTGGGTTTCGTGAGTATCTGTTTGAGCCGGAATGAATGTGAGGTTCCGTTTGGTGGTGTCGTTCCAATTGGAGTAAGCACGGGTCAGGGTCAAATATTTTCTGGATTTGCACCGCACGAACTCGGTGCGGGTACTTGGGACTTACCTCTAGACTAAAAGCCGGGGTGCGTGTTGGGAGTTAGGATGGGGGGCTTTGCTATATTGTAGTTGACCTTTGAACTGAGGACTGGAAAGATAATGCGGAATGCAAGAAGGGAGGTAAGTGGTCGACAATGACGTTCAGGAGAGGGATGGATGCTCGCTGTGTTCACCTGCAACCGTGATGGGGTTATAGTGTGCTGGGTCAAATACAACTGCATCAACCAATGAGATGGCGTGGTGGCAGAGTGGTCTAATGCGCAAGACTAGAAATCTTGTTCCTTCGGGAGCGTCTGTTCGAATCAGGCCCACGTCGCACGATGATCACTAGAAATTCTTTTTTTCCGTCATTTCTTTCATTGCTTCTACTTCAGTATTTATTCCGACCTTTTTTTACTCTATCTTCCTCTTTCTTTACTATTTTCTTTTGTCATGTACCATTTTACAAGAAGAAGTGAACAGACATAACTTGACATAGCCAAGTGGGTCCACTCAAGCAACTCGTGCCAGGTTGGACCCGGACTTGACTCTTCGCTTCGGTTCTCATAAACTGTTTACATGCCCCTTTTCCTTGCAGCTGTACTCACCCATATGCCGTCAACTCCCACACATAGTCCTGCCATTCCCGCTCCCCTTCCCCTAACTATTCTCATACCTAATAATCTATAAGTAATCTCTTCGTCCGCAAAACACCTCTTATCCGTTGGCACGTCCACATGTTGATCCGACTACTCAATCCACATATTCCCTCTACCCAGGTGTTCCGATTATCATCAGGATCGTATGTCCTCGGTGTACGCATGTTCACCGTGGATCTTATCTTGACTCTCACAGGCAGGAAAACATTGCGTTGGAGTAGAGGGGCTGCCAGGGCGGCTTGTGTGAGGAGGATCCAAGTGAGAATAGAGGAGATTCATGGTTGACTGGTTCGAGAGTTGAGGTTGATTTGAGTTACGGGGCTTGGAGTTTGAGATGGCGACTGCCTGCCTTGCCTGTGTTCACTTATCGAGGTTTCATGTTGGCTGGTACCTAGAGGTACCTTGTACATAACTAGAGCCCAAAGATGATCTTCAGTTGTGTGCTTACGGGGTTGATGTCTGCTTGATTTGTTCAACGTCACTCGGATGAATCGTCGCAATACCTACCTCCAGTAGAGGTAGGTATGTTCCTTCTTGACTTTGACCACAATACATTCCATGTCTCCTCTCCCACTCGTGCATTTTTCTCTGTCCAGACGAGGTCAATTCTCGAAGAGTGTCTCTTTCCCAAGGAGGCGATTTACATTTTCCATTGCAAAAAACAACCAGTCTCCTTCCTCCTATTCTCCTTCAGTCCAAAGCTCTTTCCGCCGCCTTCTCCATCACCAATCCACATCATCACCACCCCTTTGATCCTTCCACCTTCCCTTTTAGAACTGCCTCCTTCCCCACAAACCTCTAGTTGAACCTGCTAAAGAACTCCCAAGTGTTCCTCGGCGCAAACGGGTCGTTCTGTCCCGGATCTCTCTGGCTCGGATTATGATCTCCGCCATGCACAACCCACACCACGTCCTTACCCTGTTGACATCCCTGATACTCGACCCTCGTGGACCTTCCTCCACTACCAGGCTGTACTTCCCCGTTTGCCGGCTGGCACCCATTGTTCCTCACAAACCGATCTCTCAACTGTCTTCCCATCGCCACATTCAGCACGCTGTCGGACGTTCCGTGTTGCGCGTAGTACGCCACCGGATCATTCCCGCCCGCGCAGCCAGAAAGCTGCGCACCAGAAATGACAGCGACGGCACGGACTTTGTTCGCCCGCGAGCACGCCAGGCTGAAACTCATGCCGCCGCCGTAGGAGAAGCCCGTGCTGAAGACGAGGTTGGTGTCGATGCACAGCCCATCGCTCACGGTTTGCAGAATGTTGTCAAAGAAGGAGACGTCCTCGCCATTTTGGTTGGCCCAGCCAGCATTCAACCCGTCCGGAACCACGTATATGGCACTCTTGCTCGTGTCGAGGGGCGGCAGGCCGTAGTAAGGCAGGACACCGCCGCGGTTGGGGTCTTCGCCCTGAATGATCTTTTGCATGGAGCTGCCGAGTGGGTGCCAGAGGAAGATGAGGCGGTAGGGGTTGTTTTGGTTGTAGTTGTCCGGAAGCCGGACGGTGTAGCGACGCGATTTGCCGTTGATGTTGGTGGTGACGGTTTGGCCGTTGTAGAGGGTGGGACCTTTGCCGCAGCCGGAGGAGGGGGCGGCGGCGGCGATGAAAGGGAGGGCAGAGAGGAGGAGAAGGAGAAAAGTGGTGAGGCGGGAGTGAAGGCCTGCTGCCATTTTCGGAGGCTGGCTTGTTGAGGCTGAGAAAACGAGCTAGAATGGGTTGGATGAGATGCTCTGGTTGGATGGGGAGTGAGTTTTGAAGGAGCAGAGGGGGCTTTATACCTATCTTTCCTGTCGCCGTCAGTTCATGTTGACTTGACTTTGGTGGTTGAACTTGATCTCCTTCACCAGCTCACATTCTCTTCCTTTTCCTCAGCCCAAGCTGTTGTCCCTTCACAGAAACAACTGCCGAATTCTTGTTCCTTCATTACGAAACAGCATTGACCGATCATCAAGCTTGGCGTCAAAGCGAGGCGTCAGGCGCACCTATAGGTTTTGATATTTGGAGGTGAAGTCATAGCCGAGAATAATTCAAGCATGGATCTGTCGACGGAGGTCACGGTGGTTAACATGCACATACCGCATCCGGTTCACGGAGTTGTCACCGTCGACCAAAGGGTAAGTGCCAAGTCCTCGAAACCCGGTATGAGTGGTACCGCAACCGGTAAAAGTGTTTACTGCAACCTTCCCCATGTTTTGAACATCTGTGATGATACCTTGACGTTGAAACAAGATGCGCGCCAATGGGAACGGGGTTAGTGGCTGGTGGTTAAGGTGAGAGTTTTGGGAGGTGTTCGAGTCAGCTGCCTCTACGTGCCTTTCGGTCAACTTCCACGTGGACAGATGATGGAAAGGGTATCTAGCGTGTAGAAGTTGTCTGACTCTTAGTTCGAGAGTCTTGCTGTGTACAATCGTGAGTGTTCCAAGGTGTGCCGAGGTCCTGATGCCCCTCGGTAACACTTCCATGGTTGGTCTACCTCCAGTCAACGCGATCATTGAATGACATGGAGCTTGCTCCCAGCCAAACCACACACGCCAAACCTGAACAGTTCAGCATCCTGCTTGAAACGCTCCGCATATTTGGCCTTCAACTCTTCTACATCCCAATTAGCCCAAACAAAGCGACCATGAATAAATCTCGCCTCCTTGGTGGCTGCCCAGACCACAAAGTCAGCTGGCAGCGAGACTATATTGACTTTTCTGTCAGTAGCCTTCCTTCAAAGCATGCTATTGTAAGGGGCAAAACTTACTATCATCAAAAGGTAGGACACTCTTTTCCACGCCGAGCCGCCGCCACAACTCCGAGTAGATGGTTCCCGGATGAATGCTCACCACCTGCATCTTCTCCGGGTCTGACCGTTGAGCAATGTACCTAAAGAAGAGGCCAGCAGTGGCCTTGGTGAAGCCGTACTCTGGGCTGGAGAAAGAGCGGGCGAGTACTCGGGAAAGCTTATGTGGGCAGATGCAGTGGAGATGTTGATGAGGAACTGCATGTGTTCTCTGCGTCAGTCGTGCCGTTCGTTCCACTCCCTTCTTCTCGTTGTTCTCCTCCAACATGGCAATCATCATTCATACAAACAGCCAACAAACTGACCTTCTGTCTGTCCTTCCCCTGCTTCATAAAAAGCTCAGTATACCTCATCGGTCCCCTGAGGTTCGCTTCGAGTTTGGCCCAAATCTCAACTGTCGTCCTGCCCCCCTCCTCACACAGGCCCCCGGTCGCCATCTCCCCCACAGAATTCAAGATAAGCACATCCACCACCTCTCCTTCCTCTCCCAGTTTTTTTCCACAAGGCATCAATCTCCTCCATGTTCGCCGCATCGGACTTTTCGCTGACTACTTCCGTCTGCTTCCCGAGCTCCTTGGCGTGCTGGCGGAGAAGACCCACGGCTTCGTCGAGTCTTGCTTGCCTTCGACCCGTGATGATGACCTTTGAAGCAGAAGCGGTGACAAACGACTTGGCCATTGCGAAGCCGATGCCGGCCGTGGCGCCGGTGATGAGAACTGTCTTCCCGGCTTGGGAGAGAAGGGGGTTGAGGGCTGGGTTAATGGTCGGGTAGGAAGAGGTATGCATGGTGGGCACAACATCAGTGACGGAAGGGTCGAAAGTTGGGGTTACCCAGGGAAGGCCGAATATGGTGGGAATCTCCATATCGCTGGTGTTGGTGGTGGCGACATGGCTGCTGGAGCCGTTCGTGGTTGGGGAGGACATGGTGACGGTGCTCTTTGTGGTGATGATACAACCTGGAAGTTGAACCAAGTGATGAGTTATGGTCTCCGCAAACTCTAACTCATCGCACTAAACTCCATCATGACGCTTCCACACTGTGTCATTGCAAGGCGTGCCAGACCCTTAGACCCATTTGCGTGGATCATCGTTTCATTGCTGCGACGTGGATCGGGGTGGCCGCCGCCGTAGAGCAGGGGGTAGGCGACGATGGCGGAGAGGTCGATGGAGCCCGGTCCGGAGCCAAGCCAGGGGTCCAGTTGCCTTGGGCTAGGTGGTCGTTGCGTATCAAGAGCGTAACGATGCCGGCTTCGCAGAGAAGGCGTTGGGTGGAAGCATTTTGTCGCGGTTGAGATGGGAGGGCAACCTAAGTGGGTGTCGTTGACTTCCGGTTATATATTACATATTTGTTTTCGACTTGGACCATCACCACCGGTCTGCCGTTGGTGGTTTGAGAGTCGGCTATATCTTTTTCTGGAGATACTTTCGCGCGTGTAGAGGTAGGACTCGATGGAACACAGCCATTCCGTCCCGTTTTCGCGGAGAGGGTCTTTGACCCGAAGGGTCTACTCCGGAAGTCCTCCGGCTGCTACCTCGGCGTCGATGTACGGATCCGGTCTTGCGGTAAGGTAGATGTCGGCTTCGGGTGCGGCGCGAAAAGAACTCGTCTAGGGCAAAGACGCCGTCAAGTGATCCCTAATACATGTAAGAAAAACACGGCGTTGAGGCGAGATGTCGAGCCGTGTTCCTGCATTGGGTAGCCGCCAGGGATGGCACTCGCCGAAGAATAAGAAGATGCGTTCGTTTCGGATGATTGTAGGGAGTATCTGTCCCATCGAACCTGTAAGGACGTCAGATTTGGCTGGGGTTCCAGTTGCTCATCTTGAGTTTACATACCGTGCACATCACTGATCGAAATTGTTGGTGTCATCCTGTCCATATGCTGGGCCGTCAATGCACAAACTTGAAAGACCCTCGCCAGCAACACAGCATTGGATTCATACATGTATCGAGACCCTCATCGCGAAATGCAATTGCCGACCGGGTGGTCCCCGTTCGAGACGAGACACGCGGGCCGGCGCCGTTCGGGCTGAAGGAACTATCCGCCGCTAGATTGGCCGAAACTCCACTTGGTTTAGTGTGGTGTACTTCGGAGCGGGACGACGACGGGAGGAGAAGAGAGTTGGGCGGAGGTGTTCAAATTGCTTGGCCTTTTCGGCTTTCCTCTTGGCTCTCCGGTGTTTGTTCGGGATTCCCATTTCTGGTCGAATATCATTCAGTGGACATTTGAGTGAAGAGAACCCATGGTGATATCGATCAGATATCCTCTCTGCATCCGAGTCAAAATGACAATTCCACCTCCCATCCGGTGATCGTCATGTTTCTCGTACCATGTTTTCCCGAGCTATTTCCATGTCTTGGGTGGTGTAGAAGAGGTACAGTCCCCGCCTGAATGATAATACGCAGGCATTCTTCCTCACCTCCACCACTCCCCGATTTGTAGCCGCGATACTTTCCCCGGAATACGTCATTATAAGATCATTTTTCCAAAGATAACAGTCGGTGTGTTTTGTTCTGTTTCCTTTTCCTTTCGAGAACGAGGATCAAAATCGGGTCGGTCGATTTCAAGCATGGAATAAAACATGATAAACATGCGATGATGAGCATGGATGTCGGAAAGTTCAGGAACTTATCCCAAACAATACTCGATGCTGCTCCCCGCACGATTGATTGATTGCCCTGGGTTGCCCGCATGAGAATGGTCGCTTATGTTCTGCGCAGGAGCGTCCAATCCGGGCCAATCCGATTGCTTAATTCAGCGGTGTTGCGGATGTTCGCTTCGTCGTGCCGGTGTACCTGCCTGCCCTGGATACCTAAGGTAGGAGGATGTTGACATGCGATTGAGGGTGCTGCTGGAAGGAACTCCTACGGTGTTCGTCCACAGAGTTGCAGTGGACACATGCAGCGTGGAAGGTAAGCGATGGGGGGTGGTAGCACTGGGCGGGTACACTGTAGAGAATGCGAGAGGAGTGTGTGAATGGGGGTGCATGAAAAGACGAAATGCTGCATGGGCTCAACGACAATGAAGATGATGGTGACGTTTACCTATGATCATGATATCCATCTTGATGTTGATGTTGTGGGCAGTTCGAGCACCATGGGAATTGCGAGAGGAAGAAAAGGGGAAACAACAACAAACTCAAGAACCCGCCCGGTTGCTGGAAACTGCATTGCTGCCATGCCAACAAAAACACACACAAAAAGGCAAGAAAGCAGCAATAAAAACATGGGAATAATGACTGGTATATCCAAGCACAACAGTAGTTCAAAACTGGCAGTAAACCCCATCCATCTCTTTCGTGTACAACATTGCTACAGGTAAACAGGTAGACATAATTATTTGATTCCATCCCATCTTTCATCTTTCTCAAGCACTCTTCCCGCCCTTAGCCAAGCCCACCTTGGGCGCGATAAACCTCACAAACTCCTCAATATCATCCAAAAAGTTCTCGGGCTCCTGCAGCGCCGCAAAGTGTCCACCCACCTCATGCTCCTTGTAATACGCCAACCGGTCCCCAAACAACTTCTTCCCCCACGTCCTCGGCAGGGTACCAATCTCGACCGGGAACGCCGAGTACCCAAACGGCTTTTGCACGCTCAAGCTCTCCTGCACGACGGCTGTCGCGCCAATGGCCGGCACCAGGCTGCGATAGCTCCACATGGTTCTCGGGAAGCACCCACTGAACCAGTACAGCGACACGCCGTCGAGGATCGTGTCCAGCGACAGCGGGCGAGAGCCGCCGTCTTTTCTGTTGTCGGACCACTCGATGAACTTCTCGCCCATCCACGCGAGCATGGCGACGGGGTTGGTGCTGAGCGTCAAGGCAATGGTGGACGGGCGCGTGCCGTGCTCATAGGCGTATGCCGACCCTTGCTTGATCCACGCATTGGTGCCCGTTAGGAGCTTCTCCTCGCGCTCCGTCAGGGGCTCTTGCTGGCACGCGGCGAACTGGTCCGGGGTGAACATGAACATGTTGAGGTGCGAAGTCTTGCAGGCCGCGTGGTTGTTGGCCATGGCGCGGGCGAGGGCGTACCCGACATCGCCGCCCTGGGCGACGTAGCCGGTGCTGCCGAAGCCGAGCGACAGCATGAGCTCGTTCATGGCTTCCGCCGCAAACTCCATGTTCAACTCTTGAAGGGCCGAGTCGTTGGGACGAGAGGAGAAGCCGTAGTCGGGGATGGAAGGGACGATGACGTGGTAAGGGAGGGTTTCGGGAGTGTACCGCGAGCGGAGGATGTCCAGCATCGGGACGAACTCCAAGAAGGAGCCGGGCCAGCCGTGCATGAAGATGATGGGAATGGCATCCTCGCGGAGGGAGAAGAGGGCGGCAAAGTGTAGGTCAAAGGTCTGGCCGGAGGTAGGGCCGACGACGGTTTGCTTATACTGGGGGAAGGAGTTGATGAAGGTTTCCTGGGCCCGCCAGTCATACGTGTTGAGCCAGTAGTCCCGGGCCTGGATCAGCCAGTCGCGTGTGATGCCAAATTTGCCCGTGGCAGCGTTGGCGTGCTGGTTGTAGAACTGCTCTGGAGGAATGATGGCTTGCTGGATGAGGGACCGGAACTGGGCGAGCTCGGACTCGGCAACGTTGATACGGAAAGGGGTTGGTTGCACCTTGACGCCCGCGGGCAGGGTGGAAAACGTGGGTGAGACGGAGCCCATTGTGGGTGTTTGTGGATGCTTGGTTACCCAAAATGGAAGAAAGTAAACAAAGGCGTGGTGTTGTGTGATTTGCTCACACTGACTGATGTAATAATGACGAGCACGCCACACACAGATGGAAGACTGGGATAATCCAGGGACAAGAGACAAACAAAAAAGCAAAAAAGAAAGTGTCTGATGGCGTTTATATCGAGTTTCTGAGAAGGCCCTTTGGTGGTGGAGATGGGCAATGACTAGTTTCCTTTGTGGATAAACGTCTTTAATAGTGTAATGGATACTGGGAGCTATGAATCCCCTCACTGGCTCACTCAACGGGTGGAAGGGGTGGGTTTGACGTCCGACTTATACACTATTCGAGTTTAACGCCATCGCCCGAAAGGTCCCTGAGGGGGGGTTCCATCCTTGGAGAGTAGGTAATCTCTTGTTCATCGTTATCACTTTGGGTCTTTTTCAGGAGGTGTGCCGCGCGTATCTGCCAGCCGCCGTCCATGGTCAGCATGAGGGAGGAGGTTCTCTTGGGGGTCTGGTTGTATGCCGAACCATATCCCCGACTTGGGCGATTTTCATGACACTTTCTTGACCATCCGAACCGAACAGAACGCGGCATGGTCCAAAGGTGTAGGGGTGGAGATATGCGCAGTGGGCACTTGACAATGAACGACCCATTTTTTCTTGTCGTTCCCCACGTTTGCCAACATAAACTCGCATTGGTTAGATTAGGTTGCTTGGGCCAGTTTCCCTTTTTGGTGGGTGTCACCGGCGACGACTCCGGCCACCACAAAAGATAGTGGTGTAGAGTCTGGATACCTCGGCCACTTTCTGCGGTCGGCAGCCTTTCCATCCTTTCCTCCACTGCCCATCTGCCCCTAGGGAGGGAGGTACCCTACCCGACCCGACCCGACCCGTTGTAGACTTGTGTACCACAGGGCATAGGTACCAAGACAGGTCCACAGGGATCTCGCAAGCCTCTATCCATTCCGACAGCGGAAGAGTCACGGAAACCCTGGATACCTTAACCGAACGGCTGCGAACTGGTCACTCGTGGGTGGTCAGGGATCGGGCCAAGATCCAGACAAGTTCAACATGAAATTTGGGACCTTTTTTTTGGTGTTGCAAAGGACCGGCGTCAGCTCCGACGAGGAACCACGCCTTCGGAAGCAACAGACATTGGACAATTAGAATAATGGGTGTCAGCACCAAGTCGTCAAAAAGGCGGTCGATGAAAAAAGGCTGCCACCTTGAGACGACGGCGCGAACGCGAGGCAGGCGAGATCATCGGATCCCCCACAAGCGCAATACGACCGCAGTATGTCCACACATTTTGATACCCTCCAGGGACCACGATAGACGGCATGACGTGTCACTGGAGCTGTGAGTGAGAGGGACTCGAACCGCACCCTGGGTTTGGAAAACAAGAGTTGCCAATGATACACCAAGGATCCGTTGGCAAGTGGGTCAATCCCGACAAAAGGATCATGTCGGTTCCGTCGTGATGGAACTTCGCGTGCAAAGCACGAGGTTGTTGATTAGGTACCTAGGTGCCAAGTTTGCAGCTCGCTTGCAGCGGTTGGCTTGGGGACGCCGTTCTTGCTGCTGTATGTATGGATGTATGTATGTATGTATGTATGTACTCCTGAGTGTGTGTGTGTGTGTTGTACCTCGGGGAGCAGCATGCACCGAAGCTTTCACGTCGAAGATCTTCATGACTGACTGCTCGTGAACGCATCATGACGATTGGCCTAAACCGACCGGCACTTCCACCGGACCAACTATCAGCAAGCGTTTAGGAGCCAATAAGTGCCGCGAATTGATTACCCTTCCATTCTAGTGAAAAACGGGTGCACACTACTTTCCTTTGCGTCTCTTGTGTGTTGAATAGGCGATGAAAGGCGCATTCCCGTCGACACCATCGCAAACTCGGCTGACGTGACATCCTTGACATGGGCGAAGATGAACATACGCCAATATCACGGAACCTTGTTTTCACATATCAATGTCAGCCCATTTTGACTTCAGTTGCGGTCAGGCAGACAGTAGCACGGCAGCGACCCATCACCGCTTCCATACGAGCGCGCCCATATTCCGTCCCCATTCCGCCCCTGAGTCTGAGCTCTTTGGGTCGTCCCTATCGCGTTGCATCGGCAAGCGGTGTTGAGCGGGGGAATACTACAGAAGACGTGGTGGAGAAGGGCAACTGCGATTACAAGCAGGTTTCGGTTGCGAGACCGATAGTCCCCAGATCTACAGTCAGCTTCGGCAAATGAACAAGGAAGACCTCGATCTTCATCTGCCGGTGCAGCTAGGCGATGGTAAGCTCGCAAGGACATCCTGGAGGCGGCGCTGGCTCCGTGATCAACACCCTGGATCTACATCGTACTTGTTCAGCCCGTCGACAATGGAGACCGGTGAACAGTTGAACGGCGCATGTATTGGGTATATGATAGGTTGCAAGCAGTACGTATTTTCCATGTCCAGCCTTCTCTCAGCTCTGCTGAATGATCTTCTCCATCTCCTCGGGGTCCTTGGGTGCTGTCGTGAGGTTGTAGGTGCCGTCCTTGGTGATGACCAGGTTGTCCTCGATTCTGTGCAACAACGACAAATTAGCATTCGCCCTTTCCATATTATACACACGAACAAATCACAGCCGACATACCTGACACCGCCAACATCCCAGTACTTCTCCAGCACATCGGCATTGATGTACTTGCTGTGCTTGGGGTCCTTCAGGAACGGCTCAATAATAAAGTTGCAAAAGTAGATACCGGGCTCGACCGTAATCACGCTGCCAGCTGGGAGACGACCGCGGACGCGGAGGTAGCGGAACATGGTGTCCTTGTCAGCATAGTTGGGGTTGCCGCCGGTATCGTGGGTGTCCATGCCCAGGTAGTGACCCAGACCGTGGGGGAAGAAAGCAACGCTCGTCCTGGCCTCGAGAATCTCGTCCTTGTCGCCCTGGAGAATGCCAATCTGGAGAAGGCCGTCGATGGCAATCTTGTGCGCAAGGAGGTGAACGTCATCCCAGAGGACACCCTCCTTTAGCGCAGCGATACACTCATTTTGCATCTTGAGCACAATATCGTAAATCTCCCTGCTCTCCTTGGTGAACTTGCCATTGATGGGGAAAGTGCGGGTAATATCCGAGGCATAGCAGTCCCACTCGCCGCCCGCATCCAGCAGAAGATTCAGCTTGCCAGCCATGTCGGCGTTGTTGGGGACGTAATGCAGCGTGGCAGCAGCGCGACCGCTGGCGACGATACTGTGGTAGGCCTGGTTGCGGGCGCCCTTGGCGATGCAGTGCCCCAGGAAAACCGCCTCCAACTCGCGCTCGTTCTGGACGTGCTTGACCTTTTGCATGACCATCTTGTGTCCGTCAGAGCTGATCTCGTTGGCCTTGGCCATGATGGCCAGCTCGTACTCGTCCTTGACAACGCGCGTGACTTCGATGGCTTCCTTGAGGATGGAGAAGTTCTTGTTGTCGAATTCGAGGAAGGTGACCTTGTCCGAGACCTGGTTCGCGATGGCGAAGACAGAAGAGCCCTTGGGCTTGCTGCTGCCGACGTGGGCGAGGGTGGCGTTGACATCGCTGGTGTACTTGACGTCGTCAACGTCCCAGCGCTGCTTGGCCTCGTCGACAGAAACCGGCAGGCCGGACCAGATGACCGAGTCGGGGTCGATGGGCGGGATGAAGAGCGTGGACTTGTCGGCATCCAGGTCGTACATGTAGTGGCAGTCGGCGAGCGGGCAGCCGGTCAGGTAGTAGAAGTAGCGGCGCTGGCGGAAGGGCTCGGCCTCGTCGTTGTCCTCGAGCAGCTTGGTGGCGCGGCCCTCGAGGTAGAGAACGCCGGAAGCGCCGGGCACCTTGTTGCGGATGTAGTCGGCCACGCGCTGGGCATGTCTCTTGGCCGGGTATTTGCCCTTGAGGGTGGTTTCAAAGTCCATTCTGGCGGCGGTGGTCATGGTTCGATACCGATGATGATGATGATGTGAGGACCTCGCGATGGTGGCGGTGGTGGTAATGATGGTAGGGAACTTGAAGATGGTGTTGAGGGAAGAAAAGAGGTTTCGCATGGAGAACCGATTCTTACAGGAGAATTGTCTGATCCTGGCCAATGTTACTGTAATTCTGTTGAAAGGCGCCTTGCTTCGGGATATCGAAGGTGCTCTGCAATGCTTCCTTCCCGGCGACGAGGGCGGGGCGGGGCAGCGACACTCCACTGCAGCTCCCGTCCCCGGCCCCACCCAGGTCTTTGGCGGGGTTGTTATCAGTTCTTATCGCCAAGCTAAACCACAATTGGCAAGTCGTCGACTAACCCCACATCGGTCACGGCATGCAGCGGCACGGAACGGCATCTCGGCACCAACGGCTTCTGTACTGCTCGGCTCAATTTCTCTCCAGCAACCGAATTCGTGAAACAAAACAAAACAAAACAAACACTCGACAACAACATTCACAATTTGGGTATCCAGCCATTTGTGCGCGTCCTCCAAAACATCAACGACATCGACACGGGAACATCTACCCCTGCTGCCATAATACAGTCTTGGTCCCCTCCACGCTCACCCGGTCCAGCTCAATAATCTCCTGCTCGGTCAACCTCCAACCCAGCGCATCAATCGCCTGCCTCGCCTGCTCCGGGTTCCGAATACCGACAAGCGGCAATGCCCCCTTGCTAATGTTATAGTTCAGCGCCACGCTGGCCATGGCCTTGCCCCTGGCCTTTGCAATCTTCTCCAACACGGCCAGCGTCTCCTGGATCTCCTCCATCGGATAGCTCGAGAACCTGTACGTCTTGGGCGGCGGGTGCTCGACCGTGTACTTGCCCGTCAGCCGACCTTGGGCAAGAGACGAGTACGACTGGAAGACCATGCCGTTGTCGAGACACATCTTGATCTCGCCGTGGATCTCGGGGTACCTGCGCAGAATGCTGTACTCGACCTGGTTCGTCGCCAGCGGGATGCCGTGCTCGGCCAGCGCCGCCTTCATCTCGAGCACCTTGTCGTTGCCGTAGTTGGCCACGCCCACGGCCTTGGCCAGCCCATCGTTGACGCACTTGGCCAGTCCTTCGGCCACCGTCTTGACGCTCTGCGGGTGCGTCGGGCCGTGCACGAGATAGATGTCGACGTACTCGAGCCCTAACCGCTCCAGGCTGGACTTGAGCGTCTTGTACGGCGCGTCGCTGGCGTGCACATAGTTCTTGGCGTCCAGCGCCGTCCCGAGCCACTTGGTCTGGATCACATAACTATCCCGAGGCAGACCCTTGACCAGCTTGCCCACGAGCTTCTCGGACTCGCCGCTGCCGTACGCCTGGGCCGTGTCGATAAAGTTGATGCCGGCGTCGTAGAGCTCGCGCCAGGCAGCCTCGATCGCTGGAAACTCTTCTTCCTTGTAGTGCCAGGTGCTCTTGTCGCCCCAGGGCCAGGCGCCAATGCAGATGTGGGATGCCTCGACTTTGCCATTTTTGGCGGGAAAGACTACGCGGTCTTTGGCCGTGGGGCAGTAGCTGGGAGGCATGATGTTCTTGCCGTCGAATTCGCGAGGGGCGCGGTTGGGCTTGTTGGAGTGGATGCCCGAGGTTGCCGACATGCCTAGCGAGAGGCCGGTTTGGAGGACTTTTTCCATGGTGGCGGTGTTGTTGTGATGTTGTGGTGATACGGTTAGAGGTATTTGTTCTGCTGAGTGTTGACACAGGTACGTGATGCCTCTCCAGTGGGAGTTGGGATGTTCTTATACCACTGATGTCTCCGAGCTCGGACAGACTATGACGACTGAGACTTGAGTTTCCCCTGTGGTCGTTCTTCCTCATCCTTGAACATCCCGACACTTGGCTTCTGAGCTTTGACCCCATCATGCCTTTCGGTTTTTCCCATTTAGGCATCTCTGGTGTTGGTTAGTCTCCTTCGATCACCAACCTCACAAGCTCACAAAGCTCGGGGTTGTGATGTCATGGCGGAGTTATCTCTCCACCATGACCGGCAAACGGATGAGGTTATCATCAACTGTATTCTACCCCACCGAGACGCTTTGACGGAATTCCAAACGCTTTGACTGAACAGCTTCATCGGCTTTGGATCCGGACCCCCGACTGGAATTCGAAGAGCTACTCATCAACAATACCGTGGATCAAATGTTTGCCAGGACTCGGACAAAAGACTTTTCGAACAGGTGCTATCAGGTGCAAATTGGATCATCACCAGACTATTATGATGTCTCATTAGGTGCCTTGGTCTATCGATCATGAACTCCTTCAAGTCCTTTCACCGTCATCTCTAGCAACGCCATCCATCCGTCTGGCTTCAACGAACGCCGTATGTGACAACCGCAATAGTAGCGCTCCCCGCCCCCTGTGACTATAGACCAGGCGGAGAAGGTGAAACGTGACGGTGCTGGTCTCCAAGGGATCAGGGATCCTCGGTCATGCACTTCAGAGTCGGCTGTAGTATGAGCAACTTGTATATGCGGTGGGAGGGAAGGGGGGTTTTCGGGCGGTGTTTTCTCCAGAAAAACCAAGGTCCAAAGGGAGTGAGGGGGAATCTTGCAGCGAAAACGAAAGTTTCGAAAGGCAGCTGTTGTCGCCTGCTGGAGTTGTCAAAGTGTAGAGGTTAGAGGGCAAGATGACTGGAATGGCTGTCGATTCAGTTTGGTAGAGGTACTCTAGGTGGCCCTTCCTGAAGAAAATGGTTGGTTCTTTCTGTTGAAGTAAGGGATATTGGTTGTTGGGGGAAGGCAGGACTTTGCGATTCTGATTTCGGACCCGACCCAGCTCGGATTCCAAGGCTACCTTCTATTCCATGTCTGAAAGCGCTTTCCTCCTGCATGTACCATGGCTTCAGTTGTGTCTGATGTCCATGACCAACGAGCTTTGTTTGAAAGTCCAATACTACCTTTTTTCCACCTCGGTCACTAGGACACTCACCCCCTCGTGAGTCACGACGCATCATTCTTCAACGCTTGTGAGTACACCGGCGTGCCAATCTCTCCCGATTTACCTTCCCGGTCGGTTTCTGTTTGCGAGACTTTGCTCTGGACACCATCTTCACCACAGCAACATCCAAGATGCCTGCCTCTGAGCAAGCTACTTTGGCCAACGCATCTTTTCGGGGTCTCCCAAACATGATGATTTCGGGACAGGGGTTCTTCGAACTTGAAGCTTGCAGCTCAACGACCGAAGCCGTGAGAAGGCGCATGGCCGTCACTGCTGCCTTCGCTTTTGACCACCCCGGCCCAGATGTTGACCCTACTTACAAGGACAGACAACACTATAAGATCGAGATCATGTGGACACTCAACCAGGGTATCAATCGCCTAAACGGCCAACAACTTTCCACGGACGACATTTCCATGGACGACATAGACGTGAGGTGCACCATGGTCAATAAACACCCGAGAATGGATGGAAACAGACATCAACGAAGCAGGCAGATGGTCTGGTCAGATCAAGGGAGGAATGTGATGACGGAGAAGTGAGGACATGGTCTGGATACAAGTTCACAACGGCGATATCAACCGTTTGATCACTCGAGAAGGAAGTGTAGAAAACATCCAAAAAAAAACCCGAGGATGAGGTTGTGGAGATATCTATAGCGAAGCCACCGTTCGGGACTTATAGCGGAAAATCAAGTAATACCTATCTTCTCTACCTACCTGAGCACTTTGTAACTAAACTTACCTATCCATTAATCTTGAACGTGTAAAACAACAATCACTCTGCCCTCAACCTGGGGGCGGTAACCTCCAACCGTCTGGGTCCAGGTCAGACGTACCAGCCGATCCAGCCGTTCCCGCTCTCGGCCGCATCATCCCGCCATCATCACACCAGCTCCCGATCTTGTGCAACACCAAGGCAAGAAGAAGTACCGGGCGCTGGAGAATCTGGGGATGAGCTAGACCATGTTGACTCGTCCCCAACAACACGGTTCTTTGTTTCAAGCATGAACTCTCCAAACCCTTCATCGGGTGATGGCTGTGAGATAAGGGGGACAAGTTGACACAAGGTCTAACGGTGTAATGGGAGATTTGACTGAGTTGTTACCTAGGATTATTCGTTACCTGTGTACGAGTTGCAACACAAACTCCCTCCATGGATACCTGAAGATACCTAGCATCGATTATTAATATTGAGGCTCAATAGCTTCACATACCAGAACTTTGTGTACTACAAATACGTCTACCGACGATTCATGCTTTGTGAGTGGATTGAGTTCGTGCAATGGAGTTTGCGTCAGTTGAGAACCTTCGGGCCGAGCAGTGGAAACATGAAGCTCTTTCCTGCTATATGATTCAACTTGAGCTCACCATCTCAGGTTTCACAACCCATTTTCAACCTTCTTCCCTCCCTTCCTTCCTTCCTTCCTTTCTTTTCCTCTACCTGTCTTTACCTTCCAATCTTACCGGTACACCATCTGAACGAGCGAAACGTCGAAAAGCCAGATCTTCATCACGTCATTATCAACTGAGCAGCTTTAGTCTACGATCAAAATCATCATCTTCCACGACCTGTGACAGCAAAGTGACAATGAGACACAAAGCTCTCTTCTCCCTTCTGTGGGCCATTATCTCGGCTGCCCTCACCTCGGCAGCTCCTTCCCACTTTGGTCTCAATAGTGACAACACCATCGCTCTTGGGCAAAGAACCACCTTGACCTCATCGAAACTGGACGCTCGCCAAGTCGCAAACGACTTCAACTGCGTGACATGGACCGACAGCCACGGAGATCTGAAATGGTACGTTACCTCGCTCTTACCCCTCTTAACTCTCCCTTTTCACCTTTGCCCGTTACCACCAGATCAGCTAACCCCCCGCCCCCCTCACAGCAACGAATTCTCCATCATCCTCGGGCACCCCAACCTCGCCCAAATCATCACCAAGAACTACCTCTACATCTACATGCTCAACGTGACCAACGACTTACTCTACACGTCTGTCGTCAACGCCACCAACATCCTGGAAATCAAGTCCGCGCTGAACTGCTACGGCGATCAATGGAAGTCCTTTTACTCGGTGCTTCCCTGGACGATCGACATGCATGGCGGGAACGCGTGCAATGAGAACGCGTATAATGGCCCGTATGATAACACGTGGATCAACTACGCGGGACAGCACTTGAATGTGCCGGACGATGGAAGGTGTCGGTGGATGAACAGGGTGGGGTTTAGGTGTGTTGTTGGTAGGTAGGGAGGGGTGAGTACATGTATGTGGCTGGAGAGGACCTAGGGAAGGGGAAATGGAGGAGAAAGACTGGAGGGAGAGAGGAGTCAAGGGGGTAGAGGGGGAAGGGTTCAAAGAGGATGATAATGGACAAGGAATACATTTCGGAAAGAGGAAAATAGGTGTTGAGCAATTGAAGACAACTGGGTCACTGGGACCGTTATGTTCGGTAGTGTAGCTAGGTAGGTACTTCTCCTCTACAGAGACTGAACAAAGTGAAAAGCAAGAAGCTGTGAGAGGGAAAAAGAAAAACTCGCGGGTACTACTACGGGGAACAAACAACCTTCTGGGCCGTGAAGGACGTACAGCTGAAGAGGGTTCAAAAAGGGAAACAGAAATGACGGGTACGGTACCTACTTACTATTATACAATGCACGGCAGGCATAAGAACTTGGAAGTTTCCCAATTGCTCTCTCAGGCGTTCTATTCCTCCGCTTCTCCCAAGGTACAACCAGCCAACAGACCCCTCGCACATCCCATTTTCTCTACCCACCTACATGCATGTTTGCTTCGAACGGGTCAGATTGGATGGGACAAGTTTCCGCCCTTTGGTATTTGTGCCTAGAGGTAACCAAGACTGAGCAGACTGTAAGTGTTTGCTTGGACGTTATCGTCTCAGGGTTCATCGTAAGACTTCCACTTCCATTGGAAGGATGGTTGAGAGACACAATGGCGAACTGTTATTGATAGGTAACTACATGTAACTTTCCAATCTCAGAGTCAATACCTAGACATAAGGAAAATGTTTGAATGGGCGTTGACGCCACCTGAGGCCTTCAGCTAGTAGCAGGACTGTAAACTATAAAACAAGAACATGCTTACCAGGTCACCAACACCAACAACAACAACATCAACATAACATCTCATGTCTGCTTGTCATTGTATGTAGGTACTCTCGTGCGCATGTATGCTCATGATGTATGTGTGCAATTCTCATCAAATTTATCAATCATACCCGTTTTTTTCCTGACCCCTAACCTAACCATTGCAACCTTCGCGAGCCAGCCAGCCAAGCCATAATGAACATACTAGAAAGAAAAAAAAACCAACTGCCAATCAAGTAGTCCCCCCCGCCGACCTGCTCAAAACTCGCCATGACTAGTCCACCCCAAGAGAGACTCTGCTCTACTCCCAATCTCTGTTATCTGACATTGTGCTCCCTTTGCAAGTTCAGTGTCCAGTCCAGTCGTCCACAATCCTTCTTAGTCAACTCACGTCTCGAAGCCTACTGTCTCTTATATGTATGTATGCACTTTGTCGGTGTCGTGTCGTGTAGCGTAAGCTCAACCAAAGCCGCAAGTTACCCACAATGTAGCAAAAGTCTCGCGCCCAGGATAGGGTTCGACCGAGCGGACTGATGCCATGTGAAGTAACTGTTGATGCAATGCTTTGGGACCTTTGCTGTTGGACGACCGGCTGACTACCCAACTGAAGACGCACAACTGCGACAAGTACATTCAACCCTAACCGAGTACTAATAACAGCCACTCGGTGACAGAATCCATAAAAGACCATTCAGAGAACCTCTTCATCCATCATCTTGCTCCCTGACTTCCAGAAGGAGGAGAGCTCGACGACCGAGTCGGGCAGCCTGAAAGGACTGCCACGACGAACTGGGAAAGGAGACCCAGTGACAAATTGGTTTCTTGAAAGGCGCATGATGGTTCCATCGGCTATCGCAAAGAGTGTGCGAGGGCCGGGTTGATGTGCTTGCCGAAGTGTGTGTGAAAGAGAAGAGGTGAGGCTGTGGAGTGATGTGATGTCGGAAAGAATGAAGCGCTCCCTGGCTCTCCTTGACCCGAAAGGGGTCGCCAATGTTGACTTTCAGGGAATGCGAGTTTTGCAGGCCAGCCAATTCCCCCCCCATAAAGAAACAAACGCGACCACCAAAAACTCTCCAATCCAGGAAAACCAGAAAACCTGTCCGTGCCGGTAATCCGCCAGTTTCCCTTAATCGTACACCAAAGTTTGAAGTCGTGATCATCATGCTGTTGAAAGGAGAAGTAGGAAAAAGAAACCACCCAAACGCCAAACTAGTGGATGCTTCAAAGCCAGAGAAAGTAAATGCCGAAAAACAAGAACAATGAGTAGGAGACGGGAAAAAAAGCAGCAAGTTTATGTCGAGGCCGGTCATGGTATGTCGAGAATGTGTTGTAATTCCACAGGTTGCAAGTGTGGAATTCATATACAGAAACGGGCCGCCTTGTTATTGGGATCCATGGAATGGCGATAGACCCTCGCAAGACAGATGAAATGATGATCATTTACCCCCTAATAGCTGTCGCAGCATGAGCTTCCGCGCCACCATAGTTAAAGTTGTTTGAGTAGAACGGGAAACGATCGGCATAAGACATGGTGCTGTGGTGATATGGGTACTCGTTCGACGACGTACCAGTAGAGTGCGATCCGTAGCTGGGTCCGGTTCCGTAGCCAGATCCAAAGCTGTTAGTGCCAGGGCCAGTGCGTGGCCCAGTGCTTGAGGGGTCACCCGGGTTTTGCGGAGACGGGAAGCCCAACTTGAGGGGGCTTTCGGCTGGAGAGCCCCCAACAAAGCTCATGAAACCTCCATGAGAGAAATAAGGGTTGGGATCCCTCGGATGCAGCGAGTGATGCTGAGCCGTAGACCCCATACCGTAAAAGTTATTGTGGACCGGGCTTCCCTCGTAGCTCGAGTTGCTGCTGCTGCTGTTGCTGGCAAGCTGGGGAAGGTCACTGGCACTATCGAAGCGACTGTTGCGCAAGCTGCCATCCTTGATCTGAGGGCTGGATTGCTTGGTGGATCCAAACTGTTGTTATAAAAATATTTTGTTAATGACCGTTACCGTGAATTGTGCGAGGCCTTGAGGCTTGTCAAATGCTATCAACCAGATACCCAGGGCGAAGGACAACTTACGAAGCAGTACTTGTTAACGAGCTCCTCATACGAGGACGAAGCAATGCTGCCAGTGGTGGACACACCAGGAATGTTGAGAGAAGAAGGCTTTGCTGAGGTGGTAGCGGGAGCAGCGGTAGAAGGTGCAGGAGCAGGTGCTGGAGCCTTCTTAGGGGCAGCAGCAGGGGCAGGGGCAGAGAGAGCAGGAGCGGGAGCAGAAGCAACAGGAGTAGTCAGGGTGGGGTGACCCCTGCGCTGGATAGACGAGTTCGCAGCAGCAGGCTTCCTGGAGGACTTCATGTAAAGACCACCGTCATCCTTCTTGGGCAGGTTGTCCTTGGCGGTCTGGATGGCCGTGGCCAGCGAGGCACCAAAGTCGTAGCGGTTAGCAAAGGCCTGGCCGCTAGGGGCAGACAGACGGCTCGGCAGGTTATCGCTGGGAATGCTGGTGGTGCTCTTAACACCACGCAGGCGAAGGCCAGCGGGAAGAGCGTCATCATCATAGTCATCAAGGGAGCTATCAAAGCTGAGCTTGCTCCTGCTACCAAAGTCATCGGCACCGATGGGAGCGAACTTGGGCTTTGGTGCCGCAGACGAGTGGTTGGAGCGACGGTTACTCTTGGGCAGGCCGTTCACGGTACGAGAAGCAGCGCCGATAACACCCTTCTTGCCGTTGGTCGGGAGAGCCTTCTTGCGGAAGTCAATCTGGAAGTTCATGCCGTTGTTGTTGTCCCAGAACTCCTGGCCGTTGACGTTGTACCGGATGCAGAAGTAGAGCGTCTTGGACTCGAGGTTGGCCATGTCGGAGAGCTTAATGGTGAAGTTGAAGCGATCCTGTCCGAGAGACGACTCCGAGGGCACGATCTGGCTCATGTACTCGGCCGACACCTCAGAGGTGGTCTTCCAGTAGTCCAAGGTGAACCGGCAAGTAACGCTCTTGTGGAAGGCCAGGTTGACCACCGCGACCGACCCTATCAGGCACTTTTGGTCGCTAGATAGCCAAACACGTTCCAGACGTACAGGCTGCGCCCTGCGAAGTGGTGTATCGGCGGGGAAGTTGGACAGGACGAGCTCCCACTCAAAGGGAGGCTGACGCGCTTGTGACTGGTCGTTCGCATTCCCGTTCCCATTGAAAGGGTACTCGGTGTCGCTATCATAGCTATCGACCGGCGATGAGCCAGCACTAACGGCCAACGGACGGTCGACCTGCAAGAAATGGCGAACATGTTCGAGATGCGAGTCAAAGTGGACAGCCTTGAAGGTGGGTGTGCCAGGCATACTGGAGGGTCGTCGGCGAGAGGGAGGTCGCAGAGCAGGCCGCACGAGCTCACCCGACTTCTTGCGCACCATGGGGGGCTTTCTTTGCCGCTCTTCGTCCGTGTCCTCGTCCGATCCTGTCAGCGAGGTTTCCATAGACTTGTTCAGCACAATGTTGGACTCGGTGGCGGATCGGTTGTGGGAGAAGCGGCGGTTGGTGACTCCGTTGGCGGCGTCCTGCTTCTGCTGCATGTCGGCAATGGCCTTGGCCTGGGACGGCAGTACTAGCAGGTCGCCGGCATCGGGCCTTGTCTTTTCCTTCATTTCGGCGATGATGGGCTCGGGAATATCGGTGCGGTTGTTGGGCGAGCACGAGCGGTGAACGGGGATCTGGCTGATGGCGTCCTTGAGCTCCTTGAGGTTCTCGATGGTCCTGCCACGCTGCGTGTCCTCCTTCTTCATCTCCAGCTGACCCTCGTCTTCACTAGCCGAGTCGGGCGGGGAGATGACGGCACCGGCGGGCATGCCCTGCCTCTCGCCCGTTATTGGTGGGGGGGACTGGCGCACGATGCTGTTGAGGGCCATGATCTTGAGATCCTCTACGGTCGCCGACGGGGACAGCTCGTTATGCTGTGCGGGTGCCGGGGCCGAGGGGGTTCGTCGGTGTTTCATAAGATACGACGCCGATCGCGGGAGTGCGGGCTTGGTGGATGATGTTGGCGAGGTGGGGCCGCCATTGTGTTGTTGTTGTTGGTGGATCGAAGATCTCCGGCTCTGGCTTGGTGAGGAGGGTGCCGACGAGGCCGGAGACCTGTGCGAGGGTGGTGTGTAAGGCATTCTCTCCCGCGATTTGTGTGTGGTCGTGGGGAGGAGTACCGGAGATGTCGTCGTCGTCGTCGAGCGAGTTCGATGGCGACGAGGAGAGGAAACGAGTGTTGCCGGTGGTGATAAAGATACGTAGAGTGGAGCGAGAGAAGACGAGGTAGTCGGAGTGTCGGGCCTAGCACATGGAGGAATGTACTAAAGCGTAGGAGCGGGAGGCGGCCTCGACGGGTTTGGTGGCGTGGGAGAGGGGGTTGTTTCTTTGTCGACGACGGCGGTGTCAAAGAACCAAGGTTCCAAGAGATCCACTTCTAGAATTGAAGAGGAACTGGATTTGGTAGCTGCAGTTGCCGAAAGAGGTGAATGGTTAGCGGTTGCCCGTTTGCTAGTCTTTTTTTTTTTTTTTTGGTCTATTGAAGGGAAATCTAAAAAGGTATTATGGTCGCGCTGTATATGCAATTAAAAATTGGGAAAACAAGAAGAAAGGGATGAAGGATGCGGAGAAGAAGGAAAGGGTTGTGGAGAGGATGATTTGGGAATGACGGATTCAAAGGCAGATATCATCAGTTCAGGGCAGCCACCCACCCATGATGGATGATGGATGGAATGGAGTTCCGGACTGGGGGGGTGGTAAGGTGGTATGGGCGCACTTGCTGAATGCGAGTGAAGCAGGTGGAATGAATGCGCACACACACTGCTAAAGTGCTGAGTGCTAAGTGCTGAGTGTTGTCACTACTAGTGTAGCTGTCTGACTGAGACGCCGCGCTAGCGATTGATTGACTGACTGACTGACTGACTGCGTGGATTGAGCTGGGCGAAAAAACTGGAATGGCGAAAACCCGCTCAATTGCCCCTGGTCAGGTCTGCCTGATTGATTCATCGGTCTCGGAACTGCCCAGGACCTGACTCCAGTCCCAAGCAAGCTACGATCCGAAGCAGGGCAAGGCAGAGCAGCCCGAACGCTACTACTGTAAACTGCAGGGGGTGGTGGGGAATGGGAATGGGACTGGAGTGGGAATTGATAGTAGGGTACATAAGGTAGGTAGTGGATCATTGTGTCTGGTCGGGGGAGAAGGACCCGACCACCACCAGCCCACCACGGACCACAGCTACTAAAACAGGGCTGGGCGTTGCTGCGACGGGACCGCTGCTGGGCTGTGACACCGCTGGGCTGCCCGTGACACAATCAATGTCGCAACAAGAGGGACGGTGGTACGGTGGTGGCCGGGCGTGGGCGGGAAGAGATAGCGGAGTGGAGCCGTGCTGTCTCTGGGTGGTGGTGCAGTGGCAAAAAAGAATCCGTCCGATGTTCAGAAGGATCAAAGTGTGTCTTGGCGGAGTGAGATAGGCGAGCGGCGGAGGCGTGGGTGTGTTGTGCTGTGGTGGTTGGCTGCTTCTGTTTTTCTGTTCCATTGAATCCAGGCAGGCACTATGACCTATGGATGGATGCGTGTTTGGGGGTTTGAGGGACGGGCGGGAGTGAGTGAGTGAGTGCAGTGAATGAGGTGACTTGGGGCAGCGGTGCAGTAAAATGTCGCCCTGGACGCACGCCGTCGGGTGCAAGTGCAGTGGCAGAGCAGGCTAAGCGATTGGTGCAGAAGGGGAACCATCATGGAAAGCTTGTTCCTGATTTGCTGATCTGGAAAACAGCCCAGACCCGCCCACTGGTGTGTTTTTTTCTCGACTCCGTTCCATCTTCCATTCATTCACTTCTGTCAAGAGAGATGTGCCCACTTACTTGAGGTTAGCCGCACGGCTTGGCGGTAAAGCCGTCCGTCGTATTGGTAGAGGACCGGTTTGAGGATGATGAGGGTGCTCAAAAGAGGACAAGAATGCAAAAAAGTGACAAACACAAAACCACGGCAATATTCCAGCAACGAGGTTTGTGATTGACTTTTCTTTGCAAAAAAAAGTCTCTCTTTTTTCTCTTCTTCGCAATCGCACTCGGTTCTACCAGAGAGTCGAATGTCGTCGTATGTCAGTCGATCGATGGAGGCGAGGCTCGTCAGTGTCGATCGGAACCGGCGGACAAAGGAGGATGAGGATGATGTGAAGTCGGGGGACGGGAGGCTAGTCCGGGGACCCAAGATGGTAGGCGGTGAAGAGATCGGTGTCCTGTCGGGAAGGGGGGTCGCGAAGGGGGGGTGTATGTCGACTTCGATATCGCTTATTCGAACTTCTTGGTTGTTTCTCACTTATCGCTCCTTTTTCCTAGCTCTTGCTGTCTGTCTGCTTTTCCCCAAACAACAACAATGCAATGATCCAGTGTGTTTTTTTTTTTGCTCTTCTTTTTCCAAATGCCTTCCAGTGAAATGCTGATGATGCCGATGAGGAGAGTCGATGGGATGTCGAAAGGGGGGGTATCCCAAATGTATCGTTCGCCAATGGCCAAGCTCGGGGACGGGAGGAGGAGGAATGGATAGGGGGAGGGAAGGAACCAGATATAAATCAATGGTCCTGCTATCAAAGTGAACAAGAAGAAGAAAAAAAAAGTAAACACAACAGAGGTGTTGGTTTACAAGACAAAAGAGAGGAAGAGCGGGAGGCACTTTGGTGCTAGAGGAAGCGGAGCGGCTGCTGGTTTTGAATCATGGGCCCCCGTCACTTTTTCGACTGGCAAGCGAGCGAGTCCCCGTCCAGGTCCATGTCCGTTCCTCACTCCAAGGAATGCGACTTTTCGTCTGTGTGTGTGCCGTTCCTTGGGAGGAGGAGAACGGTTGACGACGGGACCGGGACCAGGACCAGGGGCCAGGACAGACAGGGGGAGGGAACGGGGGAGGGGTGAGTTCCAGTGAGGAGGGCGTGTGTCTTGATTCTCGACAATGGCCTGTCTCTGCTTCAATGTCTCCATGTCCCTGTACAGTCAAACACGGTCTTGGTCTGGACGGTGTACAGCAACAAACCGCACTGTAGTTTGTATGTACATTGTATGCTACTACCTTAGCTCCGTCTTCTCTCCAGATCCATCCAGTGGGAGTTGATGTCGGTACCTCCAAAGTGCATCTCTTGTCATTTCCGCCTTGAATGTGTTGTTGTTGCTGTTGCTGTCTGCTGTGCTTCCTCCCGATGGGCAGCAACGCTCTGCTCAGACTCACTTGTTCATGTCCCTGTAGCAGTTGGGCATGCTGCGACGGAAAAGTAAGCAGAGCCCAGGTCCAAGGGAGGAAAAAAGACAAAAAAAACGTGCCAGGCTGAGATGTCTCTGCCGGTCAGGGCAGTTACTTGCCTCTACACCAGTAGCTCACACACGCCGGAAGAAATGAGCGGGCGCGTAAGTAGCGCGTTGTAGACAGTGTTGGAAGTGGAAAGAGAAAAACCAAAACGCAAAAATGACTTTTCTCCCACAACTCTCTCCGTTCTGTCGGAAAAGCGATGCGGGACAGTTACGGTGGTCATGATGTAGTTTCGTACAGGTACCTACCTCCCCAATGTACCTTGCACCTGCTGCTAATAATGCTGCTGCTGCTTTCAGTTATCTTGGCTGCATGGCCTCGCTTGTATCCATTTTAGGCTAGCAGCACGGTGATAGGTGCTGTAGTTTACATAGGTATATAATAACCGGTGGAGACTCATGATGCATGAATACACAAGGTACGCAGTAGTCTAGATGGCTTTTGTGAATTTCAATGGGACCATGGGCACTTGGGCGGCCACTTCCTCAAGCAGCAAAAGTTCAGTTTAGACCAACTTCTTGGTGACCTTTTGTCGAGTGCTCCGTTTTAATCTTGAAAACGGTTTAGTTTGCGGCGTGTGTGTATGTACTATGTAAGCCTCCGGTCTTAGAACTGTCCCGTCTTGGCTAGTAGCACTGTCCGAGTTCTTGTGTCTCCCACCCTCCAACTTTTTGCTCTCAACATCCAACATCCCAACGGCTCGGGAAGGGTCTCAGCTTTCTTGCTTGCTGGAATTTTGATGGTTTTTGTTCGGGTGGTTGACCCTCCTCAAGACAACCTCCGATTTTTGCTCCGGAGTCGGCTCAGCTGGCTGTGAATCCCCACGCTTCCAGTTCCTGCCCCCTTTTTTGCCGTGTGCTGTGATGTGATGGCCCGCCGTGGCTGGGGAATGGCAGGAATGCGCACAAGAGGGAATAAAGCCGCTTCCATGGTCGGCTCCACGCTTTCATCAATCGAAGCTGTCTTATCTAATTCTTCTGATCAAACTCTTATCGGTTTCGGGTTGAGATGTGGTTACTTATCCCTCGTCAGGTCCCGTCGCTCAGTCAGGCATCCTTCTAGAAAATGCGATGGAGCTGAGATGAGTCGCCCTCCCGCTCAACAAAGAGTTCCCGAGGCGACCACGCGTGTTCTAGGTATTATCACCAAGGATTGTTTCTTCCGGCACGAACGACAAAGACCTTTTTCAATCTCGGCTTCATGTTTCTCATCGACTTCGGAGTTGCTTACCGAGTAAACGTTCCTTCGCGATGACCGACGTGGGACCACGACTGCAGGCTTAGGACTTTGAAGAACGGAGGTGAGATTCAGGCACAGAGACCTTGGACCTCGAGCTCAAAGAGATTTGACGACAAAAGATCTGAGACAATTTCGCGGGTTCGAGATGTTCTGCTGCTGCTGCTGCTGTGAGTGAGTGTATGAGGCAAGTCAGACACCCGGTGAGAAACATGCTGCGATGCTATGCTACCATGGCGCCATCAATTGTCTTTGAGGCGTTCGTTCATCATCAGTTCATGAATTCTAGAATCTACTCCCACGTCGTCGCCGTGTTGATGATTTCGATTGATGAATACTACACCACCATCTCAGCGCAAGATAATAGTGTACATATCGGAATGTGTATTCCTTGGCACAATATTGTCGATATTTGTTGATGGGGGTCAGCGCGGGAGGATGGTCGCCGGTGGTGGTGGTGATGGTGGTGAGAACTGCTGCTCGCTGCAATGTCAAGTTCAAACAAGATGTCGACCTTGTTGCCCATGTCCGCCAAGCTTTCATCCCACCACAAAAACGGTATCAAGACTGTCAGAATCGACGCTGATTGGCTAAAAGCAACTCTGAAAGAGCCGCGCACGGTACCGGTAAGCCTCCAATCCCATGGATGGATGCTCCGGATCAGGGAGCTAGCAGGACCGGCGCCTGGGAAGTTGAGAAGAATGACGTCGGCAGGGAAATTGGCTGCAGGCATCCCCCATCAGCACTCGAGAGACTTGAGGTGAGGTGGTGAGCCCCCCCGGAGAACAGAATGAAAGGCTCAATCAACAACACCAACAAAAAGCAGAGACATTTGACATTGGAAGGACAAAGTTTGGTGTGTCTTGAACCAGCCCATGGGAAACAAAGAAGGAAGAAAAAACAAAATAGGCGCTTAATCCATGCCATGAATTAGAAATGTTTGCATATCTTCATTCAGGCACCTTTTCTTCTTCCTAATCCTTCAATTAAGGATGCGGGTGCTACTTCCGGTGCGGTTTTGGATGGGAATTGAGCCATCAGTCAATGAATGCCCTTCAGGTGCCTGTCATGTCGACGTGGGGGTGCATCTTTTGAATACACATGTATGTCTCTTGAGTTGATGCTTCTCGAGTCTCGACTTTCAAAACAAAAATGTTGCAGCACGCGAGACGGGCGTCAAGCGTCAAGCGTCAAGCGGCAGCGCTTAGTTACGAGCCATGACATTCATCCATCGTCGATCCATCCATCCATCCATCCATCCATCCATCCATCCATCCATCCATCCATTCCTTGTCTGCGTCTTTTTCCCAGCCCACAATGTGTAGGGAAGTCTAATTTTGAATTTTAACGAGAAGCGGCCTTGTCGTCCAGAGCCGAGCCGGTCCGGTCCGGGACTCCCATGTCTTTTCAGCTCCATCCCCTTTTTTCGGCGACAGTTTACGCGAAAAGGCGAAACATCAGCCCAGCAGCGCTCCCCCCGCCTAGACTCCTAGATGTATGTAAAGGATCGGAATCGAAAATATATCATCAGTAAAGCAACCTCACATCGGGAGATCACCTCAGTCATGATCGACCCATCAAACACAAAGAAGCGAGCCTTCATCATGATGTTGTCGAGCTGCCATCACATCATGCACTGCCAGCTACAGTTATATGTACCGGGATGCTGAATGCGATTCCGGCATTGGGCACAATGTAGTTGGTGAACTCACCTTTTCATGCATACCTTACATACCTCTACGTATGCCTTGCCTTGCCTATGTACATGAATCAATGTTCAACACTTGGGCGATGCGATGCGATGTCATGTCCTTGCTCGCTTCCGATACGGATAGGTAGATTGACTGGGATGAGCGGTGCACAGTAAGCTCCTCCTAGTATGCACCACTAGAGGTACCCATGGCAAACCTCAGAATGCGCTGTTGTCGTAGTAGGAACTTTTGAGATATCGTTGATGCTGGTGTTGATGTATCAAGATAACACTACCGTATTGTCATCAAGGCCATAGTATAGTGAGTGAAGCACTGTAGCTAAATGCTCAGCATCCCGTTTTAACTAGTGTGGAATACGCCTGGCCGGGCGCACTTCTTTGTCGTTCCACCCGACTGGTTCTAGGTACTAGCTCAGGGCCTATGGCGATTACCGTTTTGTCAGATCATGGGCGAAACAGAGAGAGAGAACGAGAGAGACACTTCGCTTCGCCTCGCCTCGCTTCGAGCATTCTCTAACGTTAGCGTGCCGATTGGCGTCGATAGAGTTTGATTTGAGCGATTGATAAAGTGCTGCGTTCTCCGTCAACTCAGAGGCTACCTTAGCTGTATGCTGCGCCCTGTTGCGTGCGACTGATGCTGGAGGCTGCTCGATGCAATGTGTTGAGCGGGACCTCAATGCCAGCTGTGAAACGTCAACGCAGAAAGGCCCGACTGCTACACTTCATTGTCGCTCGAATCGTCGATGGAAGCTGTTTCAGTTTTCTTTTTTTAAAGAGAAAGAGAAAAAAAAAAAAGGAACTCAACGTCATGGCCGCCAGCAAAGTCGGTCTTGGTGTTTGTTGAGTGATGCCACGGCTTGTTGATGTGCTGACTCGCCAAGCCAGCCCAAGCATTCAAATGCCCGCAATGCTTACGATAAGGCTAACAGATCCTGGTGGCCCATCCTTGGGGTCTTTGGTCGATACTAATCCGCTATTTTCGATCGATACGGGCGCCGTTCGCCATGTTTCGACTTGATCGTGTTCAACAGCCTTTCGACAATCAATTGATAACGGTGCATGTCTCTGAGGAACCAAGTCGGTGGTTTTTCCAGGGGCGTTTTTACACCACCACAGCCAAAAGTGTTAGTCAAGAAAACCCAATGGCTGAGAGGTCGACGTGTGATGTGGCAACAGATCGTCAGGTCTCTGAACACAGAGATTGTTCCAAGGTTTCCATTTTCGGAGCACCCCCCACTTATTTCCCCTCACTAGATCAGGGCCGGGCCTCTATTGCGGGGAGGCTAGAAGTGTTGGTGGTGAAACGGCGCCATTCAGAACCGTCGACAGAGTTGCAACCAAGAGGAACAGCAACACCGTGGCGGATCCAGCTAGTGTACAAACTTTTGCAAGTTCGGTTCTGCTGCGTTGTTGGTACAATGGCTTGGAAGCCTTTCGACCAACTACAACGCCCGCCAATGTCCTAGTGGTAGATTTGGATTCCCCCAGAACGTTCGAGCTTCGGCGACGGCACCTTGGAGGCCTGTGTGGCCTTATTTCTCGGCGACACGAGATGAGGGGCGGGTTCGGACTGCGTACCCATTTCGAACTCCTACTGCATAGCACACTAGAGCAGGCCGAGGAGCAAGAACGGCACTGCGAATATGAAATGGTCCCAGCCAAAACTCCCGGCCTTGTGTTGAAACTTTCGGAACTCGAAGCCCGGCTATTGGTAATAACTGTCGTTCTTGGGTGTTCCGGGTATCTAACGTATGGTCTTGTCGACTGTTGACTGTAGTGCATTGTCCATCCATCCGTCGTGACTTTCTTTCAACATTTGGTTGTCAACTCAACTGGTCCACGTCAGTTAAACATCACACGAGGGACACCGCACGTTCCAAGGCTCAACCGGGCCGGTTCCCATTTGCAATCCAGGTATCCTCCAGTGATCTTGTGCTCCAGTACTGCACTGCCCGAGTCGTCGTTATCCCCCGTACGTGGTCCAGTCGTTATCGTCCAGTAATTCTTCATAGACATATCGCCAATTCCGCCCTTTGCTCCGCGTGCCCCTACGGGTCTACACGTACGCCGGGCAGGACGGATTAGGCATGCCTTACCCCGTATACCCCGTACTTTTACCCCAGGAAATTGTTTGCTGTGTCGCCGCCGCGTTGACTTACATGATCCCTACGCATGCATACATCCGCTGGCGCTCGTGGAGAAGGGCTTTGAAAACATCTGTGTCGTCAGTTTGCTGCCGGTCCAGCAGAAAATACGTAGCGGAACAGCACCTCGCTGGCTGGTGAGACATGGTGGTTGACGGTGGTTGGCGAGGTCGGCATCTTGGGTGCTTGGGTATACCGTATGCCTTGCAGCAACCACCATGAGATTCGCTCCAGGCCGTCAGGTGGGTATTCGGGTATTTCAAAGTCCGCCGTAAACAGTCGTCAGAAAAAAAAGAGCTCAAAAGCTCAGCTGCTATACACGTGTTCGTCAGTGTCTTAATGGTACCTACTGTCTTTGAGTGTCTTGAAATGTGGGGAAGGCCCAGGTTCCCGAGCGCCTTCAACCTATAGCAACTGCAGGTCAGTTTTTTTTCCTCTATTGGTAACTTTTTCTGACGAGAGCACCGTCGGTTGTCTCTGCAACTGGTGGCTGGTGCCCGGGTGACCATTTGGGCTTGCGTTGCGGCTGCATGGTGCAGTTGTTTGAGGAAGTGGCTTTTATTTTCCCCGGTCGCCGTTGGTGACAATGTTTCAAGCTGGCCTGTGGTTAGCTGGGGGCGAGCCGCTTACAATCTTTGTTCCCTGCCGTCGCAGTTGTAGAAAATACGACGGTGATCCACTAGCCACCTCATCGGCTCTGGTTGATGCCCAAGGTTCAAGAGACCCGGCAAATACAAGCTTTGATAGATCGTCATTGTCGTCCTTCTCGGGTACAATGCTGAGAGGGGCGTGTGCTGGATTGAATGCCGTGGAATGCGTGGTGATGATCACACAGAGGAGGTCCGGCGGTTGAGAGAGGAAGACAAACAAACATGGCAACATGGGATTGAAACAGTCGGACCCTTTGGGTTTGGGGCCTGACAATCCCTTTGAAGCGACGATCCATCCGTCCACCAAATACAAGTAGCGGCTGAAACAGAGCCGCCTGTCGCACCACCCACTACCCTTCCATTCATTGGTGCTGACGTTTATCTCGACGTCGTTGGTCTCCACATTTCTCTCTTTGCCACAACGACGGAGGATGAGGTCGACAACGACGAGGCCGACGATGATGAGCAGAAGGAAGTTGCGTAAGAAAGGCGGAGTTTTATCGAAAGCCCAAGGCAAGCAGGGAATGCCAAGCTGAAGTGAGGTCAAAGTCTCGTCGATCTTCCGTCCGTTTCGGTTCCACTTGGCTCTTTGTTCCGTGAGAGGGACTTTTGCCGAAACTAGGCCAAATGCAAGTCCCGAGACTCCGCAAAACGGCCGCGGCCGACGCGCAAGCAGCAACAACACATGGACAGTACTTGTTGCGAGGAAAGAAACATATAAGACAGCAATCTGGAGAAATGGCAGAGTTGCAGAGATTCCCATGTTGGATGTTTGTACCACCACAGCATGTAATGCCCAACGCAAAAGCTTTTGGTGTCGCTGTTCTTGGGTCCGCCCTATCACCGCATCTTTCAGTTATCACCCCTTTCATGGCACCCAGGCAAGATCCTAGCTACCCATGCTGGGCTGGCATCTGGCTCCCATATCCACTGGACTAGCTGTAGCTTGTATCACGGAGTGGACCTGCGAATGGGGTCGCGATGGAGTCCCGGCTTGATGGTCCTTTGGAACCTCGGACCGGCAATCTGACATGGCGATGCCCTCCTTTTCTTTTTTCTTTGGGTTGGAAGGGTATCATGGTATTTCTCGGATGCTGGATGGGCGCCGCTGTCGGGCTACACGGCAGTCACAAGGCAACAACTATGTGAGAGTGCACCTAGCAGATTCGTCTACCTCGTTCCATCACGACCTGTTATCTCTTCGCCTGCTCTTTTTCCTGGTCATGATTCGCTACGGAGGGGAGTGGGTGGCTCTGCTCAGGAGATGGCGTCCGTCTATCTTGGCGATCCTCGCTGCCCTCTCGTACTTGTCCGGTTCGCTCGGATGGGTTTGTGGGCTTGGGCTCTGATATCGTAGGATCGGTCATGGTGAAGTCGCGGATTTCCTTGGAAGATGCAAGAAATGCCTGCGGTCGCGGGATTCGGGACGATAACGCCATTGCCGCCGCCGCCGTCAGCCTGTCAGTCATACAGACATTGCTGCCCGAAGGCGACCATGACGGGAGCTACTCGTGATTACGGGCCGTAGGATCGTGTAGTGTAGATTAGAAAAGTCCGATGGATCGCGCCGGTTTTCTTCTGGACTTTGTCTCGATTTGTTCTGGACGATATGGAGCTTCGTGGGAGGGGCTTGTACGGTAAGTAGTGGTCGAGGCAAGACGGTGTCGTGCTGGCCTTCTTCAACTTGGTGCCTCCGTTTTGGATGCCATCCTGTTCGACACACACAATTGTGACAAGTATCGAAAAAGATTCAACGAGGTGAACCATCAGGACCCTGAAAGAAAAAGAAAACCAAGATCAACGAGCCCTGCATGAGATTCGCGAGATATTGCAACCGAATGTTGCAAACAAGAAAGCCAACGGCGGCATGAAGCTTGGACCATGCCGTGAATCCAAGGTGAAGCTGCCCCGCCGTCACTTCAGTTCCCTTCCCTTGTTGCTCAGGGTTGTGAGCTTGTGGGGTACGGCAGGTGTCAGGGTTAACCGTGGTTGGTCCGTCTCTTTGGCAGAAAGGGAACTGCGGGGCTCTTGTCACCTTGCTGACCTGTGCCCTTTGCGTAAGTACCTGCCCGGTCAGCACTGCAATCGCTACGGTACGGTGAGCGCCGAAAGCGGACTCAACGAGGTTGAACCCTTGAGGGAACTGAACTCTGGTCACCGCCAAGCAGCAAGGGAGGTTTCTTGAAGGAAGGTGCGTCACGATGTCTCTTCATCTGGCATTGCATCTGATACCGCATTAGTTTGGACATCAATGCAAGATGAAGCGCAACAAGTAACGCTTCTTCTTGGAGTTTCAACCTCGGGGGACTTTGATTCGTCCTCACCGTGTCTTTCTTGTCTTGCTCGGCTGGCTTTTGCGATCGTGACCAGATTCTGAGCACGTTTCTCATCTCGTCGCCGACCCTGATGAACACACCTCGTTGGCGTTCACGTCAGCAGGGCAGCGACATCCGTCCGTTCTGTTGCTAGTATGGGATCATGCTTGAGAACCGACATTCATGCAAAGCAAGCATCTCCGGTCCCACGCGGCACTTTCCCTGCGTTTTCGTTGCTGTGGCATTCAGTTCCCAGCCGCGCCAGCCTTCTGGGCTGGATGCTTCAGTCTGAGTCCTCTCCGTCGCCCCGTCGGATTCACTCACCGTGCGCCTTGTTCACCGTTTTGGGAGGGTCGGTACCTCTACCTACTACAGCGCACCGTGAGTTTGCTCTTCAATGTCAAACATTGCAGTGACCATCTCCGGAGCCTCACATCGCCGACCTCGAGTTACCAAAGAGACGGGACCATCAAGTTTGGGCAAGTTTACGCCACCGATGTGCGACCTACATCTAGTGGTCTCGCCCAGCCTTATAAGTAGCCAGATACCGTCACTAATAGGCCGTGATAGCACCGCTATATGGTCGGTATCTGTCTGACTTTCTTTAAAAGGATAGGAATATTATGATTGATTGGTTTGTTGCGCATAAAGTCGATTGTGCATAATCATTCAATAAGCTCAATCAAGTGAAATCCTCTCGTTCTGTGTTCACCAAGTTTGCGTCCTAACATTGAACACGGCACGGATGGTTATGTCTGCTGTTGGTCGACACTAACACTCAGAGACATGGGACATGCTGGAACATTGTCATCGCGTCAATGCAGTCTTGATGTCTCTATACGGGAAGAGATGATGTGGTACCATGTTGGCCCCCGAATCCGGAATCCCCTGGCGTGTCCCTGAATTTCACTTAATGCGGTTCCGATGTGCCCCTTGTAAAGGCGCATTATTGGTGCAAACATTCATCATCGTCTTGGTCTGTGATGGGCATATACTGGACCAACTGCCAATTGTCTAGAATAGGATGCGGTCCTCATCGAGCACCGGCCGGGACATGCCCTCCCTGGAAGGTGTATGGAATGCTGGAATGTGGAAAATTGGCCTAAATCCAGGAACCAGGCACAAGACATGGTTTGTTGGGGTTAAACACCACAAAAAGGCATCACGAGACCATTTTCACTGGCACGTTTGATTTCACTTCATAGAGTCTCTGCCCAGCTCCCGCCGGTACAGTAGCCTTTTGTCTGTAGCGCGCCGTCCCTCCCTTCAAACGGAACCTTTCCTTCTCGTCCGTCCCCTCTTTATGACTGCACCTCTTCCGTAACTCAAGTACTATCAAGTGGAGGTTCAGTTTACTGCGGTTACAGGCGACGGAGCTGCCTTCCACTTCCACTTCCCGTCAACTGAAGCTTTTTTAAAAAAGTGGGGGTCAAATTGGGGGCCCACCCCGCGTAGGGCGCGCTCGGATTTTCTTGGTCACTGCGTCCCGTCACTGCATAGAGGTACGTACCTCTACCTAATTGCATCCGCGCGCGTCTCCATCTCGAATTCCGTCCATTCCATTCCGTCCTCTCCGGGTCAACATCTCGAGTCTCGACACCCTGTCCGTCTATGCCGCCGTCTTCACGATACCCCGACCTCCGTTCCCAAGATCCCAGGACCGACAAGACCGACCAAAACCACTCGTACTGTGTACCGCGACACACTGTCTGTGCCGTTTTCCCTTCCTAGTGCAGTGTACTTGTCCACTTTGTTTCCAATGCTTGTCTCCTCTTTGGTTCTTGGTGGACTGGAGAATCCACTCCGACGGCAGATCAGCGTCCAGCATTTTGCAACTGGAAACAAAGTCTTTTTTTTTTTTTTTTCTTAATTCCACTCTCATCGACGATTCGTTCGAGAGTCGAGTGCAAATCCGCCAGCAGTTGAGCCGCCTCAGTCCACTATTTATCACGCGCTAATCTTCTTCTCCCTGTTTGTCCTTGTTCGATTGCTTTGTTCGTTTTTTTTTTTCCAGTGTGCCCTAGGCTACTACGCTAGAATCAGATACCAGGCTAACAAAGACCGTGTTCGTGCACAAGGTTGTCGTTGGGACAGAGAAAAGTCAGAAACATGCCACTATCCCACCATGCCTCCAAGCGACCAAGCGACCAAGCGAGGGGTTGACTGATTGGCCAATGTATAATACCTGTACATCATAATGTTTGCGAATTCCGGAGATCCTATCGCTCAGCCTACAACACTTGAGACATTCTGGCCTCCCTGCCCTGGCGCCTCCTTCTCTTGGCGTCACGCTGCCTGGCTTGTCGCGGCGGAGTTTAGAAAAAGATAAGCCATCGCTAAACCTCGACAGTAACCAACAAAAGACAGACGTCGGACGCACACATAAACGGACGGCATAGTAGACGCCAGAGCTATGTATGCCTGGAAGCTCGACAACAGCAGCTGGCGCCTTGCCCCTCGAGATTCACTTCTCTGTTGTTGACCATCAAAAAAGGAATTGTCCAATCAACAGCCAAGCACGTGGTGAACATCATGATTGTTGTCTTCCTTTGCGTCCCGACCAATGATGGTTCTAAACCAGAGATTCGGATCTTTCAAAGCCTTGCAAGTGCATGCTTAAAAGCAAAAGACCAATGTCAGGTCATGCCGCTGGCGTCAGCCCCGGGATGCAATGGTGGTGAGAGGATCTGTATGTAAGTTGGCAATTCATGAGGATCGCACACAGCTTGTCGTACACTACAAGTTGGACTCAGCCCACTGTCCGCTGCGGCCATCCTATCATCAAGCATGACCATCATGATGTCCTGCAGTGGCGCCGCAGAATTATGTACCACAGTATGCGTGCACGATCCGATCTCTCCTCACACCGGGGGTGAACCACGCGGGACTGCGTGTTAAAGGTGGACAAAAGTATTATCCAGATGTTGTTTTGCTGCCTTGATGGCGTGGATACTATTCTAGCCCTCCCCCTCTTTCACGATAATTTTGGTGGAGTGAAAAGTCTGAACGCGCAGGCAAGCACACATAACGGACATTTTCAGTGATCATCACTACTATGTTCATCATCGGCAGTCGTCACGGTCATCATCACGTCGTTTTTGATAATATCAGCGGAGTAGACATTGTCCCCAACATCCTTGTGGTTGAGTACCTACAACACTCCTCCCCGCTCGTGGACTGGAGCATTATGTAGTGTATTAGGAAGGCACAACGGTATCATCTGGACTAGAGCTGGGTAGCTCCATGCCATTGTGCCCGATATCAAAAACGACATGTCGTACCAATAACATTCTTCACTTGGGGCGCAATAATGATCATGCTCCATAGCGCCCATAACATACCGGATTATGGGTCAGAAACGGAGGGGGGAAATGAGTGATACATGGAAAACCAGGATGAGAAAACACCAGACCTTACTAGCTCGTACTACTGTAGCAGACATCTCTGG